CAAATTTCCCCCTAAATAGTTGGTCTTCAGATATCACAATCAATTTCACTTATGTCAAATAATTTTCCACTCTATTTGATCTTCTCTCAAATATACCCCAAACGTTGCAAATATTTTCCTTCTTAACTTAGAGAATTTTCAAAGTAAACAGTTAACTGCGGTAAGGTTTCTAAAAATTTCAGAGTAATTAAAATCGACGGTTTTAATTTAGAAAAATGTTGGGGAACTACTCTGCGCGTTCAATTGGTATAAAATATTAAACGTAATTTTTCACGATCATTCTATTTGCAAGCAGAGAAAAGAACTTCAAGTCGACGAAGAAAGTGAATGAAAGTGAAAAAAGAACAAGGGAGGATTGATCGACTGCCAGGAACACTATCAATATAATGGAACCAGGCGTAATCGACTGAACGGAAAATAAAATTAGTCATTTTCTGATAGTGTGTTAAAAAACAAAAATGGTTTTATAACAGAGTTTAGAAAACATTTTTTAATTATAGTTGAGAATTATTTATAATTCTAATTTTCGTTGCAATTATAAATTTAACATTTTAAAATATTAAGCTCACCTTTCGCAAAGTGGTTTTCCTACTAAAACCTACATTTTTCTGTCTTTAAGGGCATTTGAACCATGATGACGTCACAGATTTAAAACTAATGCTTTGCACAAACTGTGACGTCATCAAGGTTCAAATCCCCTTAAGCTACTTTTTGATACGGTTTTAAAATTAATTATCGAGACGATGCCTGTCATTATTAAATGACATTATATACCATTACAGGGCTCGGATCGTCTTTAAGACTCAAAAAAGTCGCTTTAGTCGCATAAATTTACAACAAAAGTCACGAAAAGTCGCATAAATTTCCGAAAAAGTCGAAAAAAAGTCGCATTAAATCTTAGAAAAAATCAAAAAAACAACAAAAAGAAAACATAAAATTGTCAAAATTGTTAAAAAAAATTACATTTCTCGACAACAGATACATTAATATCAAACAATACGGAATAAAATTTTTTTAAAAATTTAATAAAATTCATAGCAAAATTTTAATTATGTATTATTAACATTTCTTTAAAAATTCTCTTTAAAATGTCAATTATTTTTATAAATAAAAAATTCTTCTCCGAAATTCAATTATTTAAAAAAAATTTTAATAAAATTCAATTATTTTCAAAAGTAATAAAATTCTTCGCAGAAATTCAATTATTATTCAAAATTTTACAAATAATAAAATTCATCATAAAAATTTCATTATTTTCAAAAGTTCTGATAAAATTCTTTGCAAAATTCAATTATCTTCAAAAGTCAGAAAATTCTTTACAGAAATTCAATTATTTTCAAAAAATTTTTTTCTTACATTCTCCTCAAAATTTCAATTATCTTTATAAATATCAAAATTCTTCTGCAAAATTCAATTTCTTTTAAACATTTCAAAAAAAATCTGTTCAAAATTTCAATTATCTTTGTGAATAATAAAATTCTTCTCTGAAATTCAATTATTTACAAAGAATTTTAATAAAATTCATCCTAGAAATTCAATTATTTTCAAAAGTTATAAAATTCTTGTCAGAAATTAAATTATTTTCAAAATTTAAATTATTTTTATAAATATCAAAATTCAATTACTTTTAAATATTTTTTAAAAAATCTATTCAAAATTTCAATTATCTTTGAGAGTAATAAAATTCTTCTCTGAAATTCAATTATTTGCAAAAATTTTAATAAAATTCTTATCAAAAGTTAAATTATCTTTATAAAAAATAAAATTCATTCTAGAAATTCAATTATGTTCAAAAGTAATAAAATTCACCCTAGAAATTCAATTATTTTTATTTTTTTTTAATTTCTCGTCAAAATTTTAATTATTTTTATTAAATAATAAAATTCATCCTGGAAATTTAATTATTTTCAAAAGTTCTGTTAAAATTCTGTGCAAAATTCAATTATCTTCAAAAAGTAAGAAAATTCTTGGCACAAATTAAATTATTTTTCAATTTTTTTTCAATTCTCCTCAAAATTTCAATTATTTTTATAAATATTAAAATTCTTTTGCAAAATTCAATTACTTTTAAACATTTTTAAAAAAATCTGTTCAAAATTTCAATTATTTTTATAAATAATAAAATTCTTCTCTGAAATTCAATTATTTTCAAAAATTTTAATAAAATTCTTGTTAAAATTTTAATTATCTTTATAAATAACAAAATTCATCCTGGAAATTTAATTATTTTCAAAAGTTCTGTTAAATTCTTTGCAAAATGCAATTATCTTCAGAAAGTAAAAAACTTTTTGGCAGAAATTAAATTATATTTCAATTTTTTTTTAAATTCTCCTCAAAATTTCAATTATCTTTATAAATATCAAATTTCTTCTGCAAAATTCCATTTTTTTAAAACATTTAAAAAAAATCTGTTAAAAAATTCAATTATCTTTTTGAATAATAAAATTCTTCTCTGAAATTCAATTATTTGCAAAGAATTTTAATAAAATTCATCCTAGAAATTCAATTATTTTCAAAACTAATAAAATTCTTGTCAGAAATTAAATTATATTCAAAATTTCAATTATTTTTATAAATATCAAAATTCGAGACGCCTGTTTATCCCCGTTTATGCAAATGCTCTAATAGTCATTTGATCTAATTTAAAGGTTATAAATATTCAAATGATCTAAAGAACATTGAATATAATGTGATTTTATATAAAAGTCTAATTAATAAAATGAGTTTATTCTATAATTTATTTTTAAGCCAATAATCAAAATATCCAATTCGCATTTTCTATAATCATAAGCAATTATAAAATTTTTTCACGCAAACTTTCAACTGATAAAATAGTTGTATAAGCCAAAGTTTATTTTTTATAATTTTATAATAACCTAATTTTAAAGTGTTATAATTTTTAATTTGTATAAATTGTAATTTAACAAATGTCTGTCAAATCTAAATGTAGTAAAATATAATTTATTTAAATAAAATATCTTTTTTAAAAAATGCTAACAACCTCGAATCGTCAATTGATCAAATATTCAAAACATCTAATCGTCATTTCGTCCAATGCTAAAAACATCGAATCGTCAAATGGTCGAATGCTTAAAACATCGAATCGTCAATTGATCAAATATTCAAAACATCTAATCGTCATTTCGTCCAATGCTCGAAACGTCGAATCGACAAAAATTGGAAAAATTTGCTTGGTTTAAATAAATGTTAACTTACATCAAGCAAATTTTTCAACTTTTTCTCGATTCGACGTTTCGAGCATTGAACGAAATGACGATTAGATGTTTTGAATATTTGATCAATTGACGATTCTAAGTTTTAAGCATTCGACCATTTGACGATTCGATGTTTTTAGCATTGGACGAAATGACGATTAGATGTTTTGAATATTTGATCAATTGACGATTCGAGGTTGTTAGCATTTTTTAAAAAAGATATTTTATTTAAATAAATTATATTTTACTACATTTAGATTTGACAGACATTTGTTAAATTACAATTTATACAAATTAAAAATTATAACACTTTAAAATTAGGTTATTATAAAATTATAAAAAATAAACTTTGGCTTATACAACTATTTTATCAGTTGAAAGTTTGCGTGAAAAAATTTTATAATTGCTTATGATTATAGAAAATGCGAATTGGATATTTTGATTATTGGCTTAAAAATAAATTATAGAATAAACTCATTTTATTAATTAGACTTTTATATAAAATCACATTATATTCAATGTTCTTTAGATCATTTGAATATTTATAACCTTTAAATTAGATCAAATGACTATTAGAGCATTTGCATAAACGGGGATAAACAGGCGTCTCCAAAATTCAATTACTTTTAAACATTTTTAAAAAAGTTTGTTCAAAATTTCAATTATCTTTGAGAGTAATAAAATTCTTCTCTGAAATTTAATTATATGCAAAAATTTTAATAAAATTCTTATTAAAATTTCAATTATCTTTATAAATAATAAAATTCATCCTAGAAATTCAATTATTTAAAATTATTTTTTTAAATCTCTCGTCAAAATTTTAATTATCTTCATAAATAATAAAATTCATCCTAGAAATTCAATTATTTTAAATTATTTTTTTAAATCTCTCGTCAAAATTTTAATTATCTTCATAAATAATAAAATTCATCCTGGAAATTTAATTATTTTCAAAAGTTCTGTTAAAATTCTTTGCAAAATTCAATTATCTTCAAAAAGTAAGAAAATTTTTGGCAGAAATTAAATTATTTTTCAATTTTTTTTAAATTCTCCTCAAAATTTCAATTATCTTGGTAAATATCATAATTCTTCTGCAAAATTCTATTACTTACTAATGTTTTATAAATTCGTTCCCAATAATTCATATTTTTTCATAAAAAATAATTAAAAATTTTTTTTATAAAGTCTTATAATATAAAATATGATTCTATCACTCGGTCATCTTTAAATTATTATAAAACATGAAGACATCGATTGCTCCGAGTCCAAGACTCGGAGTGATCGATTTCTTTATGTTTTATAACAATTTTTTATAAGTTGTTTAATTTCAAAAAGGTTTGAATTTAAATCTTTTGAAAAATTTTAATTCCTATGGAAAAATAATAATTAAATATTTATTTAAAAAAGAAATTATTGATGTTTTCGAAAAATATGAAAGAAATTTGTAAATAAATGTAACAGAACATTTTTTTGACTCAAACTTTTTTCTTTAAATTTAAAATTTTTTTTTAAATTTCTGTCCCATTTTACTAAAAAAAATCTCGAAAAAGTCGATTAGTCGCATTTTTTCACAAAAAAGTCGAAAAAGTCGCACAATCCGTGCCCTATCATTATTATCACTGAAGGGTGTAAATAGGAAAAACACCATATTTAAAAATTTTCGTCGTTCTGGTTCACTTGATCTTGCATTTGTAATTGATTATATTGTCAATTCTCTCTTTCCTGAAAAAAACAAAAAGAAGATTAATATTTCAAAAAATAAAAAAATTTCAATTTTTTTTCCAGATAATGACAAAGGCGTCAATTTCAATCGGACTGATTATTTTTCTATCATCGATAATCAGTGGTTTGACACTTTTTTGCAACCACATTCCACCCCATGCATTTGAAACACCACGAACGCCACTTGAGGATGAGTTTCAAATTGTTATGAGTAACGTCAATCGCACCGATTATTTTCAAAGTTACATGCCACGCACCAATTATATGTGTGAGTACAAAAAAAATGATTTATTTTCAATTTAATTTTTAATTTTCATTTTTTGGGACAAAATTTTCCATTCTGTAAAAAAAATGCATTTTCTTCGAATATTTGCATTTAACAATAAAAATCTACAAAAATAGTTGGATAAAATTAAGCACAACGAATGAGAAAATTGGTACTTTAAATTTTTTAAAGAAAACAATTCTTTTAGCAAAGAAGTAAATAACAAAAATTTGAAATTTATAAATTTTTGAACTAGTGTATATGCGAAGTGTTTGTTTAGTGGAAATAAAGTTACTTCCAAGTTTCTAGACATACTGAATGTTTTAGTAAGTTGGATACACTTAGGTTTACATTGGAGAAGTCGAAAATGCTATATACATACTCGTAGTAGTGAATACAAAATGAACACAAAGTGAGATGTATATTGTAAATAATAAATTTTGCCACTCTAAAACGTATACCTTTATATTGTTACAAACTTTTTCACTGACACGTATTTTTGCAATTTTTTCCCCTCTTGAAATATTAGTGGCAAAAATATTTTCTCGTAAATAAATATAAGGAATATTTTTTTACTTTCAAGGATTATTTTTTTAAATATGTAAATTTTTTCCAAGTATTTAAAAGCTTTTTTAGTATTTCAATTTTGTAAATATATTTATAATTATTTTCAGATTTTATACGTATATTAACTACAGAATTTAATCCTATTAAATTTCCATTCGCAATAAAAAAATATAAATAAAATTCCGGTGTTAATATAATATTTCGAGAATCAGTTTTGTGGGATAAAATATAGGTCAGTATTTATTCACGCAAAATATGGTTAATTTACATATTTTGGCTTTTAGCAGATTAATGAATAACTACCGTAAATAAAATTCTACAATTGTTTTCGTATATATATAGTTTTGTAAAAGTTAACCAGAGTTGCAGTTTCACTCATTGAATTGAATTAAATTGAAATCGCATATAACAGCATTGAGCTTGTAATGCGGTTACTTGATTGCACGTGTCTAATGGTCATAGAGATAATACGATTAAGAGGCGCAATAAAATAATCGGTCTGTCAAATGCACGTTACGTGACAATTTAAAAACATTTTCATTTTCCCCCTGGCACGTGTCTTCGAGTTCTTTATATTTCAATTTCGCGTTATTATCAATACAACTGTAATAATAATTAATTAAATTTATAAAATTTTTATAGGTTATGTATGAAACGAAATTTTATAATTACTTACAACTTTCGGTCCTTTCGGACAAATAGTAAAGGAACTTAGTTACATATTTAAAAAAAATTCGTGTCAGTCAGTAAATAAATAAACGTTGCACTAAACAAACATTAATAAATGAATAAATGTGATAAAATATAAGTGAATTGTTACAAAATAATTAAGAAACAACGACTGATGCCAACAGGCGGAGGATTTTCGATCACAAATTCTAAAGGCGAATACTAACCTATACTGAGCGTAATGGCGCGAAATTCAAATGCATTATTAAATGTAGATAAATAGTTTTAAACGCTAAGAAGATATCAGTCTTTTAAAAATAATTAAATAATTATTTTAAATTATTATTAAAATTATTTTAAATTATTTTTAAAATTATTTTAAATTACTTTAAATTATTTATTAAAATTATTTTTTATATCACCGCAGTTTAAATTATTTATTTAACATTAAAATTCGTTTAAAAAAATGAAAATATAAACTTTTATTAGATTAATTTTGTTACTTGCGCGAAATATAATATATTTTCTATGAAATTATAGTTTAACTTAATTAACGAGATCCGTTCGCAAGTTACAAGTATATAAAGTTCTCGAGGGACAGATTGTTGCTCGTTGCATTTATGGCTTCGTGTATTATGGGTCTTCGCTTTTCAACTGCCTTTCCTTTATACTATTTTAACTTAACATCAAATAATATTAAATTTTATAAAATTATTCGCATAAATTCACAAAGTAACTTGCACTTTAATATTGTTGTTCATCAGCGCATATCAAGTAGCGAACAATTATTTTCAGTTTTACACATAATTGTTGACTGCAACAAATGTAGTTAATTAATTATAATAAAACTTTATTCTATATTAACAAATTTAATTTTTACGAAGGAAAACAAACTTTATTTTCATCTTTTATTTGTCACTGTTTTAAATACTTTTTATTATTATTATTATTATTATTATTATTATTAGTATTATTACTTATAAAACTTTTTTGAAACTCCCGTTTTTCTCAGATAATATTATTTTCAAAAAATATTGTCCGGGACATTAATTAAATTAAATTTTGCCTAATTTTAATTATTAATATTCATAAATTTTTTTTATTTTCTTCTTTCCATATAGTGTATAATGAAATTAGTCACACGCGATATTATAATTTAAACCTTCGTAAAGGTATCGCATGTCCCATGCAATGTCACATTTATTACTCAAGTTCATTGAAAATATCACGTATTTAAAAATTATCATTTCTCAGAAATAAAAAAAAGTTTGTCTGTTAAATTTAATATTAACAAATAAACATTTACTACTTAATTAGTGATTGTTGGAAATTTTCATATTATACATAATTGCCGCCTTACCATAATTGATAATTAAAAGTTTAAAGATTGATGTTTCAAAAATATTATGTAAATATAAGAAAAATTTATATTTTCTAAATGTTAAATTACTTTTAACTTTTAGAAGTTATCAAAACTTTTGAAATTGTGCTCTATGGTGCTCTATGGTGCTCTTGGTGCTCCTTATTGACGATGAAAATAAAAAGAAGTTGGGGGAAATGGAGGAAACTCATTAAAATCATATAAATTCTTGCATGACTGAAATGCAAGAGAATTCTTTTTTTTTAAAGAAATTCGACAGTTTTCCAATTTGAAGTTGTTTCCAAGTTATCGAGCGCGCTCACAATTATTTTGCCAATATCAGTCAGCCAAGTATAGAATATTTAGGAAAGTGTCTGCTATCATATTCTGGAGCAATGCAAACATTTAATCCTGACCGTGGATTTTGCTAATATTCACTCAGCCAATTTCCAACTTTTAATTTCAAATTATAAACGTCAGCAAAAATAATTTACACAGCGTTTATTTCATTTTTCATTTTTCCCAAACTATTTTTCTTGAGTTTTAAAAATTTCTATTACTTTATTGAAAGTTTATGTATAATATTTATCTTCGAAGAGAAATAAATTGTTAAATACAGGCTTCGCACTCATCTGCTAAAACCTACTATTTACTACTTTTTATACGTTATTCTACTACTTAAGTACTTTTTTTAGATTCATCAACTAAAATAAAAATTCAATTCTTTCTTTTTAAATATGAAAATAGGAATCCATATGAATTCCCACTATACATATTTTATTATCAATAGGGAATTTAATACTAATTTTAATTTTTATATTAATTTGAACATTAATTTTAATTTTGCATATTTAATATTTCTTTTAATGCATGTTTTCCCTCTGTTTGTATTCGTCATTGTTTCACAATCGACATAATATGTTTTAATCTATATATTGGAATATTAGCAAAACATTGTTGTTGTTTAATGTCAATAACAGTTTTCACAATTTTAATTAAATTTCATATAAAAATTCGATATATAAATTAAATTGGAAATAATTGAAAGAAAATTAAGTGCATTTACTGTTTGGCTTTGTTGGGAGGAAAATATTTGAAAAAATAATTCACTATCTCGATATATGAGGGAAAAAAATCACATGTATATACTATTATTTTGATGGAAAGTAATAACAAATAGACTAAACCAATATTATAGCAATATATATGCCCTGGGGTCACTATATATATGTATATATGTATAACTTAAATTATTTACCGAAGCGAGATTTTTATCAGCAAAATTCTCAATAAAAACGATTATTATTTATGGTCATCGGTAGAATAAATTCAATTATTTATTTTTACAAGGATTTATATTTGTTATAGAACATTTTTTTTTTACTCTTTTAGTGATCAAATTCATGAAAAAGTTTTTAAAAATTTAAAAATTTAAAATTTTTAAATTTAAAATTTTTAAATTTTAAATTTTAAAATTTAAAAAAAAATTTTTTTTTTTAAATTATTTTTTACATATATCATTAAAACTGGTATAAACCTTTATTTTAAAGCACCTTAGAATTATCGTAAGTCTTTGGCATTTATATATACAATTTGTAATTAAATTCTTTTTTTCAGTAACCATCGAAAGTGGTGAGAGTCAGGGTCCAGCTCACAAATTTTCCAGTTTTTTCATCATAGTCTCAAATGAAAATGAAACACTCGACAGTGGAACATTGATTGTGATTGATGAGACTTTATCTAAATATTCGGAAAAATGTGAAAATGCAATTATCGAAACAGCCAAATTACCAAAAGAATCAGTTTCAATTATTTGGAGAAGTCCAATTGAAGATAGTGGTTGCGTCCGAATAAGGTTTTTTTTTCTTTAAAAAATGATAATTATATTATCTTACAATTAACATTTTTGAAGTGTTTCAATCACCGATTGTTATGAAACTTATGAAACTTGGTATAATTATTCTAAATCTAAATTTATTCTAAATATTAAACATATATTTTGTTATATCGACTGAAAAAAATTTTTATGAGTTAAAAATACTCTTTTACCCCTTAATATGTACGTTATGTATTATCGGTGGTTTACGGCGTCTTTTATCGCGAATCTAGTCATTTTTTCAAAATTCAAAATGGCGGATCCAATATGGCGGACGATTTTTTAGAAATTTGATTCAATTCGCTTGAAACTCGTCACTCGGGGGTTTTTGGGGTCGCTAATTACGAATCTGAAGTCAGTTTTTAAAAATTCAAAATGGCGGATCCAATATGGCGGACGATTTTTTTAAAATTTGATTCAATTCGCTTGAAACTCGTTACTCGGGGGTTTTTGGGGTCGCTGATTACGAATCTGATGTCAGTTTTTAAAAATTCAAAATGGCGGACGATTTTTTAGAAATTTGATTCAATTCACTTGAAACTCGTTACTCGGGGGTTTTTGGGGTCACTGATTATGAATCCGGAGTTAGTTTTTCAAAATTTAATTTAATAATTTTCAAAAATAATATAAATTGAATTAAATTTCCCAGGGCCCTAGTGGTGGAGACGCCAGAAACATGGTACATGGAAGACGATGATGCAAATGAAAAACTATCGTTACGCATGTGTCCAAATCCCAAAGCTGAGGAGGATGAACAGGGGGAAATTCTCGATAAATGTTGCGCTTGCGATGAAGCAAAATACGAAGTGGCATTCGAAGGTCTTTGGTCCCGAAATACTCATCCTAAAGTAAGTATACTATATAATATGTAAAAAAAATATCATTAGAAAAAAAATGAACACAAAGGGGAAAATATTAAATCCCGTTTGTCTATATAGATCGGATAAAATTTTCTAAAGCGATTAATTATTTAATAAGCATTTTAATTAAAATTCGTTTACATTTTAATAGGATTTCCCAAGCAAAGCCTGGCTCGCTCGATTCTCGGATGTAATTGGCGCATCGCACACGGCAAAATATCGTTTTTGGTCATATAATGGAAATGCAAGCGAGGGATTAAAACAAGTGGCTGAACATGGCTCAACACGTGTCCTTGAATCTGAATTAAAAGATCAGGTTAGTGAGAACGAAAAAAGCATTTTTTATTTCCAATAATTTGTTCAAATGAATATCAATATTGAATGCGAGAAAATTCGGAAAAAAAACTTTGATGTACCTTTTAATAAATATTATGTTATTAATATTATTATTTATTTATTTTATAATAATAACAAACTATTTGTTTGAAATTAATAACTGAATTTTGATTATTTACATTTATAAAAAAACGTTGTTATTATCTATGGACCCAACCGGGATAGATTTTGAAAATTCAAAATGGTGGATCCAAGATGGCGGATATATTTGTAAATTAATATTTCTTTATGAAACTTGTTACCTAGGGGTTTTTTGGGTCCCTGATTACGAATCTGAAGTCAGATTTTCAAAATTCAATATGACGGACCCCTTTTTTTTTTAAATTGGTAGATTTTCATAAAATTTGGTATCTACTGGTTTCACATTGAATTATTTTTATTTATTTTATTTATTTAAAAATTGTCGTAATTTTATAATGTTTTATAATGTTTAATTTTATAATGTTGCAATGTAAATGAATTATTTATCAAAATAAATTATTATATTTATTATTCATATAAATATAATATTATTTATAACATAAATAAATTGAAAGAAAAAAAAAATATTTCTAGAGTGAACATATTAGGACGATTATCAAAGCGAGAGGAATTAGTTATCCAAACGTGACTGGAAAAACGTTTGCCGTTTTTCGAGTGGATAGAATGCACCACCTAATGTCGCTGGTCTCAATGATTGGTGAATATAATAAGAAATTAATCCAAGGAGAAAAATTTATTTTTACCAATAGTTTAGAATTTATTTCTGTATTATACAAATAATTAAAAATCATATTACTAAATTATTTTTTTTTTAACATCTATTTTAAATTTTATATAAATTTGAACAGACCCATCGCCAGATTGGTTCGTAGGGGTTTCAGGACTCGAACTTTGCTTGTCGAACTGCACTTGGATTGAGCACAAGCAATATAATTTGTACCCGTACGATGCGGGTACGGACGAAGGAATCACTTACTTGGTAATTCTTTTTTTTTCATCTTCAAAACTATAATTGAACTGAGAAAAAGGAACTAAAACAAAATTAATTTTCTACGCAATTCGATGTTTTTTATTTCACTCTATTTTGTAACAAAAATGATTTTTTAAAATTTTTTGTTAAAATTTAATTGTTTAAAAGTTTAGTATTAAATTATTTATTTAAATAAAAGATATTTAATTTTTTTAAGGCCGATGATGTGCCAACGATTCCTCAACAATCAATACGTCGGATAACGACGTCATATCCAAATGACAGTGGATCGCCATTCTTCGATCCATTTAACAGTGACATGAAACCAATGGCGAAACTTCATATAAATCGTCAGAGGATTTATGAAAAAGTTTGTGAGGGAATGCAACAAAAACCATCAAATTCAGGTGGTCGACATAAAAAATCTAAAAATAGCAAGTATTCCTTTGGTTTTGTCTTTTATTTTGCTAACATTCTCTTTCATTTTCATCATAAGCCAATAATAAAATTAATAAATGAATTATAACTATAATTGAGGATTTTAAACTATAATCTCATTAATTTTAATAATTTCATATTTTTTTCATATTCTTATTATATAAGTCTTATATATTTATATTCTTATATATTTCTAACTTTTTTCAAAATTATACATTATCTCGAATTTGCAACGTTTTGTTTTATACTAAGGTTCTATCATAGAATTTACAGGTGTCGATTTTTCCGAAAATTACAACTAGGGTTGACCCCTTAGCATTAATAGTATAATAATTAATTAATTAATAATAATATAGTAATAATAATAGTCTGTATAATTTTTTTCACAACCTATAGATACGATGCATACGCTTTTTTGAATTTAGTGTTTATAAAGCATGAAACATTTATGATTTCAAAAAATTTTGTTGATTTGTGTCCTATGTGTTAGATCTTGATTATATTAATATTTTTATTAACTAAATCACAAAGTATATATTTCTCAAGTATTTACACAAGTTTTGTCGGATTTCTAATTGCACCAACCTTTTATTTACTTAGCATCTTAATATTTTAAATCCATTCGATACAATCAGGGCTCGGATTGTGCGACCTTTTCGACTTTTCTAAGGAAATGTAACTTTTTTCGACTTTTTTGTTAAAAAAAAAATGCGACTAATCGACTTTCTCCAGATTTTTTTTCAGTAAAATGCGACAGAAATTTAAATTTAAAGAAAAAAGTTTGAGTCAAAAAAATGTTATGTTACATTTATTTACAAATTTCTTTCAAATTTTTCGAAAACATCAATAATTTCTTTTTTAAATAAATATTTAATTATTATTTATCCATAGGAATTAAAATTTGTCAAAAGATTCAAATTCAAACCATTTTGAAATTAAACAACTTATAAAAAATTGTTATAAAACATGAAGAAATCGATCACTCTGAGTCTTCGACTCGGAGCAATCGATTTCTTCATGTTTTATAACAATTAAAGATGACCGAGTGATAAAATCATTAATTTAAATTCTAAGACTTTATAAAAAAAAATTTTTTTTAATTATTTTTTATGAAAATATATGAATTACTGGGAACAAATTTATAAAACATTAGTAATTGAAATTTTAACAAGAATTTTATTAAAATTTTTGCAAATAATTGAATTTCAGAAAAGAATTTTATTACTCTCAAAGATAATTGAAATTTTGAACAGATTTTTTTAAAAATGTTTAAAAGTAATTGAATTTTGATATTTATAAAAATAATTGAAATTTTGAAAATAATTTAATTTCTGCCAAGAATTTTATTACTTTTTGAAGATAATTAAATTTCTAGGATGAATTTTATTAAAATTCTTGGCAAATAATTGAATTTCAGAGAAGAATTTTATTATTCACAAAAATAATTGAAATTTTGAACAAATTTTTTTTTTAAATGTTTAAAAGAAATTGAATTTTGCAGAAGAATTTTGATATTTTTAAAAATAATTGAAATTTTGAGAAAAATTAAAAAAAAATTTTTTGAAAATAATTGAATTTTGCAAAGAATTTTATCAGAACTTTTGAAAATAATTAAATTTTCAGGATGAGTTTTATTATTTATGTAGATAATTAAAATTTTGACGAGAAATTTAAAAAAATATTTTTAAATAATTGAATTTCTATGATGAATTTTATTATTTATAAAGATAATTGAAATTTTAACAAGAATTTTATTAAAATTTTTGCAAATAATTGAATTTCAGAGAAGAATTTTATTACTCTCAAAGATAATTGAAATTTTTAACAGATTTTTTTAAAAATGTTCTAAAGTAATTGAATTTTGCAGAAGAATTTTGATATTTATAAAAATAATTGAAATTTTGAGGAGAATTTAAAAAAAAATATTTTAAAAATAATTGAATTTCTAAAAAGAATTTTTATTACTTTTTCAAAATAATTGAATTTTGCAAAGAATTTTAACAGAACTTTTAAAAATAATTAAATTTCGAGGATGAATTTTATTATTTATGAATATAATTAAAATTTTGACGAGAAATTTTAAAAAAAAATTAAAAATAATTGAATTTCTAGGATGAATTTTATTACTTTTGAACATAATTGAATTTCTAGAATGAATTTTACTATTTATAAAGATAATTTATCTTTTGATAAGAATTTTATTAAAATTTTTGCAAATAATTGAATTTCAGAGAAGAATTTTATTATACTCTCAAAAATAATTGAAATTTTGAATAGATTTTTTTAAAAATATTTAAATGTAATTGAATTTTGATATTTATAAAAATAATTGAAATTTTGAAAATAATTAAATTTCTGCTAAGAATTTTATTACTTTTTTAAGATAATTGAATTTTGCAAAGAATTTTATCAGAACTTTTGAAAATAATTAAATTTTCATGATGAATTTTATTATTTATAAAATTGTTGAATATAATTGAATTTCTGCGAAGAATTTTATTACTTTTGAAAATAATTGAATTTTAAAGAAGAATTTTATTAAATTTTTTTTTTAAATAATTGAATTTCGGAGAAGAATTTTATTATTTATAAGAATAATTGACATTTTAAAGAGAATTTTTAAAAAAATGTTAATAATACATCATTAAAATTTTGCTATGAATTTTATTAAATTTTTTTGAAATTTTATTCCGGATTGTTTGATATTAATGTATCTGTTGTCGAGAAATGTAATTTTTTTTGACAATTTTTACAATTTTGTGTTTTTTTTAATCGTTTTTTTTTTTATTTTTTCTAATATTTCATGCGACTTTTTCGGAAATTTTTGCGACTTTTCGTGACTTTTGTTGTAAATTTATGCGACTTTTTTTGAGTCTTAAAGACGATCCGAGCCCTGTACAATGTTTATGAATTACGCAAAAAACAATTTTCAATACATTAAGAAAATATTACGTCCCCTATTAAAATAGTAAATATTCACTGTAGAAGCCTGCAGAATGACCCCTTGGGGTGATTGGGGTCCCTGTTCAGTGCAATGTGGCCAGGGAACGAGTTTAAGACAAAGGCACTTCGTTGACAATTATGCAGCGACAAAAACAAATTGTAAAGATTCGCAATCAGACAGAAAAATTTGCTACGGAGGAGGTGGTCCATGGTAAGTTATTATCTACTGCAAAATGCTTCACTCACTTTCTCTCCTAATGGTCTAAAATTAAATGTTTACTTATTCCCCTTTTCAAGTGAAATGTCAGCAAAAGATGCGGCTATTCTGAACAGTAAGGAATGCGAATTGGAGCAATGGAGTCAATGGAGTGAATGCTCCTCAACGTGTGCACCATCCGTACAAGCTAGGAAACGCATATTCATTCATAAAAAGCATCAAAAGCATTGCAGGAATGTTTCAAAACCACCACGTTTAGAGCAAACAAGAAAGTGTGATCTCCCAGCGTGCGAGCAATGCGAGGAAGAGCCATGTGAGGAGGTAAGAACATCCCTCGAACCCACTGACATTGAAAGTGTCACTGAAACCACAACTGAAAGTAATGATGATCCTGAGGATGATGATAATGAGGGAGACGATGATTCGGAAGAAGAAGTGGAGATAATCGAGGAATGGCGAGAGGTATAACGGCAAATTTTTTGTATTCATTTTTTCTGATGACTAGAAATCAGAGAAATGCGAAGAATTCACTTTATTCACTTGATGACTAATATCGACATCTCAATTTCATGTTTCACATTAACGATTACTTAATATATTTTCGAATATTACTTATGAGATTACCTTTTTTGTGAAAATGATAATTTTATGATGAACAAATTGCTTGAGAATAAGATATTTTTTAAAGCATTTTACTAACAAAGAACAGTTTCACTGGGCCATTTCTCGTGTCGTCATTCCACTTCAGCTTTCTCATAATATATGCGAAAAATAGTGCTTAAGTACCGCAGTAAGTTGTTTCATTTAATTAATATTAATAATCGACAATTCTCATAGGATCATTAGCCGAATTGCGTGACAATTGTCAACATGCACTAGTAGTATAACTATAATAATATTGTTGTCTTCATGAAAATGGCATCGTACGATTTTGAATCAGAAATTTAATTTCCAAAAACAGAAATGCCCGAACTCTCGATTCTCTGCGTGGTCCATATGGACACCATGCAGTTCAAGTTGTGGACCAGGTGTCATGATGCGTTCCCGAATAATTGAAAAAAATGTCAATAATGTTGGGGAAGAAGTGCAGGACAGTGAGGATGAGGAAGATAATCTTCAAGAGTGTACAGTGCAGCAGGCTGCATGTACCGCAAAAATAGAAAGTTGCAATTACACTGTTGAAGAAGCTGAAGGTAATTAGATTATAATTAATTAAACATTAATCTTTCATACCCAGTGTATGAAAGATAAATCTCTGAAAGGAAATTTCTCATAATTCCAGAAATATGTCTCGAACCAAAGGATCCAGGAACATGTTCGGGGAATATCATTCGCCTTTACTATGACAAAGATGCCGGTGAATGTAAACACTTCAGTTATTCAGGTTGCGAAGGAACGAGAAATAATTTTCCAACAGCGATTGATTGTGAGAAAGTATGCAAACGGGGTCAAAGTAAGTTTTCTTTCAAAAACCCTACTGATGGATTATTGGAATAACAATTTTAACTAATGTTACATCTGATTAACAAGAAAATTTCTAATTGAATGCACGCTTACTAACAAAATAATCAGAGGACACTAGAACGAATCATTCAAGTTCCGTAAAGCACTTTCAAGTATCAATCAGCAGTGTTCTTAGCTATCATATTCCAGTACAAGAACAACGAAGTCCCAAATCTAAACGCGCCAGATCTGGTGAAAACTATTTTTTCTTTTATGAATCCTAATCTTTAGAATGTTTACTTCAGTAAAGTAATTGAATGTTGTAATTGGTACCTTTAGTAAATTGGGAATATTTCTTTCAGGCTCAGATACAACGCCCGATGAATTTAATGGATTACAAACTGGAAGTCAAGTTATTGAAGCCACTGAGGAATATCGAGGAAAAGTGGATTGTGAAGTTAGTGATTGGAGTCCATGGTCTGAATGTTTGAATTGTCACGATACTTCGTATAGAATTCGGGAAGTGACGGTAAACGTTTAACAATAATTTGTTATTATATTCTTTTTCCATATTTAAATAATTGTTTAATAAATATTAAATTTTGGAATAAAATAAATTCTAACAAATATAATAATTAATGATGATGTTGAATTGTAATAATTAATGTTGTTTGGAAAACATTTAAAAACGAGTAGTTTTTAATTTTTTTTACTAAAATAATTCAAATATTCAATTTTTAAATTCGGTTCTCTGGCTTTCAAAAATCAGGTGAAGCGACAAAATAAAGGCAGAAAGTGTCCAAAATTAGCGAAATATAAAAAATGCAGTACTTTACCAGAATGTGGTGAGTTGGACTAAATTTCATATGTTTATATTTTATATGCTCTTGCATTTATATTTTACTTTAATCAATATAAAGTTTATGATTTTGACGAATTTCCAATATATTTTGACTTTAATCAATATAAAGTTTATGATTTTGACGAATTTCTATACAATTATATGGAAATTCGTCAAAATTTTGACAAATTTCCAATATATTTTGACTTTAATCAATATAAAGTTTATGATTTTGACGAATTTCCATACAATTATATGGAAATTCGTCAAAATTTTGACGAATTTCTAATATGTATTGACTTTAATCAATATAAAGTTTATGATTTTGACGAATTTCCAATATATTTTGGCTTTAATCAATATAAAGTTTATGATTTTGACGAATTTCCATACAATTATATGGAAATTCGTCAAAATTTTGACGAATTTCCAATATGTATTGAATTTAATCAATATAAAGTTTATGATTTTGACGAATTTCCATACAATTATATGGAAATTCCTCAAAATTTAGACGAATTTCCAATATATTTTGACTTTAATCAATATAAAGTTTATGATTTTGACGAATTTCCATACAATTATATGGAAATTCGTCAAAATTTTGACGAATTTCTAATATATTTTGACTTTAATCAATATAAAGTTTATGATTTTGACGAATTTCCATACAATTATATGGAAATTCGTCAAAATTTTGACGAATTTCCATATAATTGTATGGAAATTCGTCAAAATCATAAACCCAATTTATAATTATAAATCGGGAATTTATTTTTACAGCGTCTAAGAGAAATGGCATGAATATCAGACGCCGAAGCAAGGACGATCTTCCATTAAGTGGGAATTATAATGACGAAGGTGAGTCGAATCTTCTTGTGCAAAATTCTAAAAGTAAAATATTAAAATTTGAGTAATTATAATACTTACTTACAATAAATATGTTGCAGAGGAATCCGTCGATTGTCAAGTGAGCCAATGGTCCAGATGGTCCCGTTGCAGTGCCACCTGTGGAGACTCTGTGCAATATAGAACGAAAACAATTAAAATTCAACCAAAGAATAGGGGACAATTATGTCCACCTCTCGTCGAATTTCGTGATTGTTCAAAACCACAATGTCCATCTAAATAATTAAAAGTTCATTCAATTTCCTGCAAAGGAATTCTCCAATTTTCTATGTTTTTAACTGAAATACAAAAAAAATAACAAGTTTAAAAAAAATCAAAAAAAAAGTAAGTACCTATCTAGAAAAAACTATATCTTAAATAATAATGGGGAAAATTTACTATTGATAGATGTAGATGAAATTCCAAGATATAAAACCTGAACATCTCAATATTACAAATCATATATTTTATACTGATAACTATAAAACTATATATATATAAAATTTTATACTCGAAAAAGTGTTTTTCTTTTCTAAACCAGAAACAATTGACAAATTACAATTTTTTAAAAAATTTGGATAGTTTTAGTTTTTTTTAGTTTTTTAAAAATTGTAGAATGATTTTCCAAAATATCGTTTACAGATAATTTAATGAAAAATAAAATTATAATTTTTAGTGGGAATAGAATAAAAAAATCTGTAAGGAAATATATTCTACTAAAAGGTACAATCATTTAGTTATATAAATCAAACATATCGCATAATTTATGTGAACGTAATACTCAAATTCCAAAGAATGTAAAATTGACATTAAATTAAGATATTTCTACTATACTATTTTAGTGAATAGTAGAATTTTTTCAGATTTAATATGTAAAAGGAAAAAATTCTTATATGTAAAATTGTGCGAATATTTGAATAGCACAATCATGTTTAAAGTTGAAGAAAAAAGGACAAAAATAATTAGATAATTATGAAGAAGTCGATTTAAACTGACATACCTAAATTAATATTTTTTTTTTTGAAAAATTGTTCTTTTTAAAATAAGTATGCATTGTAAAAAAGTAATCATAAGAATATCATGGAAATATATATGTATTCATCTTGTGTATATTATAACTAACTTACATTTATTAGTTCCGATTGACAATAATAGATTATTATTGTAGTGATTATTAATATGCGACTAAGCAACTTGTAATATTTTTTTGTAATTAAACGAAATTCCATTTAAATTCTGCAGTCCTAGTTTCATTATTTTCTTATTATTATAAATAATATTTTATTATTTCTAAATAGAAGTTAAAATTTTTATTTCTTTTCAAAATAAAAGAAAGGCAAACAAGCAATACAACAATTCAAAATTTATTGTATAGTACAATTATTTATTAACAATTACGTTATTGAATACTTGTCGCAATAATTATAGATTTAATTCAGTAAATTATTGGAACGCAAGTAATGTGCAAAATAAATTTGATACAACTTATTGTAGCTTAAGTCAATTTTGTAATTATCGTGGAATTTAGTAATTCTTTTAATATCGGCAGTCTCGGCAGAAACAAATGTCTCAACATTGTCACTGTTGATCAAACCTGATTGTCCGAAAACAAAAGTGTAATTCCATGCCCAATACTTCCGGTCTTTCAAATTTATTTTAAAAAGCTCCGGTTCTGCAATATAGAAATGTATTTTATCATTCGTATTAAATTTATGGACAACATTCGTGAGGTTCAAGGTACTTTCACCGCCTATAAAATTGTGATTGAAAACTGAAATACCATTTCTCTCAAGCCGTACAGAAAAAAATAATATATCATTGAAATAATCATCAATTGTGTCGTTCATTTGTTTTAAAATTATTGTCGAATCATTGTAATTGATAAATATTTGTAAGAATAATTCGTCATAACTTCCTAACACATCAAATGTGCAATGAAATACAGCTGTAGATATGAGTACAGTTTCATTCACTTCATTCAATTTTATGGAATGTAAACCGTCATTCTTAAAGACGAAAGCATTGGACACTTCAGCGTTATATTCCTGTAAATTAAAATTTAGATTTTTGGGTTCTATATGATCAATATAGAGTACATCATTAATTTCAAATTTATGAGCAAAATTTAACCAGTCTACATAATGATCTGGATTGCCTAAAAATAAATGTTCAAAAACAACCGAATCATTTCGTAGCAAGCGCATAGTGAAATAAGTTGTGTTTCCATAATTCGAATCAGTGGAAGTTAAGAACTGCTTCACTTCAATTGTCATATTCTTGTAGTTTACAAATATTTTTAATAGCTGCCTACTATTTGGACCAAAAGATTTTTGAACGTCAAATTCATATTTTAATACTTTTGATTCTGGATTGATTGTTCTCAATCCGGTATTTGTAACAAGAAAAGTATAACTATTCTCCGCTTTTAGATCTTTCAAATTTAATTTTAAACGATCTGCATCTTGGTGGTAAATTGTAATTTCATCGTTGATTTTAATGTCTTGTAGAATTGGACAATTCTTATCGTATATATAATCGGTGAAAGTGTAATTTAGAAGAATCGATCCATTTCGCTTTAAGTTTACAAAAAAGTACACATTACCGGGTCTTGAATTAGTAGAGACATTATTATAGAATTCCGTTATTCTAAGCGTCATGTTCTTGTAATTGATAAACATATTAAGGAACACGTTATTCTTGACATCCAAAGCGTCAAAGGAATAGTGAACAAACAGCGAAACTATATCCTTCTCTTGAATATTTCTGACTTTAATGTTGATAAACGTGTCTTCTGTAATAGTATGATAAGTTATTTCACTAATGTACAAATTTTCACCTTTCTTCTCTGCTACATAAACCGAGTAAACATCTGACAGTAGTTTGATAATCACTGACTTCTCTACAATAGTCTGACAAATATTATTCAAGTACAGACAACAATTTCTGAGATGCATTGTCGATTCAATAGTAAAATTAGCAGAAACATAATTAGCTTCCACCTTTTCTGTCATCAACATTAAAGGGGATGTTAATCTCAAATCACGTTCGTTACTTCTTACTTTTAAGTCAATTGGCTTAATATTAAAATCAACAGCAGGCATTACATTCTTTCCGCTTAAAAGTAGTAATTCCAAATCGTAAGTTACCAATGGACGTGAGTCAACATTAAAGTTGAATACCTTCTTAAAAAAAGGTAATAAACTTATATCGTAAAGATCAAAAAATATTTCCAGAATAGTAGGTACTATGTTAGTCGGAGAATCAGAATTTAAAATTTCATTAGTTGGTGTATGTCGGACTCGAAACTCCCGTAAATTTGAGTCAGTTCCATCATATCCAAAGAGACTTACGAATAAGCATAATTTTTCTTGATAAGTCCATTGGGTTATATGTTTTCCTTCTTGATAATGATACATACCATAGAAATCAGAAATGTTTTCAGTATCTTCAATATAATTAGACTCAAATGGCGAATCTGTATTAACGCGATTATTTTGTTTTCTGAACCTTTGTTGATATAGGATTGCAAACATATCATTCCACAAATTGTACGTTTCTCCAAAACTAACATCCGTTTCCTTCTTGTTGTAGTAGTGGGCAAATTGTTGCAATAAGATCCAACTCGATCCTCTTTCAGGTTGTAGAAATCTTTTTATGTTATCAGTAACTATCCAATGAAGATTGAAATTGGTTTTCGAGCATGTTACAGAATTAAGAAAATTGTTTTCATCACATCGTTCTGAGCGTATAAATAAGGATGTCCTATCGATGAATTTTAGGGAAGAAAGAATTGCTTTCTTCTCATAAGTATGGATAGTTGTCAAATAGTCGTAGTACTCAATTACCTCAATTTGATTTAGTAACCCAACGTACAAGTTGTAAGATGATGACTTTAACTGATCAATGTCTTGCACTGACAGTAACATTTGTGTATAGTAATTTTCAACAAATCCGTAAACTTGTACTTTTTGGTAAAAGTCAGATTCATCCTTTTCTGAAGAATGGAGTGTAACATCATTTGAATAAAAAATTGGCAATGGTAACCATTCTCTTGTTTGAAGTGTTACCGTTACTAGAACATTGTTCGACACTGACATCATGGGAACACAATCATAATTTGCTACAAAAGTTTTAGTGAAATTCGATTCTCCAGAGAGATCTAACATGTTAAATGTATCATTGGCTGTGTCGGTAAGACAGTAGAAGAATAAGTTTTCTATTTTTCTCCGTGTCTCTGTAGACAAACTAAAATTTGTCCCTCCTTTAATAATTATTCCAAAATGAGTTTTGTAGTGATAGAATTGGTTTTGAATTAGATTTCTCGTCCATGGCTTGGAAAATTCTCGAATTAAAGGTTTTGCAACTCTTGTAGTTTCCTAAAAGTGGTATTTAAGGAGTCAGGCCACCATGCACGTGTAAAAAAGAATGGTCAAATTTGAGAATTTTTTCAAAGAGTATATTAAAAGCTATTAAATTTTCGTATTCAGTACTTTATTATATATCTTAAAATGTACCAAAAACTATATTAAACATTTATTTTTTATTATAAAATGACCTGCTTCAGGATCCGTTTTAAATAATGACGTTTCTTGGAAGCCCAAAATGGGCGGAATGGCTGTACCGACAAATTCGAACCTGGAATATAAAACCAAAAATTTTCTTTTAATATATGCCATAAATTAGTATACCACGTAGGGGATTTTGAAGATATCGTTTTTTTTCGAAAAATGGTAAGTATATAAACAAAAAATACTGTTTTCGTACACAAATTTAATTACTTAATTGTTTTTATGAAATGAAAAATTTGCAACATATCAAAAAATCCCTACGTGGTCTACTAGTTTATGGCATATATTAAAAGAAAATTTTTGGTTTTTTATTCAGATATATAATAAAGTACTAAATACGAAAATTTAATAGCTTTTAATATACTCTTTGAAAAAATTTCCAAATTTGACCATTCTTTTTTACAGGTGCATGGTGGCCTGACCCCATAAAGTATAAAAAATTGTGTATAATGAAATAATATAAAAATAGTAAAAATACTTCGCTAACTGAATTTTCTTACCAACAGACAAGAATAAATTTTTAAAAATTAGATTACAGAAATGTGACAAATACTTACATTTAAATTCCATGAAATAACCTGCTGTGAAACGGAGAAAGAGACAAGAATTAAGAGTAACTCATTCATAATTGGATAATGCATCGTATCACACTGACAAATATAATGTTTATTAATTATTCGAGACCTTCCGAATTTAATATAAATTTACATTTATTTATTAAATTTATTTTATTTAATAAAGATGTTCGAAAATCAACTCAACTACTTTTATTAATGCGTAAATCAACGAATAAAGGCAGTTGTACACGTCAGCGATTCTGAGTATTTTCTTGTCGTGTAAGCAGTTTTCAAAGTTGGAATGAGTTTTCTGACCAAGGGAACCGAGTTAGAAAATTGCTTGCATGGCGGGATAATTTAAAAATATAAGTAATGATTAGTAATTTGTGAAAGATATATAATAGTAGAATATGAGTAAAATGATTTTATTCAATAAAACTTATGTGAAATAACTTGTGATAAATTATTGTAATGAAAAAGTGAAAATGTTATGAGAAATGTGTTAAAATGAAATTACAATTGTGATCAAGTCGATGTTTGCAGAAAAGGTAATGCAGTCCATGTGTGTATTAAGTAAACAGTTATCAGAGTTTTTTATATATTTTTTATATAAAAAACTAAATATATATAACTAAAAACTAAATATATATAAAAACTAAATTGCATAAAATTTTGTTGAATCATGAATTTTTTCAAAAATTTTTTTGGAAAATTATCGAATTAAAAGTAGAGGAAATTTTCTAAAAAAATATTATTTATATTTTTTGTTACATCATTAACACGACAGTTCTTTTCCGACATACATTCCAAATTGTTCACATGTATTATATTGTTCTCCTTTTGAGAAACAATATAATAAATATATATAGCTTCAATGCATTTTTTCATTTCCTCATCGAATGCGAAGTGTTCTTCATGGTAAAATCTTTACTCCAACCTGAGAAACATAGAATATATTAAAGTGAAATATTTTTTAATAAAACAATTAAAAACAATGCTCATTTATGCAAACAAAAGTTTTCATTTTCTAAATGTCTGTAATCTTTGAATTAATTATCGAGTACGAAGTCTAATATTACTTTAATATACATAGTGTAATATTAATGTACAATTTCACCTGGAAAACTTCTTAAGATTTCATTCCAAGCTTTTGATCTGGCTAAAAGACTTTTTTGTTGAATTGAAAGTTTGTGGTTTCCAGATAATAGAAAAACTTCGAACACTCTTAATCAAGAACAAAAAAATTTCCCGAACATTTTTTTTCATTCCCCTCCACGGTGGGCTTGAAACTGATTCAACCCAAAAGTCTTTGCACCTGAGTCAAAACACGCCAAGTGAGCACCCCTTTAGACATTTTTTCACCAAATTTAATGAAACTTGGTAGAAACATTGTACTAATAGAGTAGATGCAATTTGCCAAATTTCGTTAATTAATAATAACGGGTTGCCTAGTTACAGGGTGTCAAAGTTTAACATTATTATCGAAACGCAAAATTTCTATCTCCTATACTATTGACGAATGCAAGATCTTATCCACAAATTGGAATCTAATGCAATATAAAGCTTAATGTAATAATTTGGTTGTTATTGTCTCGCGCAGTGCCGGGAGGAGCTCGTCACGGGAGCGAGGCGAGCAATAAACAATATATGTTTGCTATTGAACAAATGTCGGGCAGTGGAATTTTTTTTCAGATTCTTAAACCTATGATTCCAACGTATTTATTTATGTAAAAAAGAAACAATTTTCGCTTGGATAAAGCATAAAAAATGTTAATTGTTTAAAAAAAATAATACAATTTTTCAACAAAAAAAATTTTTTTTAAGTGAAATTATTTATTCGAAAAGTTTGATAAAAATACTACAAAAAACATATAAACAATTTTTTTGTACGGTCAATAGTATAGGAGATAGAAATTTTGCGTTTCGATAATAATGTTAAACTTTGACACCCTGTAACTAGGCAACCCGTTATTATTAATTAACGAAATTTGGCAAATTGCATCTACTCTATTAGTACAATGTTTCTACCAAGTTTCATTAAATTTGGTGAAAAAATGTCTACAGGGGTGCTCACTTGGCGTGTTTTGACTCAGAAGTGAGCATAGCAACGTTTATATAGTGCATAAACTATGTTTATTTATAATATACACTGGAGCTTCACTTATTTTCAGTCTCACTTATTTGTAGTCGCACTTATTTTCACCATTTCCAGTCTCACTTATTTTCAGTTAAAAGGTTCTCCGTGCGTTCTCATTGGTTGTTGTTAAATAATCCACCAATCAAATCAACTCGAATGTTACGTTTCAGAGTGAAAATAAGTGCGACTTTGCCTTTCAGTTTGTTTCGACTTAGTGAAAATAAGTGAAGCTCCAGTGTATTTATATTATATTTTATAAAATATATTTTTTCTTTAATACCTACAACTTCTATATAAAGTTTTTTTCAGAAAATTAAAATTTTTAGAGTAAAATTGAAATTTCGATATTTTAAAAAGAAAAATCGAAGTTTCTCAAAAAGGGCTCCGGCGATTATTTTAATTTTTGTTACAAAATCATCTGCTTACTCTCTAGAATCAAAATCCACAAGAAAATCCCAGGTGCAAAGACTTTTGGGTTGAATCAGTTTCAAGCCCACTGTGCCTCTTTATCTGAAAATATTAAAAATTATTAATACTGATTTGATTAGCTTTGTTTTAATAGAATAAAATATAACACATTTACAATAGGATAACAACACACAATAACACATAAAAATTATTAGTCAAACATACTTAAAATGTTAAAAAGATTTAACACTTAAAACTGATACTTTCTTGTAATTTTGTAATAGATGAAAAATGAAACCTATTTTTAAAGAAATAATTAATAAAAATAATCAATAAATTATTGAGCATCTACAAAATTGTCAGAATATTTAAGGAGACTTGAAAATTCTAGAATGAACACTTATTGTATTAAAAGTATATTGCTAAAAATTTGTTTAATCTAGGAATAGTCAGTCAAACCTAATCATAACATACATGAGTTCGATGTTTTCGTTGTTGAGGTCAACGTCATAAAAACTGACGCAGTTATCTCATTTCAGATTATTTAATTTCTGTTTCTTTAAAACAAGTTTCTCTATTTCAAACTGAAAAATAAAAGAAAATATTATTAATAAGAAAAATTGTGTTTTACTTATTCTACTAAATAATAAATTTAAATAAGAAATATTAAATTGAATTATATGTACAACTTCGTCTCTTAAATAATAATTAAATAAAAAATATTAAATGTAAGATGATAAGATCCATAACCTTCAAATAATAATACAATATTATAATTTTAAGAATGTTGTAATTTAATAAAAAAACAGTGTTACCTCATTTTTGGAGTTGTCCATTTTCAATTTATAATGTATAAAATATATATAAAAAAATTAACAATTTAATATATTTTATAAAAAAAGCTATTTTGACATTAACCTCATCACGTCACTCTCATAACTGTTTACTTAATATACACATGGACTATACATTACCTTTTCTGCAAACATCGACTTGATCAGAATTGTAATTTTATTTTAACACATTTCTCATAACATTTTCACTTTTTCATTACAATAATTTATCACAAGTTATTTCACATAAGTTTTATTGAATAAAATCATTTTACTCATATTCTACTATTATTATATATCTTTCACAAATTACTGATCATTACTTATATTTTTAAATTATCCCGCCATGCAAGCAATTTTCTAACTCGGTTCCCTTGGTCAGAAAACTCATTCCAACTTTGAAAACTGCTTACACGACAAGGAAGAAAGAAGCATAATTTTTTCATTACACGTGTCAGTTACAAATTTGTTGAAATTGAAGTAATAAAATAAATTAATTTTCTAATATCCTTACTTTTTAATTTGTGCAATATTTATGTTGAACAATTCAACCACATCAATAAATATCAATTAAATTTTGATATATTATAATATTAGAAAACTTGATACAAATTAACAGTAGTTTATACTGAAGGGAAACTTTATTTCCATACTTCTTTCATTGCTGACTCATCACAAAACTAGAAGTAAAAAAATGTTAATATTACAATTTTTAAGTTTATTTACATTTTTTTGCATTTCCAACACCGAACGAATAGTAAACTGGAATTCAGAGGTAAGATTAACGAATAATATTTCAGATATAAAGAATAAGAGTAATTACACTTGTTTACACAGTGAAATTGTCAATCGAACAACACCTTTAATTCGAATAGTAGGTGTTTTTTGAGTAAGAAAATCATAGGTTTAATTTTTTTCCCCTCGTGCACTTTCTCTGTAGCTTCAAATTTTGCATTTTCGAGGTGTGACGCCACTTAATTAAACTTACCTGTAGGAAAATTAGCTTGTCAAAATTATAAAAAAAGTATCATTGTAAAGGTTTAGGTTTTATTTTTTTTTTTTTATTTATAGACTATATCATTACACAAATTTTGAGCCATTGAGGACCTCGATTGGGTTTAAAATGACAACTCTACACTAAATTTAGTAAACGAAACTACTTTCTTCATTTTTAGTTAAACATGTGCAGCAAAAATTCAAGTAATAAAATTTAGTTAGGCGCTAAAGTTAATAAAATCACTAATCAAGGGTGTCTAAAGTCGTTGATTTCGAATCAATTGTTAATTTTTCAAATATCAAAATGTCGAATCCAATATGGTGAACAAGTTTTTTAAAATCGATGAAATTCGTCTTAAATTTGTTACTCGGGGATTTTTGGGGTCGCTGATTACGAATCCGATGTCAGATTTCAAAAAATTCAAAACGGCGGATCCAATAGGTGCGAATTCGATGGATTTTTAAAAAAACTCATTCACCATTATAAATCCATCATTTTCAAAATCTGATATCAGATTCGCAATCAGCGACCCCAAAAACCACCGAGCAACGAATTTGAGACGAATTTAATCGTTTTTTAATAACTTGTCCGACATATTGGATCCGCCATTTTGAAATTAGTTAAACCTAACATTGCATTCGAAATCTGCGACTTCAGAAACACTTGATTAATGATTTTAGTAACTTTAGCGCTCAACTAAATTTTATTACTTGAATTTTTGCTGCAAATATTTAAGGGGTACTAAAAATGGCGTCGCACCTCGAAAAGTGCAAAATATTTGAAGCACGAGGGAAAAAAATTAAGACTATGATTTTCTTACTCAAAAAACACCTATTATTCGAACAAAAATGTTTTGTGCGATTGACAAAAAAAAGTTTTTAATATCCTAAACCTGTGTTGTATAAATATACTATTTATACTTGTTTTGTTATTAATGCTGTAATAGAAACTAATGTCTTTTATTCTTAACTTTTGATTATTTAATTAATAATTATTACTAGGGGGTCGTTCATAAACTACGTCACACTCCTAGGGGTGGGGGTGTGTCAAGCTGAGTGTGACGAAGTGTGGAAAAAATTTTTTTCGTATGTAAAAAATGTGACGCAGGGGGGGAGGGGGTAAAAATCAGTCCGAAAAAGCGTGACGTATAGTTTGTGAACGACCCCTAGCTCGATAGTTACATGAGCTGAAAACAAAATTTCTTTACATTTCCAAGAATATATATCATTTTTTGTATATCTAAAACTATTTGAGTTATTTTCAATTTCATGAAAAGTACCACTCTAATACAAATTTTTTAACTTCACAATAATAAACAGTATAAAAAACAAAAAAATTATATTTTAAACATGAATAAAAACTTTGTAATATTAAATTAGGAAATTGAAAGAACAGTAAGGCCAATTGTTCGAAAATTTGACGATTCATGGAAAGTCCACACGAGCAAAGAAGAATTTTATCATCACAAAAGTCACTTTGGAATAATAATTAAGAATGGAACAACTTTTTCTCTAACAACTAAAGAATTAAAAAATCTTTCAAATTTTTACTTTTTCTGTATTGCTACAAATTATGAAGACGTTAAGAAAATAAAATTTGAAGAGCATAGTAAGATTACAAATGTTTTGACAACGACATCTGATTGTGTGCCAATGATGTCTGTATCGTACAACATTGATGTGGAAGTAAAATTAACAACTAATAATTGGATCGATTTACCTGTTTTCGATTCTAGAAATATGACGTATCTTATGGCAGAGAATGCTGAAAAGGAGTTTTACAAAAAAGTAGAAATTTACGGTTTCGTTGAGAATTATTACGTACAAGTCCTGCTGTCTGCAAATGATATCAGAGAACTACAGTTTAAAGATTACAGTCTGTTTGTTGGTTTACAGAATCAAGTGGATGTGATAAAATACTACAATTATTTGACAAGTGCCAGTCGATATGTAAATAAAAATGATTCATACGCATATGCTTTGGTTGAGAAACACAAAATTTTCAGTCATACCAACGAAGGTTTCGCAGGAGGACATTTTGATTTCAACAGCATAAGATTCACATCTGTAGCAGATACATTTTTAGATCCTACTCGAGGACTTCAGTGGAGCTTATTACACGAAATGGCTCATTATTATGATATTAAAAGTAATGTTATTGGTATTGGATACACCTTCGAATCGTGGACAAATATTTATTGTGCTTTCTATCAACACAAATTTTCCTCTATGGATTATTGGGTTAAGTACGAAGATCAAGAGAACAACACGCTTCTATCGAATTATCGCAATGGAATTACTATCGAGAATAAAAAATGGGATTATAAGGAAAAAGTACACTTCTACTTGACATTGTTCGCATATGATGGTACTGACAAATCTTTCAGAGAATTTAATATTCGATATTTTTCTGAAAATAATACAGAAAAAGAAAATGTATTACAAATACTTTCAGAAGTGTTTTTCGATTTGTATGACATAAACATATTTCCATTTTTGAAGAAAGTTATCAACACTAAAACAAATCCTTTCATACCGTATATTTTAGAATTACAACTCTTGACCGGTCGTGCTGTAATGCCGGCTATTGATTTCGGCCTAAAACCAACCGAAATGAAACTTAAGAGCAGGGAAAGAGATTGGAGACCATATTTACCTTTAATGCTGATTACAAAAATGATAGAAAAGTATGTTGAGGTGACATTTACTATTGAATCCCAAATAGATCCTACTGGTGCTTGTCTGTATTTGAATAACATTTGTCACAAAATTTCTGGAAATCGTATGACTATAAAATTATTATCAGACGTTTACTCTACTTATATTTTATTTGAGAAAAACCAAAAAACGTATGTTAGTGATATAGAATACCACACCATATCGAAAGATACAAATTTTCCTGTCAAAGTAAACGATTTGCAAAAAGCGGCAGCAAGTTTATCTCTAATAGAAAATTTCTTTATTATTGAAGGTTTAGGATCGATGAGATTTATGACAATATCAATAAATTATAAAGACATGAGTATATCAATACAACAAACCAACACAAACATTCACCATTATTTTCCAAATAAATTATATTTTGCAATAGGTTTAAAAAGAAATAATTCCGTTGTCTTTATATACAAATTTTTGGGTTCACCAGAGAGAAATGAAGCTCTAGTACGTGAACATAAATTCGAGATCAATGATAAAATTTACATTTTCCATGCAGAACCACACCGCCTGAAGTTCAATTTGAAGGGATACAATAATTTCAAACGTATGAATACTTTTCTCTTGACAAGTGCTGGTTTACACAATGTAGCTGACAGGAAGCAAAAAATAATTCCATTGCAAGTTAAAAAAGTTAATGATTTTTATTTGAAGTACAATCGGGATTTAAGGAAAAATGCATATTTTCAAGCAATATTACTTGACTACATGAATGTTTTACGATCTAATGGTTTGGAAGAAAATATACCGCAAAATTGGATTACACCATCAGGAAACTAAGATATCTTTGTGGTAATTTTCTGCTATTGCTGCGGGATTGATTTTTAATATTTTAAATCTTGAATTTGTATACGTAATAAATGTAGAATCTGGGACTAGTGATGCTCATGATCGAATGTATGCGAAATGAACAGCTATAATAAATCCTCCAAGCTATAATCCTCTTTTTTCTAAATTCAACATTTTATATTGAGTTCATTATATAATCACCTGTTTGAATTTTTTTTTATTATCAAGCAAAACATATTTCTTAGAAAACATTATTGACACAAATTTTAGTTGACACAAAGTTCCTTTTATTTATTATTTAACAAATTTCGGAGAATAAAATTGATAAAATTGTTTACAAACCTAATCCAAATGGAATAGTAAACTGTTTTGTTACATACTGTTTAATTAATTAAAACTTGTGTTGACAGACATTTATAATAATTTGACAACGAAAGATTAGAATTATAAACGATTGAGGTACAAAAGATCCAAGACAAAAGGTCCAAACTGAAAGATCCAAAATTTGTAAGATCCAATAGACAGAAAATCCAATAGACAGAAAATCCAATAGACAGAAGGTCCAAGTTACTAAAAGTTCCAAACGTACAAAAGATCAAAAAAAAATAAATTCAAAAGAAGGATAAATTTATTGAATTGTTAAATATATAAAAATATAAATGTATAACCTAAAAATGTAAGTGGTAACCCAATGTATTTAAATATTTAATTTCTTCATTTTGTTGCCATATATGTTGTGCAACATAATAACACGTGTAGAATAGTATCACATTTATAAACTAGATATCCTACTATGAAAATTCCTACATGATCCAACAAATATTCTTATCCTCTAAAGAAAAAAATTCTTTTCGACTACTTCAGCTCGCATATAACAACTTTAGTCTGTGACTGTGTCCAAAATCCACTTTAAGTAATGGGTAACGTTCGTATAAACAAACGGTAGTTGTAGAGAGCATACATCATTAGAAAAACTTGCTACACCCATTTGATAATGAATATTTCCACGATTTTGCGACAAAGCTCCTCCGTCATCAGGAACGCAAACAGGTGGAATTTCTTTTGGTTTTACACAGAAAACATGGTCATCGAATTTTCTTCTTCTATTACTCTCATCATTACTTATCCTTCTGTAAAGTACTTCACATTCGTATCTATCCATAATGTACACAGAGTTCTTTGTTGTAATATTAGTTTCACTACCATGATCGAAGGATATTCCATGTCCATAAACAGTGTACTGAAAAAAAAATTTGGATTCATAAAGATTCGTATTAATTTCTTTTATAATTTTATAATAAAAATGACAATTTTTTTTTACAAAAATAGTAATATGTGTAGTGGCTGTAAATAAAATAAAGCGTCAAGAAATTTGTAGATGATCATTTTATCATATTAGAAAATTAAAAAAGAATATTTATAGTTACCCTATTATTAAGTAGAGAAAGTATTTGCATTTCAGTGAATGGCAGACAAACTGGTTAAATGTCCATTGAAAATTCAATTTCATTGTTTAGTCTTACTAAAGCAATGTTATTGGTCAAATCAGTTTCGCTAAAATTCTGATGAAAAATAGATTCCTTCAACTCCTACAATTTCAATCATTTTGCAAACATTTTTTCCATTTTCCATTGTTTGACAATCAGGACTTTTGCTAAGATCATAATCTCCCAATACTACCACAACTTTTTGAAGTGCTGAAATAACATTAAAGTTTGTATAATTATAGTTAAAAAAGTAAGAAATCATTAAAAATGAGTTAAAAAATACAGAAAAAAATAGTTTCGAATATCTATGTTTTAATTTTTCAATTACAATATCAGATATTGCAAAATATTCAAATGCTATAATTTCAAATTCTTTAAAAGTAGATCAAATTTGTTATTCTGTACAATGTTCATTGTACAACAATGATGAATAACGTAGGTATATTTACCATTTTCGAAACGTTTAGCATGACGAGCACTAGTGAGGACATAACGATTATTAATTAAAGTGCCAGATAAAATAAGTCTGCCTTCAAATTTAAATAAAGCTCTCCAAGAAATTTCACGAATATCAGCTTGATAAAAATTTTCATCAAGTCTACGAAGAACGAAATTTCCATTTGCACAATTACCATCTTCAAATAATTGACGATTTGGATGATGACGGATAGAATTATAATCAATCTTAAATTCTTCTTTCTATAAATGAAAATATGAGTAAATATCAATATTGCCTCTGTATCTGTAATTGTCCTAATATAATATATAGGCACCTAATTCTATATATACATACCTTATCGTTACAGCAAAAATATGGCGTTCTTACATTTCGATTATAATGACATTGTAAGTCTCTAAATTCATTTTCATACAATTTTTGAATCACTCCTGCATTAATTGGATTTAAAAATCTTTTTCTCATTTCAATTTATGTATTGCATGTGAACCATGGTGCACAGGTTGCATTGCATTCAATAAATGTTTCTAATTAAAATTTATAATTATTATGTTGAAAGGTTGAAACTTAATATATAGTATAAAATACATATCCACGTACTTTACTCCAAAAATTAATGTTTCATATAATAAACCAAAAGTTCATTATAACAAGAAATTTGGAAATTTTATCAGTTTTTCTAAGAATGTTAAATGGAGCCAAAAAAAACGTATCAAAATTGTTGGGATGTAAAGTTTTTCGTCTTAATTTAATATCCATAGAAGAACTATAACAGGGCTCGGATCGTCTTTAAGACTCAAAAAAAGTCGCTTTAGTCGCATAAATTTACAACAAAAGTCACGAAAAGTCGCATAAATTTCCGAAAAAGTCGCAAAAAAGTCGCATGAAATCTTAGAAAAAATCAAAAGAACAACAAAAAGAAAACAAAAAATTGTCAAAATTGTAAAAAAAATTACATTTCTCGACAACAGATACAATAATATCAAACAATCCGGAATAAAATTTAAAAAAATTTAATAAAATTCATAGCAAAATTTTAATTATGTATTATTAACATTTTTTTAAAAATTCTCTTTAAAATGTCAATTATTTTTATAAATAATAAAATTCTTCTCCGGATTTCAATCATTTAGTTATATATAAATCAAACATATCGCATAATTTATGTGAACGTAATACTCAAATTCCAAAGAATGTAAAATTGACATTAAATTAAGATATTTCTACTATACTATTTTAGTGAATAGTAGAATTTTTTCAGATTTAATATGTAAAAGGAAAAAATTATATATGTAAAATTGTGCGAATATTTGAATAGCACAATCAGCAAAAAGGACAAAAAAAAAAAATAATTATGAAGAAGTCGATTTAAAAGTAACTGACATACCTAAATTAATATTTTTTTTTTTTGAAAAATTGTTCTTTTTGAAATAAGTATGCATTGTAAAAAAGTAATCATAAGAATATCATGGAAATATATGTATTCATCTTGTGTATATTATAAATAACTTACATTTATTATTTCCGATTGACAATAATAGATTATGTATTATTGTAGTGATTATTAATATGCGACTAAGCAACTTGTAATATTTTTTTGTAATTAAACGAAATTCCATTTAAATTCTGCAGTCCTAGTTTCATTATTTTCTTATTATTATAAATAATATTTTATTATTTCTAAATAGAAGTTAAAATTTTTATTTCTTTTTAAAATAAAAGAAAGGCAAACAAACAATACAACAATTCAAAATTTAATGTATAGTACAATTATTTATTAACAATTACGTTATTGAATACTTGTCACAATAATTATATATTTAATTCAGTAAATTATTGGAACGCAAGTAATGTGCAAAATAAATTTGATACAACTTATTGTAGCTTAAGTCAATTTTGTAATTATCGTGGAATTTAGTAATTCTTTTAATATCGGCAGTCTCGGCAGAAACAAATGTCTCAACATTGTCACTGTTGACCAAACCTGATTGTCCGAAAACAAAAGTGTAATTCCATGCCCAATACTTCAGGTCTTTCAAATTTATTTTAAAAAGCTCCGGTTCTGCAATATAGAAATGTATTTTATCATTCGTATTAAATTTATGGACAACATTCGTGAGGTTCAAGGTACTTTCACCGCCTATAAAATTGTGATTGAAAACTGAAATACCATTTCTCTCAAGCCGTACAGAAAAAAATAATATATCATTGAAATAATCATCAATTGTGTCGTTCACTTGTTTTAAAATTATTGTCGAATCATTGTAATTGATAAATATTTGTAAGAATAATTCGTCATAACTTCCTAACACATCAAATGTGCAATGAAATACAGCTGTAGATATGAGTACAGTTTCATTCACTTCATTCAATTTTATGGAATGTAAACCGTCATTCTTAAAGACAAAAGCGTTGGACACTTCAATGTTATATTCCTGTAAATTAAAATTTAGATTTTTGGGTTCTACATGATCAATATAGAGTACATCATTAATTTCAAATTTATGAGCAAAATTTAACCAGTCTACAAAATGATCTGGATTGCCTAAAAATAAATGTTCAAAAACAACCGAATCATTTCGTAGCAAGCGCATAGTGAAATAAGTTGTGTTTCCATAATTCGAATCAGTGGAAGTTAAGAACTGCTTCACTTCAATTGTCATATTCTTGTAGTTTACAAATATTTTTAATAGCTGCCTACTATTTGGACCAAAAGATTTTTGAACGTCAAATTCATATTTTAATACTTTTGATTCTGGATTGATTGTTCTCAATCCGGTATTTGTAACAAGAAAAGTATAACTATTCTCCGCTTTTAGATCTTTCAAATTTAATTTTAAACAATCTGCATCTTGGTGGTAAATTGTAATTTCATCGTTGATTTTAATGTCTTGTAGAATTGGACAATTCTTATCGTATATATAGTCGGTGAAAGTGTAATTTAGAAGAATCGATCCATTTCGCTTTAAGTTTACAAAAAAGTACACATTACCGGGTCTTGAATTAGTAGAGACATTATTATAGAATTCCGTTATTCTAAGCGTCATGTTCTTGTAATTGATAAACATATTAAGGAACACGTTATTCTTAACATCCAAAGCGTCAAAGGAATAGTGAACAAACGGCGAAACTATATCCTTCTCTTGAATATTTCTGACATTAATGTTGATAAACGTGTCTTCTGTAATAGTATGATATGTTATGTCACTAATGTACAAATTTTCACCTTTCTTCTCTGCTACATAAACAGAGTAAACACCAGACAGTAGTTTGATAATCACTGACTTCTCTACAATAGTCTGACAAATATTATTCAAGTACAGACAACAATTTCTGAGATCCATTGGCGATTCAATAGTAAAATTAGCATAGAAATAATTATATCCCACCAATTCTGTCATCAACATTAAAGGAGAAATTTCCCTCATATCGCGTTCTTCACTCCTTGCTTTTAAGTCAGTTGGCCTAATATTAAAATCAACAGCAGGCATTACATTCTTTCCGGTGGCAAGTAGTAATTCTAAATCGTAACTCATTAAACTGTGTTCATTAAAATTGATCACTTTCATCAAAAATGGTAATAAATTTATATCGTACAGATCAAAAAATATTTCCAAAATTGTAGGAACAATATTATTCGGAGAATTAGAAGTTACAACCTGATTGTTAGGCATATGTCGAATTCGAAATTCCCTTACATTCGTGTCAGTTCCATCATAACCAAACAGACTTATAAATAAACTTAACTTTTCTTCATACTTCCATTCAGAAAAGAGTTTTCCGTTTTGATAACCAGAGATATCATTAAACTTAAACGGCAAGTCTGAATTACTTCGATTATTTTGTTTTCTGAACCTTTGTTGATATAGGATTGCAAACATATCATTCCAAAAATTGTACGTTTCTCCAAAACTAACATCTGTTTCATTCCTGTTGTAGTAGTGAGCAAACTGTTGCAATAAGATCCAACTCGAACCTCTTTCAGGTTGTAGAAATGCTTCAATATTATCAGTAACTATCCAATGAAGATTGAAATTGGTCTCCGAACTTGAATTTGGAAAAGTTTTTTTACCGCAACGTTCTGATCGTATAAATAAAGATGTTCGATCCATGAATTTTAGAGATGGGAGAATTTTAATTTTTTCATTTGTGCTGACACTGGTCAAGTAATCATAGTACTCAACCACCTCAATTTGATTCAGTAAGCCAACGTACAGACTAGAAGATGATGATTTAAAATTTTCAATGTCTCGCACTGAGAGCAACATCTGTGTATAGTAATTTTCAACGAAACCGTAAACTTGTACTTTTTGGTAAAATTCAGATTCATCCTTTTCTGAAGAATGGAGTGTAACATCATTTGAATAAAAAATTGGCAATGGTATCCAACTTTTTGTTTTAATTCTCACCGTTACTGGAACATTGTTCGAAACTGACATCATGGGCACACAATCATAATTTGCTACAAAAGTTTTAGTGAAATTCGATTCTCCAGAAAGATCTAACATGTTAAATGTATCATTCGCTGTGTCTGTAAGACAGTAGAAGAATAAGTTTTCTATTTTTCTCCATGCCTCTGTAGACAAACTTATATTGGATCCTCGTTTAATAATTATTCCAAAATGAGTTTTGTAATGGTAGAATTGATTTTGAATTAGATTTCTCGTCCATGGTTGGGAAACTTCTCGAATTAAAGGATTTGCAACTCTTGTAGTTTCCTAAAAGTGGTATTTAAAGGATAAAAAATTTTTTAAATTTTAATTAGAGAAATGTAATAAATACTTACATTTAAATTCCATGAAATAACCTGCTGTGAAACGGAGAAAGAGACAGGAATTAAAAGTAACTTGATCAGTAATAAACTATTTATTATTGGGAATTGCATCGTATCACACTGACTATAAAGTTACTTAAATTTCATTCCTTATATACAATTTTTATCGCAATTATTTTCGACCTTTTAAATTTAATATAAATTTACATCTAATTATTTCTAATCTATATTATTTACTAAAGATGTTCAAAAATCAAATCAACTACTTTTATCAATGCGTAGATCAACAAATAAGCTATGACATTTTGTCATAATTTAGTTTAAAACTACATAATTAAAGTACAACTTTTTAAAAGTATTTACTTCCCACAGATGTCTAAAAATCAACACTTTAATTGTTATCAATGCGAAAATAAATAAAGAAGCATAATTTCATCATTTCACGTGTCAGTTACAAAGATATTAAAAATGAAATAATAAAATAAATTAATTTTCTAATTTTTAAATTTGTGCAATATTTGTATTGAACAATTCAACCACATGAATAAATATGAATTATTTTTGATATATTATAAGATTTAAAAATTAGATATAAATTACTTACTCTACTTCTTCATATATATAAATTAACAGTTTACACTGAAGGGAAAATTTATTTCCATACTTCTTTCATTTCTCACTCATCACAAAAGAGCAGAAGGAAAAAAAATGTTAATATTACAACTTTTAAGTTTAATTACATTTTTTTGTATTTCCAACACCGAACGAATAGTAAACTGGAATACAGAGGTAAGATTAAAGAATAATGTTTCACATATAAAGAAGAAGAGTCTTGATTACAAATATATTTATACTTGTTTTTCTTGAAAAGTACCACTTTGATAAAAATTTTTTAAATTCACTATAAACTGTTTAATAAAAACCAAAAATTATATTTCAAACAAGAATAAAAATTTTGTAATATTCTACTTTAGGAAATTGAAAGAACAGTAAGGCCAATTGTTCGAAAATTTGACGATTCATGGAAAGTTCACACGAGCAAAGAAGCATTTTATCATCACAAAAGTCACTTTGGAATAATAATTAAGAATGGAACAACTTTTTCTCTAACAACTAAAGAATTAAAAAATCTTTCAAATTTTTACTTTTTCTGTATTGCTCAAAATTATAAAGACGTTAAGAAAATAAAATTTGAAGAGCATAGTAAGATTACAAATGTTTTGACAACGACATCTGATTGTGTGCCAATGATGTCTGTATCGTACAACATTGATGTGGAAGTAAAATTAACAACTAATAATTGGATCGATTTACCTGTTTTCGATTCTAGAAATATGACGTATCTTATGGCAGAGAATGCTGAAAAGGAGTTTTACAAAAAAGTAGAAATTTACGGTTTCGTTGAGAATTATTACGTACAAGTCCTGCTGTCTGCAAATGATATCAGAGAACTACAGTTTAAAGATTACAGTCTGTTTGTTGGTTTACAGAATCAAGTGGATGTGATAAAATACTACAATTATTTGACAAGTGCCAGTCGATATGTAAATAAAAATGATTCATACGCATATGCTTTGGTTGAGAAACACAAAATTTTCAGTCATACCAACGAAGGTTTCGCAGGAGGACATTTTGATTTCAACAGCATAAGATTCACATCTGTAGCAGATACATTTTTAGATCCTACTCGAGGACTTCAGTGGAGCTTATTACACGAAATGGCTCATTATTATGATATTAAAAGTAATGTTATTGGTATTGGATACACCTTCGAATCGTGGACAAATATTTATTGTGCTTTCTATCAACACAAATTTTCCTCTATGGATTATTGGGTTAAGTACGAAGATCAAGAGAACAACACGCTTCTATCGAATTATCGCAATGGAATTACTATCGAGAATAAAAAATGGGATTATAAGGAAAAAGTACACTTCTACTTGACATTGTTCGCATATGATGGTACTGACAAATCTTTCAGAGAATTTAATATTCGATATTTTTCTGAAAATAATACAGAAAAAGAAAATGTATTACAAATACTTTCAGAAGTGTTTTTCGATTTGTATGACATAAACATATTTCCATTTTTGAAGAAAGTTATCAACACTAAAACAAATCCTTTCATACCGTATATTTTAGAATTACAACTCTTGACCGGTCGTGCTGTAATGCCGGCTATTGATTTCGGCCTAAAACCAACCGAAATGAAACTTAAGAGCAGGGAAAGAGATTGGAGACCATATTTACCTTTAATGCTGATTACAAAAATGATAGAAAAGTATGTTGAGGTGACATTTACTATTGAATCCCAAATAGATCCTACTGGTGCTTGTCTGTATTTGAATAACATTTGTCACAAAATTTCTGGAAATCGTATGACTATAAAATTATTATCAGACGTTTACTCTACTTATATTTTATTTGAGAAAAACCAAAAAACGTATGTTAGTGATATAGAATACCACACCATATCGAAAGATACAAATTTTCCTGTCAAAGTAAACGATTTGCAAAAAGCGGCAGCAAGTTTATCTCTAATAGAAAATTTCTTTATTATTGAAGGTTTAGGATCGATGAGATTTATGACAATATCAATAAATTATAAAGACATGAGTATATCAATACAACAAACCAACACAAACATTCACCATTATTTTCCAAATAAATTATATTTTGCAATAGGTTTAAAAAGAAATAATTCCGTTGTCTTTATATACAAATTTTTGGGTTCACCAGAGAGAAATGAAGCTCTAGTACGTGAACATAAATTCGAGATCAATGATAAAATTTACATTTTCCATGCAGAACCACACCGCCTGAAGTTCAATTTGAAGGGATACAATAATTTCAAACGTATGAATACTTTTCTCTTGACAAGTGCTGGTTTACACAATGTAGCTGACAGGAAGCAAAAAATAATTCCATTGCAAGTTAAAAAAGTTAATGATTTTTATTTGAAGTACAATCGGGATTTAAGGAAAAATGCATATTTTCAAGCAATATTACTTGACTACATGAATGTTTTACGATCTAATGGTTTGGAAGAAAATATACCGCAAAATTGGATTACACCATCAGGAAACTAAGATATCTTTGTGGTAATTTTCTGCTATTGCTGCGGGATTGATTTTTAATATTTTAAATCTTGAATTTGTATACGTAATAAATGTAGAATCTGGGACTAGTGATGCTCATGATCGAATGTATGCGAAATGAACAGCTATAATAAATCCTCCAAGCTATAATCCTCTTTTTTCTAAATTCAACATTTTATATTGAGTTCATTATATAATCACCTGTTTGAATTTTTTTTTATTATCAAGCAAAACATATTTCTTAGAAAACATTATTGACACAAATTTTAGTTGACACAAAGTTCCTTTTATTTATTATTTAACAAATTTCGGAGAATAAAATTGATAAAATTGTTTACAAACCTAATCCAAATGGAATAGTAAACTGTTTTGTTACATACTGTTTAATTAATTAAAACTTGTGTTGACAGACATTTATAATAATTTGACAACGAAAGATTAGAATTATAAACGATTGAGGTACAAAAGATCCAAACCAAAAGATCCAAGACAAAAGGTCCAAACTGAAAGATCCAAAATTTTTAAGATCCAATAGACAGAAAATCCAATAGACAGAAGGTCCAAGTTACTAAAAGTTCCAAACGTACAAAAGATCCAAAAAAAATAAATTCAAAAGAAGGATAAATTTATTGAATTGTTAAATATATAAAAATATAAATGTATAACCTAAAAATGTAAGTGGTAACCCAATGTATTTAAATATTTAATTTCTTCATTTTGTTGCCATATTTAAAAACCAATGCCATATATGTTGTGCAACATAATAACACGTGTAGAATAGTATCACATTTATAAACTAGATATCCTACTATGAAAATTCCTACATGATCCAACAAATATTCTTATCCTCTAAAGAAAAAAATTCTTTTCGACTACTTCAGCTCGCATATAACAACTTTAGTCTGTGACTGTGTCCAAAATCCACTTTAAGTAATGGGTAACGTTCGTATAAACAAACGGTAGTTGTAGAGAGCATACATCATTAGAAAAACTTGCTACACCCATTTGATAATGAATATTTCCACGATTTTGCGACAAAGCTCCTCCGTCATCAGGAACGCAAACAGGTGGAATTTCTTTTGGTTTTACACAGAAAACATGGTCATCGAATTTTCTTCTTCTATTACTCTCATCATTACTTATCCTTCTGTAAAGTACTTCACATTCGTATCTATCCATAATGTACACAGAGTTCTTTGTTGTAATATTAGTTTCACTACCATGATCGAAGGATATTCCATGTCCATAAACAGTGTACTGAAAAAAAAATTTGGATTCATAAAGATTCGTATTAATTTCTTTTATAATTTTATAATAAAAATGACAATTTTTTTTACAAAAATAGTAATATGTGTAGTGGCTGTAAATAAAATAAAGCGTCAAGAAATTTGTAGATGATCATTTTATCATATTAGAAAATTAAAAAAGAATATTTATAGTTACCCTATTATTAAGTAGAGATAGTGTTTGCATTTCAGTGAATGGCAGACAAACTGGTTGAATGTCCATTGAAAATTCAATTTCATTGTTTAGTCTTACTAAAGCAATGTTATTGGTCAAATCAGTTTCGCTAAAATTCTGATGAAAATAGATTCCTTCAACTCCTACAATTTCAATCATTTTGCAAACATTTTTTCCATTTTCCATTGTTTGACAATCAGGACTTTTGCTAATATCATAATCTCCCAATACTACCACCACGTTTTCAAGTGCTGAAATAAGATTAAAGTTTGTATATATAGTTAAAAAAGTAAGAAATCATCAAAAACGAGTAAAAAAAAAAATACAGAAAAAAATAGTTTCGAATATCTACGTTTTAATTTTTCAGAACAATAATCAGATATAGTGCAAAATATTCAAATGTTATAATTTCAAATTCTTAAAAAGTAGATCAAATTCTTTATTCTGTACAACAATGATGAATAACGTTGGTATATTTACCATTCTCGAAACGTTTAGCATGACGAGCACTAGTGAGGACATAACGATTATTAATTAAAGTGCCAGATGAAATAAGTCTGCCTTCAAATTTAAATAAAGCTGTCCAAGAAATTTCATGAATATCAGCTTGATAAAAATCTTCATCAAGTCTACGAAGAATGAAATTTCCATGTGCACAATTACCATCTTCAAATAATTGACGATTTGGATGACGACGGATAGAATTATAATCGATCTTAAATTCTTCTTTCTATAAATGAAAATATGAGTAAACATCAATATTGCCTCTGTATCTGTAATTGTCCTAATATAATATATAGGCACCTAATTCTATATATACATACCTTATCGTTACAGCAAAAATATGGCGTTCTTACATTTCGATTATAATGACATTGTAAGTCTCTTAATTCATTTCCATACAATTGTTGAATCACTCCTGCATTAATTTGATTTAAATATCTTTTTCTCATTTCAATTAATGTATTGCATGAGAACCATGGTGCACAGGTTGCATTGCATTCAATAAACGTTTCTAATTAAAATTTCTAATTATTATGTTGAAACTTAATATATAGTATAAAATACAAATCCATGTACTTTACTCCAAAAATTAATTTTTCATAATATACCAAAAGTTCATTATGACGAGAAATTAAAAAATTTTATCAGTTTTTCTAAGAATGTTAAATAGAGCAAAAAAAACGTATCAAAATTGTTGGGATTTAAAGTTTTTCGTCTTAATTTAATATCCTTAGAAGAACTATATCAGGGCTCGGATCGTCTTTAAGACTCCGAAAAAGTCGCTTTAGTCGCATAAATTTACAACAAAAGTCACGAAAAGTCGCATAAATTTCCGAAAAAGTCGCAAAAAAGTCGCATGAAATCTTAGAAAAAATCAAAAAAACAACAAAAAAGAAAACACAAAATTGTCAAAATTGTAAAAAAATTACATTTCGCGACAACAGATACATTAATATCAAACAATCCGGAATAAAATTTCAAAAAATTTAATAAAATTCATAGCAAAATTTTAATTATGTATTATTGACATTTTTTTAAAAATTCTCTTTAAAATGTCAATTATTTTTATAAATAATAAAATTCATCTTTGAAATTCAATTATTTAAAAAAAATTTTAATAAAATTCTTCTCTAAAATTCAATTATTTTCAAAAGTAATAAAATTCTTTACAGAAATTCAATTATATTCAAAATTTTATAAATAATAAAATTATAAAATTCATCATTAAAATTTAATTATTTTCAAAAGTTCTGATAAAATTCTTTGCAAAATTCAATTATCTTCAAAAGTAAGAAAATTCTTTACAGAAATTCAATTATTTTCAAAATTTTTTTTTTTCTTACATTCTCCTCAAAATTTCAATTATCTTTATAAATATCAAAATTCTTCTGCAAAATTCAAATTGTTTTTAAACATTAAAAAAAAATTGTTAAAAATTTCAATTATCATTGTGAATAATAAAATTCTTCTCTGAAATTCAATTATTTGCAAAGAATTTTAATAAAATTCATCCTAGAAATTGAATTATTTTCAAAAAGTAATAAAATTTCTGTCAGAAATTAGATTATTTTCAAAATTTTAATTATTTTTATAAATATCAAAATTCAATTACTTTTAAACATTTTTTAAAAAATCTGTTCAAAATTTCAATTATCTTTGAGAGTAATAAAATTCTTCTCTGAAATTCAATTATTTGCAAAAATTTTAATAAAACTCTTATCAAAAGTTAAATTATCTTTATAAATAATAAAATTCATTCTAGAAATTCAATTATGTTCAAAAGTAATAAAATTCATCCTAGAAATTCAATTATTTTTATTTATTTTTTAAATTTCTCGTCAAAATTTTAATTATATTCATAAATAATAAAATTCATCCTAGAAATTCAATTATTTTAAAATTTTTTTATAAAATTCTTTGCAAAATTCAATTATCTTCAAAAAGTAAGAAAATTTTTGGCAGAAATTAAATTATTTTTCAATTTGTTTTAAATTCTCCTCAAAATTTCAATTATTTTTGTAAATATCAAAATTCTTCTGCAAAATTCAATTACTTACTAATGTTTTATAAATTCGTTCCCAATAATTCATATATTTTCATAAAAAATAATTAAAAATTTTTTTTTATAAAGTCTTATAATATAAAATATAATGATTTTATCACTCGGTCATCTTTAATTATTATAAAACATGAAGACATCGATTGCTCCGAGTCGAAGACTCGGAGTGATCGATTTCTTCATGTTTTATAACAATTTTTTAAAAGTTGTTTAATTTCAAAAAGGTTTGAATTTGAATCTTTTGAAAAATTTCAATTCTTATGGAAAAATAATCATTTTAATATTTATTTAAAAAAGAAATTATTGATGTTTTCGAAAAATTTGAAAGAAATTTGTAAATAAATGTAACAGAACATTTTTTTTGACTCAAATTTTTTTCTTTAAATTTAAAATTTTTTTAAAAATTTCTGTCGCATTTTACTAAAAAAAAATCTCGAAGAAGTCGATTAGTCGCATTTTTTCACAAAAAAGTCGATAAAGTTAAAAAATGTTAAATATATTATATAGAATGATGGTACTTACGTCCTGAGGTAATAAAAGGAAGGCAGAGAAAAATGCCGACCAATGCGGTAAAAATAAATTCCATTGCGATCAATGATGTCAATCGAAATTATTCCTAAAGACTAAAATTATTTTCAACTTCTTGGATATTATATACAAAAGTTGGGAATACAAAATTAATAAAATTCTGTAGAAACGTTTTAATATTAGAAAAGTAAACTATATTTTGTTACAATAAAGACATATGTATATGTTGTACAACATTAAAACACGTGTAATTTAAATTTTAATATGCGCATGTATAGAATAGAGATAAAATTTATCGAAATTTATATTCAAAGCTATCAGTACCTGCCTGATATTTGAACTGAACATCTTTATTTAAAATTTTTAATGTATATTACAATTTTCATTAATGAAAAACAACATTCATTAATGAAAACTATTTTTCATTAATTTTTTTTTTATTATTATAATTTTCATTAATGAAAAACAGTTTTTTTTATTATAATTTTCATTAATGAAAAACAGTTTTTTTTTATATTAGAATTTTCATTAATGAAAAACAGTTTTTTTTAAAAATATTTTGAATACAATATTTTATTTCCTGACTGTGTCCAAAATCCATTTTAAGTAATGGTCAATTCTCGTGAAGACGAATGGTAACTTTAAAGAGCATACACCATCAGCGAAGCTAGAAACACCCACTTGATATTGAACCCCAACTGTTTGAGACAAAGCTCCTCCATCATCGGTTACGCAAACAGGTGGCAATTTCTTCGGTTTTACACAGACCACATTGTCATCAATTTTTATTTTCTGATTTCCCTTTTTGTACTCTAATGCACATTCGTAATTATCCATAAACTTAACAGTGTTCCTTAGTGTAATATTACTTTCACTACCACTTCTTAGAGATATTCCATGTCCATAAACATCATACTGCAAAAAAAATTATTTTCAAATTTAAATTAAATTTTTTCTTAAAATTGAAAATATTTAAAAAATTGTTAAAATGTATCCTTACGTGGGTATCATAGTGATACTCTTTTCAAATCTTTTAGAAAATTGAAAGATTTATAATTACCTCAATAGGGAGTAAAGGAACTTCTTCATTGAATGGAAGACAAATTGGTTCAATGTTCACCGTTGATTCAATTTCCTCGTTCAATCTTATTAAAGCAATGTTATTTGTCAAATCTTTTTCGTTAAAATACGGATGTGGGTAAACACCTACAACACCTACAGATTTAGCAGTGGAACATTCAGTTCTTCCATTTTTAAACGTTACACAATCACGATACTTGCTAAGATCATAATCTCCTAATACAATTTCGACATTTCGCATTCCTAAAATAATAAAATTTTATAAATTATCTTAACATTACAATATAATAATGTGAGAATAAATAATAATTTTTAAAGATGAATATTCATACAAGATTCTATGTAAATAATTATAGAAAAAATTGTATTCACCATTTGCCAAATATTTAGCGTATCGTGCATTTGTAAGGACATATCGAGAATTAATTAAAGTGCCAGATGAAATAATTTTGCCATTATACTTAATTACAGCTGACCATGAAATTTCGAATAGAGAAGCATTATTAAAATTTGAATTATAACTGCCGGGATTGTAATTGTAATTTCCACAAGCGACTTTTTCTGGGCCAAACAAGTCTCGATTTCGATGATTTTTGAGAGAATTGTAATAGTTTTTGTTTTTATCTTCCTCCTGTAAATTTAAGCAAAAATTATATTTTTATTATTATTATTATTATTTACTGAACAAAAAAAATTGCCTATTAAATACAAGATTGCGAGAGTGGATCACCGCAAAGTCAAGCACGCGAAATGGAATTGACTTATAGAAATTAGAGCGCATGAGCAAGTAAGGACCGTAAAAAAAAATTTAAATTAAAAAAAAATTATTCAATTATTCAATTTTCGGAAAGATCAATATGTTAGTTTATGATAATTCCGCAGGGCTCGGATCGTCTTTAAGACTCTAAAAAAGTCGCTTTAGTCGCATAAATTTACAACAAAAGTCACGAAAAGTCGCATAAATTTCCGAAAAAGTCGAAAAAAAGTAACAGAACATTTTTTTGACTCAAACTTTTTTCTTTAAATTTAAAAAATTTTTTTAAATTTCTGTCGCATTTTACTAAAAAAAAATCTCGAAAAAGTCGATTAGTCGCATTTTTTCACAAAAAAAGTCGAAAAAAGTCACATTTCCTTAGAATAGTCGAGAAAAGTCGAAAAAGTCGTACAATCCGAGCCATGTAATTCTATACTTCCAAGGAAATTTTGAAACACCGCCGTAGGTACCTTATCAGCACAACAGAAATATGCTCTGTCCTCACGTAGATTATAATCACATAGTAATTTTTTGAATTTCTTTTCTGCAACTGTGTATTTATTTTGTCTTTTAGCCTTTTTCATTAATTCAGTTAATGATTTGCACTCGGACCATGGCACACAACTTCCCTCCAAGCAAGCTTTTTCTATAAATTTCAAAAAAAAAAAAAAAAGTGTTATAATCCGTTATAAATCTGTTATATAACTTAATTTAAAATAGCACACCTGAGTTTATATAAATTTAAAAAAAAACATTATTTATTGAATCAAGAAAGAAAAAAACACTTACGTCCTGAGGTAATAAAAGGAAGGCAGAGAAGAAAGCCTCCCAAAATCGTAACAAACAATTTCATTATATGACTATTTTTTTAATGCTATAAACTCCAAGTTCTTCTTCAAGACTGAAATAATTTTCCACTTATTGGATATTTTATACGCAAATTTCAAAGAATAAAAATCAATTAAATTTTCTAAACATATTTTTAAAATTGTAGAAGGTATTTTTTTTGTGTATTTTATGAACACTTGTGGCAATATACGTATTAATGGTAATTTATTATTATCATAAGTAATCTTGTGAATATAATAGTTATTATATTGAAAGTGGCATTGTCATAATAAAATATTTACCTAATATAAAAAAATTTCAAGACTTATATGTCTATTTGTTCGAAATTGATATGAGAATCATTAAAATGAAGGATCCGTAAAATTGCGACATTAATTTCTATGTACGAAATTATTTAATAAAACTTCGGTAATTAAACAAAAGATTAATTATAATTTAATAATCTTTGTTAAAACATAAGTTGGGTTATATTTAATTTTTTTATTTTACACGAATTTAAATGATATATCTATAAATTTTTGCGCTGTATATAAATTAACTTTTATAGTGTATAAACAGAATTAACATAACACATTTTAGAAAATAATAAAATTCCCACGTCACCTTGTTTAACATTTAAAAAAAAAAATTTATCATTTATTTATTTTCTATTCTTTAATTTTTCATCAATAATATTCTTCCTGTATATTTAAAATTCAATTTGAATATATGACGCTATGGCTATGGTCTTTGGAATTTCTAGGTTATGTGCGACCTACAGTTATCGGCACAAACCGTTAAAATTTTAATAAAATTTATTATGTTAAAAAATTGTATAACCATTTTTTTGAAAATAATTGAAAACTCTTTGAAGAATTTTATTAAATTTTTTTTAAAAATATAATTGAATTCTTAATTATTAATTTAAATAATAATTTTTTGAAAACAAATTGAATTCATGTGATGAATTTTATTAAATTTTGTTTTAAATAATTAAAATTTTGACAAGAAGTTTATTAACATTTTTGACAATAATTTAATTCTTGAGAAGGATTTTGATAATTTGTCAAAAAATAATTGAATTTTAAAAAAGAATTTTATTAAAATTCCTTTAAAATAATTGATTTTATGGGGAGAATTTTGTTGTTTCACAAAATAATTGAATTCTCTTTTGCAAAATTACTTAAAAATTTTGAAAAAATAATTGAATTATTGCAACGAATTTTATTATTTTATTTTTATTAATTAAATGGTTTCTTAAATTTCAATTCTTTCGTCAAGTTTTAAGAAAATTTTTAAGAATTATTGTATTTTTCGAGGAATTTGATTAAAATTATATTAAAAATATTTGAAATTCAACGATGAAAATAATTGAATTCCAAAATAAAATTTTAGAATTTATGAAAATAATTGAATTTTTTTGCGTAGAATTTTATCAAAAATTTTTTTTAAATAATTGAATTTTTTTGATAAATTTTATAAAAATAATAAATATTGAAAATCATTGAATTCTGAAAAACTTTTGAAAATAATTAAAATTTTGGAAAAGAAGAATTTTATTAGAATTTTTGAAAATAATTGAATTTTTGTCGACAAAAATTTGCTATTTATAAATGATAATTGAATTATTGACGAAATATTCGTTAAAATTTGTAAAACTAATTTTAATTTCTTCGAAGAATTTTATTAATTTTCCAAAAGAATTGAATATTCTTGCGATGGATTTTGATATTTATCGCAAAATAATTGAAATTTTGGAAAAGAATTTTATTATATAAAATTCCTTAGAATAATTGATTTTATGCGATTTTGTTGTTTATCAAGATAATTTAATTCTTTTGCAAAATTACTTAAAAAATTTTTGAATATAATTGATTTTCTGCGACGAAGTAAAAGTTATTTATGAAAATAATTGAATTATTGCAACGAATTTTATTCTTTTATTGAAAATAATTGAATGTTTCTTAAAATTTGAATTCTTTCCTCAAGTTTTAATAAAATTTTTCAATAATAATTGCATTTTTCAAGAAATTTATTTAAAATTGTATTATAAAAATATTTGAAATTCTACGATGAAAATAATTGTGAATTCCTAAATAGAAATTTTTATTATTTATGAAAATAATTGAATCTTTTCGTAGAATTGTATCAACAAGATTTTTTCTATAATTAAATCTGTTGATAAATTTTATGAAATTGATAAATATTTAAAAACATTGAATTGTGAAATACTTTTAAAAATACTTTCAAAAATTTAAATAAAATTTTTGCAAATAATTGAATTTTTGGCGAAATATTTTGCTATTTAATAAAAATAATTGAATTCTCGACGAGATATTCATTAAAATTTATAAAAAATAATTGAATTCATGCAAAGTATTTTATTAAATTTTGTTTTATTAAATAATTGAAAGTTCGTCAAGAATTTAAGTAAAATTTTTGAAAATAATTTAATTCTTGAGAAGAATTTTTGATATTTATCAAAATAATTGAATTTTAGAAAAGAATTTCATTAAAAATCTTTAAAATAATTGATTTTATGGGGAGAATTTTGTTGGTTAGCAAGATAATTGAATTCTTTTGCAGAATTACTTAAAAATTATTGAAAAAAAAAATTAATTTCCTGCGACGAGAAAAATAGGGGAAATTTAGGGTAAATTTTCAAAATAGGATACGTTTAGGGGCCAAAATTAAAAAAAGGGGACTTTTAGGGAAATAGGGGACAGACGGTGAAGCCTGAATTGGTTAAACAATCATTTTTGAACAAGTTCTGTTCTTTCAATTCCATAATATAAGTTATTTTATTTGATTCGTTTGGGTTAATCGAAAAATGATATATCCAACGCAGTTAGAATCAAATTACTTAGTGGCCCTTGCGGCAATTTCGTATAAAATAATATCAAATTGGTTAATTCTATTATCGGTCAAAGACTTGAAAGTAATTGAATCGTTATTTCATTTGCAAACAAAGTGAATTGTACGCGAAATGTAAAAAAAAAACATTTGGAAAATTAGATATCTGATCATCCGAATGTGGTAAAAATTACCGCAAAGACATTCTAGTTTCCAGTGTATCACTAACATTGTGCGCTACTCTCCAAAAATTCTACTATGTTCAGGCACAAATCAAGTTTAGTAAAAATTATCTTCTTTCTTCAGTGGTCGTTACAAATCGTCGATGTGGAATCGGTAAATTTCGCAGATGTTTTTAAACAGATACGAGAACATGAATTTGAGGCCCATCGAACGATAATAATGCACGACGATAATAGCCTAGAAAATATGGTTGAAGAAGAAATTTTCCAGACTGCAATCCGAATTTCTCCAAGTCGAACAATAAATTTCATTCAACAGGACCCGATTGAGCTGAAAAGGGAAATAACCTCGAAAAATTATCACAAGACTACCCTCTTTGTGGTTATTCTACAAAACACTGCGGAAACTATAGAAAAGTTTCTCCTCTTCATGAAACAAGTAAGTGGCAAGTATGCTTATCCAAAATGTCTGATGATAGTTCCCCTAAACAAAAGTCTCGGCGAAAGTAGCAATAGTCGTGAAACTTTGCTCCGATCTGCTTGGTCCAGGAACATCTTTCATCTGACAATTCTCGACATCGAACAAGAGGGAAATTTGCCGAGAGGAAAAATAAATATTCCTCGCAAAAAGATGATAGTTCACCGCTTTAATAATTTTACCGGAGTTTATACGAAGATGAAGTACAACAAAGGAGATGTTCTATTTCCCAACAAGCTGAAGAATTTAAACGGATACGAAATAAGAGCTTTCGATGACAAAAGTTTAGGGGACGGAAACGATAATCAAGCGAGATTGGAGACAATTTCCGAAGTAATGAACTTTAGTGTGGTGAAAATAAATCCCGATTGTGATTCGTCAGAAGTTGTGTTTTTCTGCAATTACTATGCTTTGATAAACTGTTTACGAAATCATACCTGTAATGTAGCACTAAACGTCTATGTTGCAATGGGCAGTGATGATGAATCAGACAATCGGGCATTAGTTGTAGCTCCTGATTTCCACAGTCAATTGCTACCTAAACAAAAAATCACTAGGTACTTATTTGAAAAATCGATATACCTGGCAATTTTCAGTTGCCTCTTGATAATTTTCCTCTGGTCACTTTTTCGTTTCTTAAAATTCGATAGGAACTTTTGGAAGTTTCTGCATCTTTGGGAATTGTTACTGGGAATGTCAGTTTCTCAAGATGTGGAAAAGCTCCGGGATAGAATTGCCCTAATTACGCTTTGCTTCAGTTTTTTGGTATTTTCGTCAAGTTTACATTCAATTTTGACAACGGTGGAATTATTCTCGGAGTACAAAGACATAATTAGGTCGGATGATAGGAACGAGAAGTGGATCCTAACTGCAACGAATCTAAACGGTGCGTATGACATAAAGGAATTAAATTACACTATTCCGTTGATGAAGAGAACAACTAATTATACGGTGATGGAAGATTGTTTGAATGACCTTTTCAAGAACAAAGCGGTCTGTTGCTATGTGGAGAAAGTGGCAGCTCAACAACTGATTCTAATGGATTTGAAGGAAAATGGAATTTCAACTATCAAGAAATTAGAGGACAATTTTGTGGAATATTTGCATCAAACAGTTTATCTTGAATTAAATTCTCCCTATGTTTTTGAATTCGAACGTCATATGAATAGATTTTTGCAAGCTGGTCTAACTTACAAGTGGCATAATGACTTTCGAATTGCTCGATTTAAGACAATAGAAAATGTAACCATGTTCTTTAAAAATGAGAACACTTTTACTATCAAGCCATTCACAACACTTGGTATTGGATTTGTCATTGCAATTATTGTATTCATTGCAGAATTATTGTTTTAAGTTTGCTAATTTTTAGTAAATTGATTAATTCAGCAGAGCTCGGATCGTCTTTAAGACTCAAAAAAAGTCGCTTTAGTCGCATAAATTTACAACAAAAGTCACGAAAAGTCGCATAAATTTCCGAAAAAGTCGCATGAAATCTTAGAAAAAATCAAAAAAACGACAAAAAGAAAACACAAAATTGTCAAAATTGTCAAAAAAAATTACATTTCTCGACAAAAGATACATTAATATCAAACAATCCGGAATAAAATTTCAAAAAAATTTAATAAAATTCATAGCAAAATTTTAATTATGTGTTATTAACATTTTTTTAAAAAATTCTCTTTAAAATGTCAATTATTTTTATAAATAATAAAATTCATCTGCGAAATTCAATTAATTAAAAAAAATTTTAATAAAATTCTTCTCTAAAATTCAATTATTTTCAAAAGTAATAAAATTCTTCGCAGAAATTCAATTATATTCAAAATTTTATAAATAATAAAATTCATCCTCGAAATTTAAATATTTTCAAAAGTTCTGTTAAAATTCTTTGCAAAATTCAATTATCTTCAAAAAGTAAGAAAATTCTTTACAGAAATTCAATTATTTTCCAAATTTTTTTTTTAAATTCTCCTCAAAATTTCAATTATCTTTATAAATATCAAAATTCTTCTGCAAAATTCCATTTCTTTTAAACATTTAAAAAAAAAATCTGTTCAAAATTTCAATTATCTTTGTGAATAATAAAATTCTTCTCTGAAATTCAATTATTTGCAAAGAATTTTAATAAAATTCATCCTAGAAATCCAATTATTTTTAAAACTAATAAAATTCTTGTCAGAAATTAAATTATTTTCAAAATTTCAATTATTTTTAAAAATATAAAAATTCAATTACTTTTAAACATTTTTAAAAAAATCTGTTCAAATTTTCAATTATTTTTGAGAGTAATAAAATTCTTCTCTGAAATTCAATTATTTTCAAAAGTAATAAAATTCTTCGCAGAAATTCAATTATATTCAAAATTTTATAAATAATAAAATTCATCCTCGAAATTTAAATATTTTCAAAAGTTCTGTTAAAATTCTTTGCAAAATTCAATTATCTTCAAAAAGTAAGAAAATTCTTTACAGAAATTCAATTATTTTCCAAATTTTTTTTTCAATTTTTCTTAAACATTTAAAAAAAAATCTGTTCAAAATTTTAATTATCTTTGTGAATAATAAAATTCTTCTCTGAAATTCAATTATTTGCAAAAAATTTTAATAAAATTCTTCTCTAAAATTCAATTATTTTCAAAAGTAATAAAATTCTTCGCAGAAATTCAATTATATTCAACAATTTTATAAATAATAAAATTCATCATAAAAATCTAATTATTTTCAAAAGTTCTAATGAAATTCTTTGCAAAATTCAATTATCTTCAAAAGTAAGAAAATTCTTTACAGAAATTCAATTATTTTCATAATTTTTTTTTTCTTAAATTCTCCTCAAAATTTCAATTATCTTTATAAATATCAAAATTCTTCTGCAAAATTCAATTTTTTTTAAACATTTTAAAAAAACTGTTAAAACTTTCAATTATCTCTGTGAATAATAAAATTCTTCTCTGAAATTCAATTATTTGCAAAGAATTTTAATAAAATTCATCCTAGAAATTCAATTATTTTCAAAAGTAATACAATTCTTGTCAGAAATTAAATTATTTTCAAAATTTCAATTATTTTTATAAATATCAAAATTCTTTTGCAAAATTCAATTACTTTTAAACATTTTTAAAAAAATCTGTTCAAAATTTCAATTATTTTTGAGAGTAATAAAATTCTTCTCTGAAATTCAATTATTTGCAAAAATTTTAATAAAATTCTTGTTAAAATTTCAATTATCTTTATAAATAATAAAATTCATCCTAGAAATTCAATTATTTTTAATTTTTTTTTAAATTTCTCGTCAAAATTTTAATTATATTCATAAATAATAAAATTCATCCTGGAAATTTAATTATTTTCAAAAGTTCTGTTAAAATTCTTTGCAAAATTCAATTATCTTTAAAATGAAAGAAAATTTTTGTCAGAAATTAAATTATTTTTCAATTTTGTTTTAAATTCTCCTCAAAATTTCAATTATCTTTGTAAATATCAAAATTATTCTGCAAAATTCAATTACTTAATGTTTTATAAATTCGTTCCCAATAATTCATATATTTTCATAAAAAATAATTAAAAATTTTTTTTTATAAAGTCTTATAATATAAAATATTATGATTTTATCACTCGGTCATCTTTAATTATTATAAAACATGAAGACATCGATTGCTCCGAGTCGAAGACTCGGAGTGATCGATTTCTTCATGTTTTATAACAATTTTTTATAAGTTGTTTAATTTCAAAAAGGTTTGAATTTGAATCTTTTGAAAACATTTAATTCCTATGGAAAAATAATAATTAAATATTTATTTAAAAAAGAAATTATTGATGTTTTCGGAAAAATTTGAAAGAAATTTGTAAATAAATGTAACAGAACATTTTTTTGACTCAAACTTTTTTCTTTAAATTTAAAAAGTTTTGTTTAAATTTCTGTAGCATTTTACTAAAAAAAAAATCTGGAAAAAGTCGATTAGTCGCATTTTTTCATAAAAAAGTCGAAAAAAGTCACATTTCCTTAGAAAAGTCGAAAAAGTCGCACAATCCGAGCTCTCTAATTGTCGGGTTTCATAATTTAAATAAAAAGAAATATCGAATCGATTTTTGTAATATTCAATATTATCATTTCTTTCACATAATTATTACATTTTTCAAACGTAAACATTTCTTTTCTTGATTTATCAAATTACAAACACACTACGAAGTATTTAAAAGTTTTTCACCTATACAAAATAAAATTATAGTTTCAAAAAAAATATAAAGATAATAAACTAAACATGCTTTTAATGCTTTTTCGTTCGATACTCGTTCGATACACATTCAATACACATTTTGTAAACTCACATTTTTAAAACTGTCTTTGAGATCTTCAAAAAAAAATTTTTTTCTCTAACATTTTCATGCGTTTATCGAATATTTAACATATTCGTAAAAATAAAAATAGAACATTTCACTTAAAGTGTTTTTTTTTCTTGGTAACTTAGAGAGTTAAGGACTTAAAATTAAAAAGATAATTTAATTACTTAAAAGTAGTTCACAGCTCTGCTTTCTTTTAGCTCTACGTAGAAAATACTAGGAACTCTTACTTTTTGTAGAATTTATATCCGTAATGTTACTTCTTCACAGACGATTTTTGGTTGCGAAAATACTTAAGTAATTCAAAAGTGTCTCAATAAATATTTTTTTAAAATTTAAGAGAGACTCTTCTTTCGATTGATATAAGCAAACATTTAAATAAAAATGTTTCGAACGAATTAAACCTGAAACAAAAATCGTATTAGAATTTTACGTATTGCTTATACATAATTTATCAATTTTTTAAAACTCTTTTTTTAATTTTTGCAAAATTTTCAAGTCATTTAGATTTTTTTAAATTTACTAGATTTTTAAAGTTTTCTATAGTTTTTACTGTTTTCTATATATTATATTTAAATATTCAAAAAAGTTTTAAAATATACGAGAAGGAAAAAACTATAATTAATTTAAAAATAAACGTACTTGGGGTAAATGGTTTTTTTTTTTAAATTTTGATTTTAATTTTAAGTTTTTTAAAATTTTTCTAATAATAAAAATATTTGACTTTTTTTTAACAATAAACTAAAAACTGGCTATTTTTAAGAATTATTACATTAGGCACAATAATATACAGTAAAATATCCTGTAGAATTACGTTTAAAATAATTCAGGTACTTTAAAAATTACTTGTAATTTTAAAAAGAACTGTAAATTTTAATAAAAAAAAAAATATGAATTCAAAAACTTATTTTTATTTAAAAACTAATCCCATTATGTTTTGTTAAGTACTTCAATTTTTGCAAAGTTTTCAACAAATTCTTGATTGTTTGAGCTAAAATTATTTATTTATTTATATAAATATTTAAAAATAATATTTATTATTTTAAAAATAATATTTGAACTGCTTTTAGTAAATTGTAAAAAATCCAAATTTGTTTATAAATTCAATTCAAACAGATAAGTAAATTTTCAAAAAAAAAAATTTCAATTTCTTTTTAAATAAAATTTTGATATTTTTTATAAAATTGAAATAAAAATAGTTATAAATTACGAGACAAATTTTGAGTGACCAAAAAAAGGAAAATTGTTAATTTGTAAATTAATTTGTAAAATGGACAATTTTTTAAAAATAAAATTTTAATATTTTATGTAAAAATAAAACTGAATAATAAACTTGAAATTTTTAATTTCAATTTCTAATTACAATTTTATAGTGACTTAAAAAGAAAATAGTAAAAGTTTGTAAACATTATGTAAACACTAAGAGAATTTTTTATTAAAATTTTATTTTTTTTTAATGAAATTTTAATTTTTTAGAAAAATTTCAAGGTTTTTGTTATAAAATGAAAGTACAATTTTAGTTCTTTAAAGTGAAAAAAATGTAGATTTAAAGTGTATATTTAAAAAATTTGCACTTTTTATGTTAAAAAAAACAATGTTTTTTCTAAATTTCAATACTTTTTATATTAAAATTTGAATAAAATTTAACATTAAAATTTTAGTAACTTGAAAGAAGAAAAATTTTTCGTTTATAAATATTATTTTAAAAATAAACCATTTTTCTTATAAATTTTAATTTTTTTTATAAATTTCATTCATAAATTTTGAATTTTTTTGGATAAAAGTTAGCAGTAAAATTTTATTAACTTAAAAGAAGAAAAATTTTTGTTTTATAAATATTATTTTAAAAATTAACAAGTTTTTTATAAATTTTACTCATAAATTGCAATTTTTTGGAAAAAATTTAACAGTAAAATTTTAGTTTAATAAAATTAAGAAGAAAAGTTTTAATTTATTGAAATTTAGGAGAAAAAAAATTGAAGTTTATAAATATTATTTCAAAAATAAACCTATTTTTCATTAAAAATTTCAATTTTTTTATGAAACTGAAATGAAATTTAGAAATAAAATTGAATTTAAACTGAAATTTTGAAGTAAAAATCTCCAATAGCCAGAATTTCGAAATTTGCTTTTTTGAAATAAAAAATAATGAAATAAAAAATAAAGAAATAAAAATAATAAAGAAATAAAAATAATAAAGTAATAAAAATAATAAAGAAATAAAAATAATAAAGTAATAAAAATAAATAAATAAATAAAAAATAATGAAAGAAAATAATCTTACAATGAATTGTCCAATTCGTGGCAAAGTGGAAAAAAAGGCAAATTTTCCTCAAGCACGAAATGTTAAATCCAATTTTTGCTGACTATCGTCATGTTCGTTATCATCCTCATCCACTACTTCCATATCAATGGATTCTGAAAATTTCTCGAGTTCCTCAAACAAATGCGGATATTTCTCCACAAATTCGGCAAATTCAGTCGTCTCCTTAACTGCTTTCAAATCAGAATTCAATCGCTCCAAGCAAATGTTCTTCAATTTTAAAATTGATTTCATGTCCGCCAATTTTAAAACTTTCAAAACCGTCTCCGTCGATAGATTACTATTCAAATTATTAATACATATTGTCTTCAATTTTTCCAGTTGATATTTCTGCGCAGCCACGTACAAATCAAAAGCAATTTTACTCAAATTTTGCACTTTATCCGTGTAAATGAAACGAAGAAGATTTTCAAACACCGCTGGTCGAATATCGGAAATTTTCACCAATGAAGTGAGGTCCTCCTTCTTCTTCCCCTTAAACATCTGGGCAAACACTGGACTGCGACTCGACAGTATATTCTTATGTGCAGTGTACTTTTTCTTGCCAACCGTAAAAACGACGTCCTTGAAATTTTTATCATCGTACAAATTCTCAATATTATCGACAAGATCATTTGATTTGGGAAAATCGATTAGTGGCTTTTCAACTATTGATGTGCCAGAATCGAAAACACTCAATTCACATGTTACCAAAACATTTTTTGGTATAACATCGCCGAATGAATGATAAAATTCCGAGCCATTAATAACCCAAAATAAATTGCGATCTGAACGCAATGAACTACTCACAAAGACCTCAACTTTTTTGAATGAATTGAAAAATATTATTTTCACATTCACAAAACGCTCATTGCCATCCGTGTTCTTTAAAGAAATCCGAAATTTTTCTCCACTCTCATTTTTCAATTCCGTCGGCTCCAATTGAATGTACCATTGAGCATTTGTCACATTATCGGCGGGGAATTTTGGCGATTCAATTAATTTTACACTTTTGCAGATAAACTCAAAATTTTCAATTGTCCAATTGAGTTTGAAATTGCTGAATTTCAATTTTGTCACGTACGATTGTTCATTGTCGATTCTATCGAACATTGAAATATACTTCACTTTTCGTGGTAAATTCGATTTCACTTTTGTCTGCAAAAAATTGAAAACAAAATTTTATATTAGAAAAATAAAAAATATTTAAAAAAACAAAAATTTAAAAAAAAACAAAAATTTTTAAAAAATAGATATAAAATAATAAAAATTCTGTTGAATATTCTAATTATCCAAAAATTGCATATTTTTTCATTTCAAAAATGACTTATTCGAGTGAAAATTCACCCCCCCCCCCCCTTTTATTATTAAAAAAATGTTAAATAATTAAAAAAAATTTTCAAAATACCTAGATTAAATATTAAATAAAAATTCTTTTAAATATTCTAATTATCCAAAAATTGCAAATTTTTCCATTACCTATTCAAGTGAAAATTTACCCCCCCCCACTCCCCATTGTTAGAAAAATATTAAAAATTATAAAAAAAACTTTAAAAAATTTTTAAAATATTAAATAAAAAATACTTTTAGATATTCTAATTACAAAAATTGCATATTTTTCCATTAAAAAAAATCGACTTATTCTAGTAAAAATTTACCCAAATTTTTAAAATCAAATACCCAAGAGATATCCAAATAAAAAAAGTTTAAAAAAGGAAATTCAAAAACTTTGAAATTCTTTAATGAAATTTCAACATTTTTATCAAATTTTAATGCCTTTTTTTTAGAAATTGAAAGAAAATTTAAAAGTAAACTGTTATTTTAATTAAAAATGTAATAAATGTAATTTAAAAAATTAAAAAAAAAATTCCAAAAAATTGAATTAAAATTTGTCGTTGAATTTAGAGTTTAATTCAATTTAATTTACTTTTTTAATTTTTAAAACGTCGACGCAAACTTCAGGGACATTTTGAAAATTAAAAAAGTATGAAAGTAAAGAAAAATAAATAAAAAAAATAAAAATAATAAAATAAAAATAATAAATAAAAATAAATAGAAAATATTTACAATATTTTCTAAATTTTTTAATGCAAATCAGATTAAAAAATTTCGCTTTTTAAAATTGCTTCTCTATAGCTATAGATTCTTGAATTATTTCTATTTCTTTTTTTTAATTTTTCAGAAAACAAAAATTTAAATAAAAAATGTTAAATTTTCAAACAATGAATTTTCTGACTTTTAAGATTTTAAATACAACAAACAATTGGATTAAACAAACACGATTTTTTCTTTTTTTAAATTAAATTATTAAAAGAAAAATTAATTTTGAAATTCGATTCGGTGAAAGGGGAAAGTTTTTTAATTTTCATCACTTTAAATTTTTAAATAAAAATTGTATTTGAATAAAAAATAGAAAATTCAGTTGTTGAAAAACGTTTTATGAAAAAAGAAAAATAACCAAAAATTTGAAAAATTAACTCCTATTAACCGAAAATTGTAATTTTTGCTAAATAATATCAAATTAAAAATTGTATAGTATTAAACGGTTAAAATTTAATTTTTTATTTTCTAAACAAAATGAATAAATAAATAATAAAATTAAGACGTAATAACATGAAAAAAATATTTTAATGAAATTTTTCAGGTGAAAAATTTACTTTGGACGAATAAAGGAAAATAAAAAAAATATTTTATGATCAAACTTTTAAAATATTTAAATTTGTCTAAAAAATAAATTAAATATTAAAAAAATTAAAGTTTAAAAAAAATAAATAAAAAATAAATTTATTTACTTAAAAGTTACAGGTATTAATAAAAATAATTAATAAATAAAAAATAACAATTTAATTTTCTTCTTTCGTTAAATATTGTATTTGAATTTAAAATTGTTCTTTTATTTAAAAAAAAATACAAAACTGTAGAGTTGGACTTTTTCTCTTGACTGTACCATCAGAATTTTCCAGGAAAAGTAAACGAATTTATATTGGAAATAATATCAAAATTCTTTCCAATTATTACTTCCTCATAGAGGAAGTATTCTTTATTTGTATTTGTATTGAAAAATATTTAAAATAAGTTATTGAAATACTTATTTAGAAAAAATCAAAATTAAAACTTAAAATCCAATATTTAGATTAAAAAAAAATTTAATAAAAATATTAAAAACATTAACAATTATAAAATTGTTAATGTTTTTTAAAATTTTTTCTAAATTTTTTTTCCAATATAAATTTGATTATATAATAAAATATAAATAAATATAATTAAAATCTTATATAGGAAAAAACAAATAAAAAATATTAAATTTTTATTTTAACAAAAATTTAATTATTTAATATTAACAACCGAAAATTAATTAAAACTTCGCAAGCCAAAAAGTTACAAAAAATATCGAATTTTTATTTTTCAGATTTTTTTACGAAAATTTATTTACTTTTATGTAGCAAACGAAAATTAATTACAATTTTATAAGCAAAAAAATAAAGAAAAAATATTGAATTTATATTTTTTAGTTTCTATTTTTACGAAAATTTAAAAAAAAATTGTTTAATTTTAGGTATCTAATAACTGCAATTAAATGACTAAAAATTTATAGAGAAAATAAAAAAATATTCATTTATTTTATTTACTTATTTCCTATTTAATATTTTTTTCTATTTTTCACGAAAAATTCAAATTTCCTTTTAAAATGAAATTTTTTGTATTTAAAACGAAATTTTTGTAATTAAAAATGAAAAAGTAATTTTAATTTTTAAAAGTGGATAGTTTTAACTGTAATTTGGAATTTTTAATTTTAAAGAACAGAAAGAATTTTCTAATTCTTTAAAAACCAGTAAAAAAAAATAAATCTACGAAAAAACTTGATTGAAATTTAACCTAAAAATAAATTAGAGTTTAATGCCTTTGTTTGAAAGGATTCTTATAATTATGTATACATATATGTATATAATATGTATATATGTGTATAGGAAACTAATAATTCCGAATATAGGTTAATTTTTGCCCAATGATTTTTTTCTATAATCAATTTACAAATACCAGAAAAGAAACAAAAACAAAAAATATTTTTAAAAAAAAATTGAACGAAAAGAAAAAATTAACAATTTTTTCCAAAAAATGAGATTTTTTTTTACTAAAAAAGATTTTTGGCAAATTCGGAAAAAATGCTTTTTTAACCTCTTGCTTTGCCTCATTAGAAATAGTACAAAAATGCTTTCCATATTAAATGCACATATTTTCATTAATTTTCGTAGTTTTCGTAAAAGACTCGAAAAGGGGGAAAAATATAATTCACTTACTTCCATTTTTCCTTTGTGAATATTCGATTTTTTTACTTCCAAGAAGACGGTTTCTAAATTTTGTTGAACTCTCCAATTTCCAAGAAAAAACGAGAATGAACGAGAAGGACTTTCCAAGAAAAAAATTTGTCAGCTAGGCAGAGAATTTTAACCAGAGTTCGGTAGGTGTAAAGGTAATAATTGTGGCAATGGTGGCAATACAGAAGGACGTCCATAATCCGACACTTCCCCTTCTCCCCCAAGGACCCAAAGTACACAGCGATGGGTAAGTGAAAAAACGCAAGGAACGCAAGGCAACTTTTAAGGTGAGTTCATAATAGAAACGTAATCAGACTTTTTATTTCTCAACGTTCTCAACCCTGACGAATTTAACCAACAAAATCAACAACGTCTTCTGGTTTCTCGTGAAAAAATGAAACTGTAAAATTGTGTAAAATTCATTATTGGATTTTTTTAAAATAAAAACTTGTTTTTTTACAATCGACCGATAATTTTAAATTAAAGAAAGGCAATTTTTGGTGGGTAAATAATTAAAAATATAAAGTTTTAAAATATGTGTCCAGAAATGTATTTCAATATGTTTTAAAATATTAGTTATAAACAAAGGAAAATTTGACAAACAATCGAGACAAAGGATTATTCAATTTCATTTTTTTTTAATTAAGAGAAACTGGCGAAATAAAAAAAACTAGATTAATTCGCCCATCAGAGATATTATGACACGATTTATAGAATAATGGATTAATTAAGAGAACTAAATTATTTCGTCGTATAAATAATTAATCATAACCTCAAATTCATAACAATTTACATAAATTTTTTAATAAATTAATTTTTCGAAGTAAATTTCAAATAAAAGTCTCGATGATAGCTTCCATTCATATTTTAGAAATAATTACTAACTTATGATAAATAACAATAATTAATAAAAATTATTTTCATTTTTGTAATTCTTTTGTATAAAAAATTGAAAACTAATTAAAATAAAATTTTCAATTTATTATTATATTTTAAAACTTTGAAATTTCCACAAGAATTCAATTATTTAAAATAAAATTTTTTTCATAATATTTATTATATATTTCAAAAAAATTAATTATTTAAAAACAATGTTTTTAAAATTCTTCTGAAGAATAATTCAATTATTTTCAAAAATAACAAAAATTTTCACAGAAATTCAATTATTTACATAAATAATTTTTTAAAAGTATTCAATTATCTCGATAAATAACAAAATTATTCTTGAAAATTCAATTATTTTGAGGCATTTTAATAAAATTCTTTTCAAGATTCAATTATTATTTTCAAAAATAACAAAATTCATTGTAAGAATTCAATTATTTTTAAAAGAAATAAATTTTTTTTTGGAAATTCAATTATTTTAAAAAATTCTAATAAAATCGTTCGCAAAAAAATCAATTATTTTAAATACAATTTTAATTAAATTTTTTTGAAATAATTCAATTATTCTTTTAGATTTTAATAAAATTCTTCCCAAGAATTCAATTATTTACATAAATAATTTTTTGAAAGTATTCAATTATCTCAATAAATAACAAAATTATTCTTGAAAATTCAATTATTTTGAGGCATTTTAATAAAATTCTTTGTTCTTTTTTTCTTTCGAAAGAATTCAATTATCTCGATAAATAACAAAATTATTCCTGAAAATTCAATTATTCTGAGGCATTTTAATAAAATTCTTTTGCAAAATTCAATTATTTTTACACAAATAAAAAATTTATCGCAAGAATTCAATTAAAATAGTCCTAAGTTTGGCTAAAGTGTGAAGGAAAAATATTATTTTAACATAAATCTTCAGAAAAACGGAAAAAAAGTTTTAAGTTTGGCTAAACTGCGAAGAAAAAATATTATTTTAACATCTTCGCGGAAAAACGGAAAAATGGAAAAATAACTTGAAAACAAAGTTTCTATAATAAAAATTAAATTCCTTTTGTGTTTTTATTTTCTATTTCTAATATTTCTTTTATTTTTGCAGATAAAAAAATAATGGCTGAAGTGAAAACAAATAATAATTTGATATTTAATTCAGCGGATGATGAAAAGATTTGTACGTCGAAATTGAAATTTAATAATTTTGAACTCACATGGAATATTGAGAATTTTGATTTTATTTGCGCGAATATAAAAATAATTGAATCGCCAAAATTCCCCTCGAAGAACAACAATAAAGGCCAATGGTTCCTTCAATTAGAGCCTACGGAATTAAATGAAATTAATAATGAAAACTTTAATGTTCTCTTGAAAAATGTCGACGATAATGAATATTACATGAATGTTAGCGTGAAATTTTTCACCTCTACAAAACTTGTTAAAAGTCTTGTGATAGATCCCACAACTCCGAATAAGACATATTTTCTCACGAAGAAATGTCCATTAATTTGGAGTATAACTGCATCGCAATTTTTCACCGATTTTCAAAAATTAATACCCAAGGATATTACAATAAATTGTCAAATTAGTGTCTTTGATTCGGGAATAACTGTCATTGAAAAACCAATTGTTGACCCCTTTCCAAAATATGATGATTTGATTGGAGATATGGATGGTTTTTACAGAGACAAACATCACACGGACGTTATTTTTGTCATTGGAAGAAGAAAATTCCCAGCTCACAAGGCAATTCTATCTCTTCGAAGTTCCACTTTTGCTGCGTTATTTAAAAATAAAATCTGGAAATCAGAAACTGGTAAAGAGGAACTTAATTGCTTTGTTAGAGTCGTAGACACTGCACCTTCAGTGTTTGAGAATATTCTCAATTTTATTTACACTGATAGAGTTGAAAATTTACAAGAAACATCAATGGTTCTTTATATTGCGGCGAAGAAATATCAACTCAATAAATTACAATCAATGTGCATTGGCAGTTTGAAGAAGAATTTGTCACAAGAGACAATTTTTGATACACTAAAGTTTGCCAATCAGGAATCAATTTTAAATTTGAAAAAAGAATGTTTTAAACGTTTGAATAATGATTTAATGCCAATGAAGGATACGGAGGAATTTTTTAAATTTGGACAAGAATTTCCATATTTAGTTGAAGAAATTAATAAAATGGCAAATGCAGTAAATGTTGAAAATAACCATATGGATGAAGGAACTCAGATGTTGAACTTAACATTTCGGGATCGAAAATAAATCGAATTTCGATGGATTTTAAAAAAAAAACATGATGACAAGTAAGATTGACTTTTAAAATTTATTTACTTTTTTTTTTTTAAATAAATTGATGTAGATTTTGCTACTACTAAAAACTACAAATAATTTGTACTCGTTAGTTATAAAAAAATTTTTTTCATTCATTGAAGAAAAGTAGCAAAAAGAATAATTCTTTTTGCTACTTTTCTTCAATGAATGAAAAAAATTTTTTTATAACTAACGAGTGCAAAGCCTACTGATGTTAAAAAGTTCTTTTAAAAATTAAGACAGATTGAGTAAATAATCGAATATTTTATTTTCAGTTCATTGCAAGCATTTACAACTGACAATATCAACATTAATATAATTTTCCACATGATTGAAGGAATATACACAGAATAAGCGAAGATGATTTATCTTTACTATTCAGTGCGACTTAAAGAAGAAAAGATATATTATTATAATACTACTTAAGATATGTTAATATTTGCAATCGAAAATTTTATTTGCAAATTTCTACTCTATACCAAAGTATTTAAACTTTATTTACTTTGAAATTATTCCTACAAGTTTATCGCTAGTTGAAAAAAAAGCTAAAAGCATTATTATTGTTTTTATAAAATACGATCAGATTTATTTTATCGTCAATTGATAATTAAAAACTTTCGTATGTGCATTATGTGAAAGTATAAATATTACAAAAAAAAAGTTGAGAATAAAAATATTTTTATATATATTCACACTCGATAATTAATTAAAAAAAAAAAAAAAAAAGTAGTAAAAAAGTAGTAAAAAAAGTAGTAAAACAGTAGTAAAAAAGTAGTAAAAAAGTAGCTATCGAAAAATTAAACTTGACGATAAAAAAAAAACTCGTTTTAGACATTTCACAAGACTGATAAAAAATTCTATTCCTACAAAGAATTTTATTATTCATGAAAGAATTTAAATATTCATAAAAATAATTGAATTCTTGTGAAGAATTTTATAGAAAATTTTAAATAATCATTTCTTTCGACTAATTTTCAGCAAATTCAAATTTAAATAATTGAATTCCAGAGAAAGTTTTATTATTCATGAAAAAAATTGAATTCTAACGAAGATTTTTACAACAAAATTTTTTTAAATAATTGAATTCTGTTTGGAAATTTTATGAAAATAGTAAATATTGAAAATCATTGAATTGCGAAAAGTTTTTTAAAAATAATTAAATTTTATACAAAGAATTCAATTAAAATTTTTGACAATAATTAAATTCAAGCGAAAGATTTTATTAGAATTTTTTTAAATAATTGCATTTCTGAGAAGAAATTTATTACTTTTAAAAATAATTGAATTCTTACGCGATGAATTTTGTTATTTATGTGAAAATAATTGAATTTTGCAAAGAATTTTATTAAAATCCCTAAAAATAATTGAATTTTCAGGAATAATTTTGTTATTTATCGAGATAATTGATTTCTTTCGAAGAATTATTTATGTAAATAATTGAATTCCTGAGAAGATTTTTATTATTTATGAAAATAATTGAATTCTTGCGAACGATTGTATTAGAATTATTCAAAATAATTGAATTTCCAAAAAAATTATTACTTTTAGAAATAATTGAAATATAGTGCTGAATTTTGTTATTTATGTGAAAATAATTGAATTTTGCAAAGAATTTTATTAGAATCCCTAAAAATAATTGAAATTTTTGAGAATAATTTTATTATTTATCGACATAATTGAATTTTTTCGAAAAATTATTTATATAAATAATTGAATTTTTTGAAAGAATTTTATTAATATTTAAAAGAATAATTTATTCATTTCAATAAAATTTAATTAAAATTGTAACTAAAATAATTGATTTCTTTCGAACAATTTTATTAAAATATTTGAGAATAATTGAATTCCTGTGAAAAATTCTAATATTTTTTGTAAATAATTGAATTCTTCTAAAGAATTTTAAAAAAATAATTTTTTTTAATAATTACAATTTTTGAGCAATTCCTGTAAAATTATATTAAAAATAACAGAAATCCTGCCATGAATTTTATTGTTTATGAAAATAATTGAATAGTTGCTAAAAAATGTATTAAAATTTTAAAAAATAATTGATTTCTTGAGAAGAATTTTATTATTTATGCGAAAATAATTGAATTTTGCAAAGAATTTTATTAAAATGCCTAAAAATAATTGAATTTTCAGGAATAATTTTGTTATTTTTGAAAATAATTGAATTCTTCATAAGAATAATACCATACCATAATCAACCATTTTTTATTAATATTTTGTTTTTCTTTATCGAAAATAACAATAAAACCGAAGCGTCCTGAATAGGACAGAGTTACAATTATCATTTTTAAAAGTGACCGCCATTAAATTAGACACCCACAGCTCCATCTACAATGAACCCTTTTGCTTATGAGTTTCCTTTCTTCAATGCTCATTGTCACTGTTCTTCATGCTTTTTTCGGTATAAACGGTATAAAGTTTGAGGCGTTTGAGGATTGTTCAGTTAAAAGAAAATTAAAAATAATTTGAAAGAAAGCAGTATTTCTATTTATATATTTTTATTTACTTTTTTTTTATTTCTATTTTTATTTTTACATGTAAGTAAATTTTATGCTCCTGAGTCTATTTATGTAAATTATTTGAAAACTTTGAAAATAACGTATTGTATAATACCTATATAATAATCAGACAAAAATATAATACTGAAACATTTAAAGTTTCTGAATTTTACACTTTAGTAATAACTAATATTAAATAAAATTCTCTTGTATATTTGAGAATAAAATTTTTTATTTCATTCATTTTTCATTCAAAAAAATACCAACTTTTGCATATGATATTGAGTATAGATAAACTCTTTTCATTTCTATTACTGACAAGAGGTAAATTTTCATTGAAAAGAAGTGAAAAATTTATTAAAAATAATTTTTAATTAAAATAATATATTTTTTTTAGGAAAACATTATGAGTAAGGATAATGTGGAGGATGTGGAGTTTATTCCTACGTTTATTAAAACAAGTGGGACGAAGAGCTACACTTCAAAATTAAAGTTTCATCATTATGAACTCAATTGGACAATAGAAGATTTTGAGTTGATTTGCAGGAGCGTTAAAACAATTGAGTCACCGAAATTCCCATCAGAAAGCTCAACCAATTGCCAATGGTTTCTACAGGTGGGACTTACAGAATTGACGGAAAACAATGAAGATAAATTTTCAATTTGTTTAAAAAACACCGAAAATAATAAAGCACGTATTAATGCTAAAATTTCATTTTTCGACAATCAATCGGAAATTCGATTCATTCAATGCTTTGTAACAATGAGCGTGGTGATTTCGGAAACTAATTTTTGGTCAACGAGTGGATCTGAAATACGTAAAAAGTTCGGCAAAACTATACCCAAAGATGTTCTTGTTAAATGTGAACTTAGTGTTTTTGATTCACTAACAACGGTTGAAAAAGAACCGTTTGTAAAACCCAAAAAGTGTAAAGATGCAATGGAGAACATGAAAAGTTTACTCGGTAATGAAAATTTCAAAGATGTTAAGTTCAAAGTAGCGAATAAGGAATTCACAGCCCATAAAGCGATACTCGCCATTCAAAGTCCCGTCTTCGCTGCGATGTTCAACAGCAAAATGAGTGAAGAGCTAACGTCGATTGTTCAAATAAAGGACATAAAGCCGACAATATTTCAACAAATGCTGAATTTTATCTACAATGTCGAAATTAAAGACTTGGATAAAGTGGCACTGGAATTATTTTACGTGGCTGAAAAATACGAACTGAAGGAATTGAAGACCAACTGCATCAACAATTTATACAAAAATCTATCTTTAAAAACAGTTATTAAAACTCTTGAAGTGGCCGATTTATATTCAATCTTGGATTTAAAGTCTGAATGTCTAAAACTATTGCTAAAGGAATGGGATGTAATTAGTGAGACAAAAGAATTGAAAAATCTAATACAAAAACGACCGTATTTAACGATTGAGGTTGTGAACATACGTAAAAAATTAGATAAAGAAGAAAATGTAGAAAGTAACATGTCTCAAAGTTTACCTTTTGTTTTCCGTGATTAAAGTGTTATAAACACAATAATAAATAAATATTTTAAGGAATAAAAAGTAAATATTAGAACAAGAATTATTATCAACTGTAAGTCTTCGTAGAATCAGAAATGTGATATTCCTTTAAGTATTAATAGGCCAACACACATTGAAAATTATAAGACAAAAATCATACGATTTACATGAGAGTAAAGGATAGAAACATTGTTCTTTTTTATTTCATAAAGTAAAATTGACGATTTACATCTTACGATTTTCATTGTACTTAGGCCCATTACTTTATAAAGATTGTCTCGTCTCGCCGCCTGGGATCTGTTTATTAAAATCCTAATAAATACATTTGAAAATATTATTTTATGAGCAGTCTTCTATTTTTTAATTAAATAAATATATAAATTTAAATTAATATAATGTTCAAATAAAAGACTATTTTACAATTGTGCAATTAAGACTATTTCTAAAAAAATAATGTTTATTTTTAAAAGTTACCGCCAATTAATTAGATAACCGCAGCTCCATCTACAATGAGCCCTTTTGCTTACGAGTTTCCTTTCTCCAATGCTTATGTTCAATGCATTTTTTCGGTATAGGGGTATAGGTAGAGGAATCAAGTCAAAAGCGTCAAAAGAAAATTAAAAATAATTTTGAAAGAAAGCAGTATATTTGTTATATATTTTAAAGAATATAATTAATTTTTATTTGACACATTAAAAGAAGTTTACATGTAAGTAAATTTTATGCTCCCAAGTCTATTTATGTATATTATATGAAAACTTTGAAAATAACGTATCTTACATAACCTATAATAATCAAACAAAAATAATACTGAAATATTTAGTTTCTTAATTTTACACTTTAGTAAAAACTAATGTTAGAAAAAATTCTCTTGTATTTTTGAAAATAAAATGTCGCTTCCCTGCCGGAAGAATAGACTGAAATTAAAACTTGAGAATTAGACTGAGAGCTCAGTGCTATTTCAGTGAAAATTTGTTGCGTTTTAGCACTGAAATGGTACTGGGAAAAATTGCCTGCAAAAGGGTCTCTATATTATAATAAATTTTAGATAATTAGTAATCATAAAACATCACGGATTAAAATTTTTTTGTTTTAAAAATTGTATTATTTAAATTGTAAACTTTTTAAGCCATAAAATTATAATCCCATACAACAAAGGCTTTCGGGTCTATTGTTAAAGCAGGGATTGCAATATAATTTAAAAATTTAACGGGAATTTCTTTAAAAATTTTGGTAACCTTTTTTATTTTTACTTCAGACTGTTAACAATATATGGTTTGTTGACATAACCTACATTTGAAACTTGTTAAAGGACTTTAAAAATGTCTACCGAAACATTAAAAAAACGGACTGAAATTATACTGGAGGCCAGTACAATTTCAGTATAGTTTTTCAGTCTATTCTTCCGACAGGGTTATATTTCATCGAAATATTTAGATAATATAAATTCACTATACATATTATTCTTAATTTTCGAAAATGTAAAATACCTAACTTTTGCATATGACATTGAGTAGCTAAACTTTTAATTTCTCGTACTGACAAGAGGTAAATTTTCATTAAAAATAAATGGATAAAAATTATTTAAACAATTATTTTTTTCACGCTATGTTAAAATAATATAAAATTTTTTTAGGGAAACATGAGTAAGGATAATATGAAGTTTATTCCAACGTTTGTTCAAACAAGTGGGACGATGAGTTACACTTCAAAATTAAAGTTTCAACATTATGAACTCAATTGGACGATAGAAGATTTTGAATTGATTTGCAGGAGCGTTAAAAAAATTGAGTCACCTGAATTTCCATTAGAAAGTTTAACCAATGGCCAATGGTATTTAGAGTTATATCCTACAGAATTGACGGAAAACAATAAAGAAGAATTTTCAATTCGTTTAAACAACACCAATTATAGTACAGCACATGTTAATGCTAAAATTACATTTTTCAACTGTAAAAATAAAGTTCAATCATTTGTAACAGATTATATAATGAATTCTAATGCTTACTGGTCTATAAGTGGATCTGAATTTTCTAATATGTTTGGCAAAGATATACCAAAAAATGTGATTGTCAAATGTGAACTTAGTGTTTTTGATTCACTAACAACGATTGAAGAAGAACCGTTAGTAAAACCCGAAAACTGTAACGATCTATTGGAAAAAATCACAAGTTTACTCGGTAATGAAAATTTCAAAGATGTTAAGTTCAAAGTAGAGGATAAGGAATTCACAGCCCATAAAGCGATTCTCGCCATTCGAAGTCCCGTCTTCGCTGCGATGTTCAACAGCAAAATGAGTGAAGAGCTAACGTCGATTGTTCAAATAAAGGACATAAAGCCGGAAATTTTTCAACAAATGCTGAATTTTATCTACAATGTCGAAGTTGAAGACTTGGACAAAGTGGCACTGGAATTATTTTACGTGGCCGAAAAATACGAACTAAAGGAATTGAAGACCAATTGCATTAACAGTTTACACAAAAATTTATCCTCAAAAACAGTTATCGACACTCTTGAAGTGGCCGATTTATATTCACTCTCGGAATTAAAATCCGAATGCCTAAAACTATTGTTAACAGAATGGGATGTAATTAGTAAGACAAAAGAATTTAAAAGTCTAATTCAAAATCGAGCGGATTTAATAATTGAAGTTGGGAACATTCGTAAAAAATTAGATAAAGATGTAAATGCCGAAAGCAGCAAGTCTCTAAATTTGCCTTTCACATTCCGTGATTAAAGTATGATAAATATTTTAAGGAATAAAAAGTAAATATTACAACAAGAATTATTATCAACTGTAAGTCTTCGTAGAATCAGAAATGTGATATTTCTTTAAGTATTAATAGGCCAACACGCATTGAAAATTATAAAACGTAAATCGTTTGCCTTTTGCATTCCGTGATTAAAGTTTTTTTTTTAATTATTTAATAATTATTTATCGTCGTTTTGAGTGTTATAAACACTATAATAAGTAAATAAATATTGTACGGAATAAAAATCCAATGAATATGGGAACAAGAATTACTGTCAACCCTTAAGTCTTCGTAGAATCAGAAATGTGATATTTCTCTAAGTATTAATAGGCCATTACGCATTGAAAATCGTAAATCGTACGATTTACATGAGAGAGTAAAGGATAGAAATATCTTTCCTTTTCTATCTCAGCAAGTAAAGTTAACGATTTACATCTTACGATTTTTATTGTTCTTAAGCCCATTACATTATGAATCGTTTTGTTTACTCTTTTTTAAATTAAGAGTTATTTAATATATATTAATATTATATTGTTTAAAATAAAAAAATATTTTTTAAAAAAAGATAGTGATTTAAGCTACTTAGTTGTCTTATAAGTCAAATAAAATCTGTAAATTGTAAGAAATAAAAAACTATTTTTATTGAAATATGAGCCATTTTCACTGAACTTGAAAACTTGGGTCTTGAATAATTTTTTAGACGAATGTTTTTATTTTTTTTACTTTCAGGGTGTCTACTAACCAGAAAATAGCCAGGAATTTTATGCAAAATCGGAAATTTTTTCACCAAATTAAAAAAAGTTTTATTATTTTAATTTGTTTTTCAAAAATCCCATTTTATTTCAATTTTTATAGATATTCGTAATGTTCTCTAAATTTGAATTAGTTAAAAATAATTAATTTGATAGTAAACAATCAGTAACTGATTAAAATATAGTATGGAAATACATTTTTTTTTATTTAAATTATCGAATTAATAGAAATTTAACTGAAAATAATTAAATTTTTTTAAAGATTTTCATTTAAATCTTTTTAACAAATCGAATTTTTAAAGTATTTTAATTTAATAATTGATAAATAATTGAATTTTATAAAGATGAGTCACATTCAAATGTATTCATGTTTCTTAGTGCGAAGATTAATAATTAACTTAAAAAAAAGATACAAACTTAAAATTTTGTAATAAAATTAAATTTTCTCAAATTTTTTTTTAAAATTCTGAAAAATAAGATTTTTGGAATATTTTGCAATTCTATTGTTTCAAGATAATTGGATTTTTCTAACTAAATAATTGAAATTTCTTTACATTCTATTAAAAATAATTAAATGCGATTTTTTCGACTTATTTTTAAAAATTGCAAATTTTTCGAGTTTTATACAATTAAAAAAAAATTTTTAATAATTTAAATTCTGTACTATTTTTATAATTTTACAAAAATTTGAAAAAAACAGTGTTTTTTTATAAAGATTTATAGATAATTTTTAAAGATAAAAAAAATAAAATTCTTTAAAATTTTTTAAAATTTCTGCATAAGTTTTCATATTCTACCAAAAATATTAATTTCTCATTAAAAAATGTCCACGCTATATTAGAATAATATAATATTTTTTTTAGGAAAGCATTATGAGGATTATGAGTAAGGATGATACGGATGCGGAGTTTATTCCTACGTTTGTTAAAACAAGTGGGACAAAGAGCTACTCATCAAAATTAAAGTTTCAACATTATGAACTCAATTGGACGATAGAAGATTTTAAATTGATTTGTAAGAGCGTTAAAATAATTCAGTCACCTAAATTCCCATCAAAAAGTTTAACCAAATGCCAATGGTTTCTAGAGTTGGAACCTACCGAATTGTCGGAAGACAATGAAAATAAATTTTTAATTTGTATAAAAAACACCAATAATAGTGAAGAACATGTTAATGTTATAATTACATTTTTCAACAATGAAAATGAAGTTGAATCATTTATAACAGAGTATATAATGAATTATGATGCTAAATGGTCAGAGAGTGGATCTGAATTACGAAAAAAGTTCGGCAAAACAATATCAAAAGATGTCTTCATTCAATGCCAACTTAGTGCTTTTGATTCACTAACAACGGTTGAAAAAACAAAATTAAAATCAGTATTTATTTAAATATTTTAGTTGTCATGAAGACTTAAACATCAATGATTTATATTGACAGTTGACTCTTCTTTTGGATTTTCATTTCAAACATAACCTATAATTTTTTTCTTCAAAGGTCCCTTTCTTTCAGATCGCGTCACATATTATTTTATGAGCAGTCTTCTATTTTTTAATTAAATAAATATATAAATTTAAAAATATAGTGTTCAAATAAAAGACTATTTTACAATTGTGCAATTAGGACAATTTCTAAAAAAATAATGTTTATTTTTAAAAGTTACCGCCAATTAATTAGATAACCGCAGCTCCATGTACAATGAGCCCTTTTTACTTACGAGTTTCCTTTCTCCAATGCTCATGTTCATGCATTTTTTCGGTATAGGAAGAGTAATGTTCAGTATTAGAGAAAATATCAAATATTACAAAAATTTGAAGGAATAAAACAGTATTTGTTATATATTGTGAGGAATATAATACGATAATACATTATTATATAGAGAAGTTTACATGTAAGTACAATTTTATGCTCCTATGACTATTTATGTAGGGTAAGTGTACCAATTGCCGAGGGTGTTCCATTTGTCGATGTTTACTATGGTAATAAAAAATATTGTCTAAAATGTCTCATTTGTTTGTGGATATAATATTAATATATTTTTTTCACATTTATAACGCATAAGAAAATTAATATTTATCACTTTTTTCCATTTACAATGTGCTACAATGTTTATAAATAAAATTCAAAGTTTGTTTACTCGACAACAGGAACCGCATCCTCGACAATTGGTACGTTTAATATGTTTGAAAATAATAACGTATTGTATAACCTATAATAATCAGAGAAAAACGACAAAAATAATACTGAAACAATTAAAGTCTCTTAATTTTACGTACTTCTTTAAAAAAAATTTAAATGCCTACTTTTGCATGACACTGAATATTGTTAAACTTTTTATTTCTCGTACTGACAAGAGGTAAATTTTCATTTAAAAAAAAAGTGGAGAAATTATTTAAATAATTATTATAAAACTATATTAAACTAAATTAATATTTTTTTAGGCAACAATTATGAGTAAGGATAATATGAAGTTTATTCCAACGTTTGTTCAAACAAGTGGGACGATGAGTTACACTTCAAAATTAAAATTTCAAAATTATGAACTCAATTGGAAGATAGAAGATTTTGAATTGATCTGCAAGACAGTTAAAATAATTCAGTCACCTAAATTTCTATCAGAAAGTTTAACCAATTGCCAATGGTGTTTAGAGTTACAGCCTACGGAATTGACGGAGAACAATAAAAATGAGTTTCACATTTATTTAAAAAACACCATTGGTAGTAATGTATACATCAATGCTGAAATTTCCTTTTTCGACCATGAAACTAAACTTCAATCATTTGTAGCCGACTATATATTAATGAGATACAACAATCTTCACTGGACTAAGACTGCATCTGAATTTCGAAAAATTTTTGGCAAAACTATTCCAAAAGATGTTCTTCTCAAATGCAAACTTAGAGTTTTTGATTCACTAACAACGATTGAAGAAGAACCGCCAAGTAAACGCAGAAAGTGTAACGATCCAATGGAAAATATGAAAAGTTTACTCGGTAATGAAACTTTCAAAGATGTTAAGTTCAAAGTAGCGAATAGGGAATTCACAGCCCATAAAGCGATACTCACCATTCAAAGTCCCGTCTTCGCTGCGATGTTCAACAGCAAAATGAGTGAAGAGCTAACGTCGATTGTTCAAATAAAGGACATAAAGCCGACAATATTTCAACAAATGCTGAATTTTATCTACAATGTCGAAATTAAAGACTTGGACAAAGTGGCACTGGAATTATTTTACGCGGCCGAAAAATACCAACTGGAAGAATTGAAGACCAACTGCATCAACAATTTACACAAAAATCTATCTGCAAAAACAGTTATCGATACTCTTAAAATGGCCGATTTACATTCACTCTCTGAGTTAAAGACCGAATGTCTAAAACTATTATTAAAAGAATGGGATATAATTAGTGAGAAAAAAGAATTGAAAAGTCTAATTCAAAATCGAGCGTATTTAACAATTGAAATTGTGAACATGCGTAAAAAATTAGATAAAGAAGTAAATGCAGAAAGCAACAAGTCTCTAAATTTGCCTTTCACTTTCCGTGAATAAAGTTTGTTTTTAATTACTTTTAATATATATTTTTTCGTCGTTTTGAGTGTTATAAACACAAAAATATATAAATATTTTATTGCAATAAAAATCCAATGAATATTAGAACAAGAATTACTATCAATTCTTAAAGTCTTCGTGAAATCAAAAATATGTGATATTTCTTCAAGTATTAATGGTATTAATAATAATTGTTGAGTCTTGAAAATCGTAAAACGTAAATCGTAAATCGTACGATTTACATGAGAGTAAATGAAAGAAACATTTCTTTTCTATCTCACCAAGTAAAATTCACGATTTACATCTTACGATTTTCATTGTACTTTGGTACATTACTTTAACGTTTTGTTTACTCTTTTTCAAATTAAGAGTTATTTAATACATATTGCTTAAATTAAAGAAATATTTTTTTAAAACAAGATTGTGATTTAAGCTACTTTGTTGTCTTGTAAGAAGTCAAATAAATTCTGTAAACTGAGAGAAATAAAAAACTATTTCTATTGAAATATAATCGATTCGTTTTCGTGCCAGGAATATAATTTTGACAAAAACCAATTAAAATTGCAATAAAGAAAAATTTTATTTCAAAAAAATATAAAAATCAATTTTTTCAAAAATTAAGATGGATAGAAATTTTTTTTTTTTTTTGAAAATTCTTGTGTCTAATTTTAGATATTAGTGACTGTAATACACCTACGAAATGTTAGCAAAATTCGTTAAAACGTGATTATGTAAAAAATATAATTAATAATAGTAATAATCTTCAATAATAACATTTTATATTCTATACAAAAGTTGTTTCATACCTATTTAAAGTAAAATAAATGATTTACTTTCTCAGAAACGGCTTTGGCGCCCAATTTTGAACTTTCACTACAATGAAATATGGCCGCCTTGTTTAAAGTTCTGTTCACAGGATTTTCAATCCAGTGGTGTGAACGCAATTTTAACAACTTTCGTTCCGTAAATTTTTTTCTACCGACTATGCACGCACTCAAACAGTTTTTTCTCGTTTGGTAATTTATTTTATTGACCAGTGTTATGGAAAAATAACATAGTAAATTAAAAAAAAGGATTATTTTTATATTTCAAAGAATATAATACATTCTCGGCATATAAATTAAACCATTAAGAGAAGATTGCATGTAAGTAAATTTTATACACGTTTATGAGTCTTGTTTATATTTAAGAAAAGTCATACAGTCGATAATATTTTTAACAAAATTAATATAATACTACTGAAACATTAAAATTTCTAAATTCTACATACTTTAATAAAATTTGTTGTCCTAACATTATGCTGACTGAATTTGTAAAATTGCATAATTACCGCACTGCACTTTTCATTTTTGCTTTTTTAAGAATAGTAACATAACCTATAAACGTACCACTCAATAGACTCAATACTCACTTCAAATTACATAAAAATATTACTTAAAAAAACTAATAGTAGTAATAAATAGTACTAATAAAAATATTGAATTTCTAATTCATTATGAAATATTTAGAAAATATATACCAGGCCATTCCACGTAAAATTTTTCTATGACATTTTAAAATCGGTTAAACATATTTTTTTCTGGTTCTTTATAGATAAATATACGTATTTTTTTATTTTTGTTTAATTGGCAAAATTTTCGAATTATAAATTTTCAAAATTTAGGATTTTTAAAAGTAGACTTCCTTTACGTTAAAGAAATTGACTTTTTTAACAATTTTCATAACGCTAAATTAAAAATATCGTACTTCATCATTTTATTTTTTTAGAAAAAAAAATTATGGATAAGGATACTGAGAGTCATATTTCGATGTTTGATGAAACAAGCGCGACGAAAAGTTACACTTCAGAATTAAAGTCTCATCACTATGAACTTAATTGGACGATAAAAGATTTTGAACTCGTTTGTAAGAGCGTTTTACTAATTAAGTCACCAAAGTTTCCGTCGAAATCTTTAACCGATCTCCAATGGTTTCTACAATTTAATCCAACAGAATTAAAGGCAAACAATACAAATGACTTTATAGTTTTTTTAAAAAACACCAAAAACAGTACCGAACGTATTAATGTTCGAATTTCATTTATCAACTCAATAACTGCAGTTTATTCATTAATAACTCCACGTATTATAAGTTCTACTAATGCTAAGTGGATGGTAAATGGATCTGAGTTTCGTCAAAAGCTTGGCAAAGCTATATCAAAAAATGTTCTAGTCAAATGCAAACTTAGTGTTTTTGATTCACTGACAACGATTGAGGAAGAGCCGCCAGTTAAACGTAGGAAGTGTAACGATCCAATGGAAAACATGAAAAGTTTACTCGGTAATGAGAATTTCAAAGATGTTAGGTTCAAAGTAGAGGATAAGGAATTCACAGCCCATAAAGCGATTCTCGCCATTCGAAGTCCCGTCTTCGCTGCGATGTTCAACAGCAAAATGAGTGAAGAGCTAACGTCGATTGTTCAAATAAAGGACATAAAGCCGACAATATTTCAACAAATGCTGAATTTTATCTACAATGTCGAAATAAAAGATCTTGACGAAGTGGCACTTGATTTATTTTGCGTGGCTGAAAAATACCAACTGGAAGAATTGAAGACTAATTGCATTAATTCTTTGTGCAAAAATCTATCTGCAAAAACAGTTTTTGATACTCTTGAAATGGCCGATTTATATTCACTCCCTGAAGTAAGATCTGAATGTCTAAAATTATTGATAACTGAATGGAATGTAATTAGTGAGACAAAAGAGTTCAAAAATCTAATACAAAATCGACCGTATTTAACAGTTGAAATTGTGAACATGCGTCAAACATTAGATAAAAAAGAAAATGCAGAAAGTAACAAGTCTCTAAATTTGCCTTTTGCTTTTCGTAATTAAAGTTTGTTTCTATTTAATATATTATTCATCGCCGTTTTGAGTGTTATAAACACAATATTGCTTAGGCTGATTACTTTATAAATCGTTTTGTTTACTCTTTTATAAATTAAGAGTTATTTAATATATATTGCTTAAATTAAAAATATTTTGTAAAAAAATATAGTAATTTAAGCCACTCAGTTGTCTTGTAAGTCAAATAAAATCTGTAAGTTGTAGAAAATAAAAAAAACTATTTCTATACTGAAATATAAGCCATTTTCACTGAATTTGTAAACTTGGGTCTTCAATAATTTTTGAAAATCAATTTTTCAAGAATCGCAAATTTTTAAAATAATTGAATTCTCATATATAATAAATCTTTAAGAGTAATTAGAAAAATGAGAAAAAAATTTTTTTTTTATTTTTCTTCTCTTTTTCAAAAGAAAAACATGATTTTGTATAAAAATTGCAATTTATATATAAAATAGAAAGTCCTCAAATTGTTTTTTTTTTTATGAATTTCTATGAATAGAATTTATAATAATTTCGTTAAAAACCAACAAAACATAAATATATGTTTAGTTCTGGTCCTTCGTCCAGGTGGCGCTATATGTTATCAGTTACTCAGTTATTGTCATTCCGCGTTGTTCCGCATCCGCAATTACATGGGGACTCGACCGATCTTGAATCGTCCTTTGTATTCTATATTTAATTAATAAATTCACTTATAGAAAAATTATAAAAATTTGAAAGAAAACAGTATTTGTTATATATTCTAAGAAATTAAATACGATAATACATTCTTATTTGATACATTAAGAGAAATTTACATGTAAGTAATTTTTATGCTTCTGAGAGTCTAATATATTTGAAAATAACAAATTGTACTGCATAATAATCAGAAAATAATATTAATTCTGAAACATTAAAATTACAGAATTTTACACTTTAGTAAAATTTATTGCCATCACTACTCGTTTATGATTATTATAATTTTTTGCTTTTCTAACGAGACAAACATAACCTACAAATAACGTAAACAAACTATACTCATAAAAATAATTAATATAAATTCTCTCAAGTATTTTTAAAAATAGAATTTTTATTTTAGCCGGAATATTTTCATAATATTAATTTAGTTTACATATTTTTAATTTCCGTATTTTTTTTGAAAATGTAAAATACCCAGTTTTACATATAATAATTAGTTTTTAAACTTTTAATTTCTCGTACGCTATATTAAAATAATTTAATATTTTTTTTTTTTAGGAAAAAAATATGAGTACGAATAATAATAGTATCAAATTTATTCCTACGTTTGTAAAAATGAATGAGACGAAGAGCCACACTTCAAAATTAAATTTCCATCATTATGAACTTAATTGGACAATACAAGATTTTGAATTCATTTGCAAGCACATTAAAACAATTGAATCACCTAAATTCACATCATCGGAAAGCTCAACCAATTGCCAATGGTTTCTAAAGCTGGAACTTACAGAATTAAAGGAAAACAGTGCAGACCAATTTTTATTTCATTTAAGAAACACCAAAAATATTAAAGCACGTATTAATGTTAAAATTTCATTTTTCGACAATCAATCGGACAGTCGATTAGTTCTATCTTTTGGATCAATATCCGTGCTGACTTCTCAATCTTATTCCTTTAAAATAAGTGTATCTGAATTATGTAAAAAATTCGGCAACGCTATACCAAGAAATGTGATTGTCAGATGCGAACTTAGTGTTTTTGATTCACTAACAACTGTTGAGGAAGAACCGCCAGTTAAACGGAGAAAATTGAACGATTTAATGGAAAATATTACAAGTTTACTCGGTAATGAAAATTTCAAAGATGTTACGTTCAAAGTAGAGGATAAGGAATTCACAGCCAACAAAACGATACTCGCCATTCGAAGTCCCGTCTTCGCTGCGATGTTCAACAGCAAAATGAGTGAAGAGCTAACGTCGATTGTTCAAATAAAGGACATAAAGCCGGAAATTTTTCAACAGATGCTGAATTTTGTCTACAATGTCGAAGTTGAAGACTTGGACAAAGTGGCACTGGAATTATTTTACGCGGCCGAAAAATACCAATTGGAAGAATTGAAGACTAATTGCATCAATTCTTTGTGCAAAAATCTGTCTGAAAAAACAGTTTTTGACACTTTGGAAATGGCCGATTTGTATTCACTCTCGGATTTAAAGTCCGAATGTCTAAAACTATTGTTCACAAAATGGGATGTAATTAGTGAGACAAAAGAGTTCAAAAATCTAATACAAAATCGACCGTATTTAACAGTTGAAATTGTGAACATGCGTAAAAAATTAGATAAACAAGAAAATGCAGAAAGTAACAAGTCTCTAAATTTGCCATTTGTTTTTCGTTGTTAAAATTTGTTTCTAATTTCTTAATATAATTATTCATCGTTGTTTTGAGTGTTATAAACACTATAATAAATAAATATTGTCAGGAATAAAAATCCAATAAATATTAAAACAAGAATTACTAACAACTCTTATTAAGTCTTCGTAGAATCAGAAATGTGATATTTCTTATTTAGTATTAATAGGACTAACGCATATTGATGTATTGTATTGTAAGTCAAATATAATTTTGTAAATTGTGTGAAATAAAAATCTATTTCTATTAAAATATGAGCTATTTTCATTGAACTTGTAAACTTGGGTCTTGGATAATTTTTTAAACGAAGAAAAAAATTTTCTTTCTTTCTTTTTTGCTATCTATATCATCTCTAGAATATTGGTTTAAAATTTTATGAGAAAATTTAGCATTACCCAAAAATATACAAACCTTTAAATCATGATTTTTCTGCAAAAAACAAATGTCAGAAAATTAACAAATATACCATTCGAAAGCTTATAATATTCAACGTTAAATGATATGCAATTAAAAATTTTAAAAACAAAATATTAATTTTAAAAAAGTAACAAAAAGTAGCTTTCAAACTAAAAAAATGTAGTTATGTAAAAAATCGCTCGATAAATGAACTATTTCAGACAATAATTTCTTTTTAAATAACTTAATTTTACAAGAACTATCATAAAATTTTGACTTAAATTATTTAGTAAATCATTTTTACAATTTTCGTAAATACTAGATTGATAAAAGAATTTTAGTTAAAAATACTAAAAAAAATTGAATTTCGGAAAAGTTACAAATAATTCTAGAAATTCAATTATTTTCAAAAGTAATAAAATTTTTCGCAAAAATTCAATTATATTCAAAAATTTAAAAAAATTCTTGTTAAAATTTCAATTATATCATTAAAAATAATAAAATTCTTCTCCAAAATTCAATTATGTTCCAAAATTAAAAAAAAAAAAAATTCTCGTAAAAATTTCAATTATCTTTATAAATAATACAATTCTTCTTCGAAATTCAATTACTTTTTAAAAACTTGAATAAAAATTCTTGGCAAAATTTCACAGGAATTCAATAATTTACAAAATTTTTCATAAATTTCTTCGAAATATAAATCAATTATTTTCATAAATAATAAAATTTTCACAGGAATTAAATTATTTAATATAAAAAATTTCAAAACATTTTTCAAAAAATATCAATTATTTAAAAAGAATTTTATAAAATTCGTCGCAAGAATTCAATAAATTATTTAAAGAAAATGTAACAAAGTTCTTTTCAAGAATTCTTAAACACTGCACAAAAATAATTCATTTCTTTTGAATAATTTTAGGTAAATTCAAATTTAAATAATTGAATTTTTTACAAATAATTTCTATTATTCATGAAATTAAAATTGAATTCTTACGGAGATTTTTTAAAAAAAAAAAATTTTTAAATAATTTAAATCTGTTTGGAAATTTTATGAAAATAGTATATATAGATAATTGAAAATCATTGAATTGCGAAAAGTTTTTAAAAATAATTAAATTTTACAAAGAATGTAATTAAAATTTTTAACAATAAAAATTGAATTCTTGTAAACGATTTTATTAGAATTTTTTTAATATAATTGCATTTTCAAGAAGAAATTTATTACTTTTAAAAATAATTGAATTCTTCCGATGAAATTTTTTATTTATGAAAATAGTTGAATATTGCAAAAAATTTTATAAAAATTCCTCAAAATAATTGAATTTTCGAGAATTCTAAAGAAGTTTAGAAAAATATATTTTTTTTTTAATAATTAATTTTTTCAAGAAATTGACATTAAAATTTTAAGAAAAATTACATTTTTTGAGTAATTCCCGTAAAATTGTATTAAAAATAATTGAATTCTTTATAAGAATTGTATAAACATTGCTTTAAATAATTAATTTTTTTTGAAATATAATAAATATTATGAAAATTTTATTTTAAATAATTGAATTCTTGTGAAAAAGTTTATTTGTGAATATATAATTGAATTTTTCGAGTAATTAATTTAAAGTAGTATTAAAAATAATTGAAATTCTTCGATGAGTTTTATTATTTATGAAAATAATTGAATTCTTGCTTAGAATTTTATTAAAAAGTTTTTTAAAAAATTGAATTTCTATGAAAAATATTATTATTAGTGAAAGTAATAAATTGAATTATTGTGAATAATAATAATTGTATAAAAATGTTGTTATATAATTAATTTTTTTTGTTGTTAATATGCTATTCTGAATTAATTTTAAAAATAATTAAATGAACATATGTTTATGTTTAGAAAATTCTAAAAATAATTAAGTTTATTAACGAAATTCAAAAAATTTCGCGCTTCGATAACTCGTTAATCGATATATCGAAAGCTAACGAGCGGCGGCGGCGACTCGGCGAGTCGCTTGTTCGTCGCTCGTCGGTTCGTAACTGTCATCTCAGAATTCTCAGACTGGAGCGATCTTGTTCTTTGTATTCTATTTAATTAATTATTATTCACTTATAGAAAAATTACAAAACCTTGAAAGAAAACAGTATTTATTATATATTCTAAGGAATATAATACGATAGTACATTCTTATTTGAAACATTAAGAGAAATTTACATGTAAGTAATTTTTATGCTTCTATGCGTCAATTCAGGTATATTTATTTGAAAATAATAAATTGTACAGCATAATAATCAAACAAAATTAATTCTGAAACATTAAAATTACTGAATTTTACACTTTAGTAAAATCTGTTTCCCTTAACTCGTTCATTATGATTATTATAATTTTTTGCTTTTCTGACAAGATCAACATAACCTATATATGGGGCATTCCAGGCTAAATCGAAAATCATTTTGCTTTTGAATCTCAAATTTTTTTTTAAACATTTTTTTTCTTTTAGAACTCTTTGAAATGACCTACCTTGATTTTTTTCAAATTTTTTCATAAAGCGGTTCAGGAGATACAGATTTTTGAAAAATGATGTAATTTTTTTTTTTAAATTCTTATAACTCGGTCAAAAATTTGATCAAATTGGACGTTTTTATAATAAAAAGTTTTGTTTTATTTAAAATATTTCAAATAAAAAAAAATTGTTAATTTAGTGCTAGTTTCTTAATACAAAAAATTTTGAAAAAAATTGATGGATTGATTTTGCAAAAGCAAAATGATTTCCGATTTGGATTGAAATACCCCATTATTATAATATACGTGTTTCGCTTATTTCTATAACGTAAACAGACAATTCATAAAAATAATTCTCTTAAGTAATTTAAAAACTAAATTTTTACTTCTGCGAAATATTTTGATAATATTAATTTAGTTAATATTTAGTTAATATTTTTAGTTACCGCATTTTTTTTTAATGTAAAATATCTAGTGTTTAACATATGACATTTAGTTATGTTAAACTCTTAATTTCTCGTACACTATATTAAAATAATTTAATATTTTTTTTTAGGAAAAAAATATGAGTACGAATAATAATATGAAATTTATTCCCACGTTTGTTAAAACAAGTGGGACGAAGAGCTACACTTCGAAATTCAAGTTTCAACATTATGAACTCAATTGGACAATAGAAGATTTTGAGTTGATTTGCAGAAGCGTCAAAAAAATTGAATCACCTAAATTCACATCAGAAAGTTTAACCAATTGCCAATGGTTTCTAGAGTTGGAACCTACATGTTTGACGGAAGACAATGAAAATAAATTTTTAATTCGTTTAAAAAACACCGAAAATAATAAAGCACGTGTTAATGCTAGAATTTCATTTTTCGACAATCAATCGGAAATTCGATTCATTCACTCTTTTGTAACAATGAGCGTGGTGAATTCTGAAATTCTTTTCTGGAAAATGAGTGGATCTGAATTATGTAAAAAGTTCGGCAAAGCTGTACCCAAAGATGTTCTTCTCAAATGCAAACTTAGTGTTTTTGATTCACTAACAACTGTTGAGGAAGAACCGCCAGTAAAGCGCAGAAAATTTAATGATTTAATGGAAAATATGACAAGTTTACTCAGCAATGAAAATTTCAAAGATGTTAGGTTCAAACTAGAGGATAAGGAATTCACAGCCCATAAGACGATACTCGCCATTCAAAGTCCCGTCTTCGCTGCGATGTTCAACAACAAAATGAGTGAAGAACTAACGTCGACTGTTGAAATAAAGGACATAAAGCCGGAAATATTTCAACAAATGCTGAATTTTGTCTACAATGTCGAAGTTGAAGACTTGGACAAAGTGGCACTGGAATTATTTTACGTGGCTGAAAAATACGAACTGAAGGATTTGAAGACTAATTGCATCGACAATTTACAAAAAAATCTATCTGCAAAAACAGTTATTAAAACTCTTGACATGGCCGATTTGTATTCACTCTCAGATTTAAAGTCCGAATGCCTAAAACTATTGTCAACGAAATGGGATGTAATTAGTAAGAGAAAAGAGTGGAAAAATCTTGTAAAAAATCGATCTTATTTAACAGTTGAAGTTGAAAACATGCGTCAAAAATTAAATAAAAAGGAAAATGTCGAAACGGAAAGTAACAAGTCTTTAAGTTTGTCTTTTGTTTTCCGTGATTAAAGTTTATTTTTTTAATTATTTAATAATTATTCGTCGCCGTTATTTAGTGTTATAAACACAAAAATATATAAATATTTTATTGAAATAAAAATCCAATAAATATTAGAACAAAAATTACTGTCAACTCTTAAGTCTTCGTGAAATCAAAAATGTGATATTTCTTTACGTATTAATGGTATTAATAATAATTGTTAAGTCTTGAAAATCGTAAAACGTAAATCGTAAATCGTACGATTTACATGAGAGTAAATGAAAGAAACATTTCTTTTCTATCTCACCAAGTAAAATTTACAATTTACATCTTGATTTTCATTGTACTTCGGCCCATTACTTTATAAATCGTTTTGTTTACTCTTTTTTAAATTAAGAGTTATTTAATACATATTGCTTAAATTAAAGAAATGTTTTCAAAAAAAGATTGTGATTTAAGTTAAAAGTTACTTAGTTGTCTTTTGTAAGTCAAATAAAATCTGTGAATTGTATAAGAAATAAAAAACTATTTCTATTGAAATATGAGTCATTTTCACTGAACTTGTAAACATGGGTCTTGAATAATTTTTTAAACTAATGTCTAGAAACTATATTTCAAAATATATTATTAAAAATTAATTAGTTAGAGAAAAATCTAAAATCGATATAAAAGTTGATTCAATTTTATTTTTAAAAATTCTAAATCACTTATAGGTATTTAAACTAATTTTTTTAAAAACGAAAAGAATTTGATTTTATATTTTATATGATAATATATATAAATAATATAAAAAAAAATATAAATTTTCAACAAATAGTTTTCAAACTGAATATAAAAGTAGTAAAAATGTAGCTATCGAAAAATTAAACTTCACGACAAAAAAAACTCGTTTTAGGCACTTTACAAAACTGATAAAAAATTCTATTTCATATTTTTTATTTTTCGGACTTTTTCCTGATTTTTATCGAAAATAATTTAATTCTTTCTTATTCTACGCTAATAAATTGAATTTTTGCAACGAATTTTATTATTCATGAAAGAATTTAAATATTTATAAAAATAATTTAATTCTTGCGAAGAATCTTATAAAAAATTTTTAAATAATTCATTTTTATTAATTTTTTTTTTAATAATTCATTTTTTCAATAATTCATTCTTTCGACTAATTTTCAGCAAATTCTATAATTTAAATAATTGAATTCCTAAGAAATTTTTATTATTCATGAAAAAAAATTGAATTCTTAACGGAGATTTTTATAAAAAAATTTTTAAATAATTGAAATCTGTTTGGAAATTTTATGAAAATTGTAAATATTAAAATTCATTGAATTGCGAAAAGTTTTTAAAAATAATTAAATTTTACAAAGAATTTAATTAAGATTTTTAACAATAATTGAATTCTTGCGAACAATTTTATTAGAATTTTTTAAAAATAATTGCATTTTCAAGAAGAAATTAATTATTACATACTTATTTTGAAAAATAATTGAATTTGTGCGATGAATTTTGTTATTTATTGAAAATAGTTGAATTTTGTAAAGAATTTTATAAAAATGCCTGAAAATAATTGAATTTTCGAAAATTCTAAAGAATTAAAAAAAACATTTTTTTAAAATTAATTAATTTTTTCGAGGAATTGACATTAAATTTTTAAGAATAATTACATTTTTTTGAGCAATTTCTCTAAAATTGTATTAAAAATAATTGAAATCCTGCGATGAATTTTATTATTTATCAAAATAATTGAATTAGTGGCTAAGAATTTTATTAAAATTTTCACAAATAATTGAATTCGTCAGAAAAATTTTATTTTTGTATGAAAATAATTTTATACAATAAAAATATTTATTTATTTCTTACAATAATTACAATGATAATTACTCTTGTTCTATAAATCTAAAATTTTATATCCTATACAATGTAGTTTTATTCTGTTGTGTTTATAACACAGAAAAGACGAAAATGAATAATTATTTTAAGTAATAGTATTTGTGGAAAAAAACATTATTCGACGAAAACAAAAGGCAAACTTAGAGACTTGTTATTTTCTGCATTTTCTTCTTTATCCATTTTTTTACGCATGTTTACAATTTCAATAACATAGTTTGGTCGATTTTGTATGAATTTTTTAAATTCCATTGTCTCACTAATTATAATCCATTCAGCTATCAATAGTTTTAGACATTCAGACTTTAATTCCAAGAGTGAATATAAATCGGCCATTTCAAGAGTATCAAAAACTGTTTTTGCAGATAGACATTTGTGTAAAGAATTAATGCAATTGGTCTTCAATTCCTCCAGTTGGTATTTTTCAGCCACGCAAAATAATTCCAGTGCCACTTCGTCAAGATCTTTAACTTCGACATTGTAGATAAAATTCAGCATTTGTTGAAAAATTTCCGGCTTTACGTCCTTTATTTCAACAATCGACGTTAGTTCTTCACTCATTTTGCTGTTGAACATCGCAGCGAAGACGGGACTTTGAATGGTGAGTATCGCTTTATGGGCTGTGAATTCCTTATCTCCTACTTTGAACCTAACATCTTTGAAATTTTCATCACTGAGTAAACTTGTCATATTTTCCATTAGATCGTTATTACACTTTCTTCGTTTAAATGGAGGTTCTTCCTCAACCGTTGACAGTGAATCAATAACACTGAGATTGCACTTAACCAGAACAACTTTTGATAAATTTTTGCCGAATATTTTAGAAAGTTCAGATCCACTCATTGACCAGGAAGTGTCTTTATCTATTGATATAGAGTGGATTAAAGATGCCTTAACTTCAGATTGAGAGTAGAATGAAATTATAGCATTAAGAAATTTTCCCTTATTTGTATTTTTTAAAAAAATGAAAAATTCTTCTGTATTGCTTTCAATCAATTTTGTGGGTTTAAATTCAAGAAACCACTGGCATTTGGATAAATCCTTTGATGGAAATTTCGGTGATTCTATTATTTTAACGCTGCTACAAATCAGTGGAAAATTTTCTATCGTCCAGTTAAGTTCATAATGATTAAATTTTATTTTTGACGTGTAATTGCTCATCTTGTTTCCTTTATCAAACGTGGTAAGTCGTGGTAAGTTATTTTCATTCACTTTTTTTTTTGTCTAAAAAAGAGAAAATACAATACAGCAATATTTTAAATTATTTTCAAAAAATATTTTACTAATTAAAATTTATTATTCTAAAATACTAGAGAATTGATCATTATTTTTAATAAATATATAGTAATTATTAATTTTTTTGGTATTGATATGTAATAGTAATTTAAATTGCGTATTTATAGGTTATGTTAAGCTTTTTATAAAATTGACACCAGTAAAAGAACAAATTGATTATTTATCACGATATTTTACAAATTATAACTTTTAGCACTATAAAAAAAATATTTTTTAGTTCCTTATTTCTTTAAAATATATAGTTTATGATAAAAATATAGATTCAATATGCAAGTTATTTCTGATAATTATTTTTTTAATTTTTTGGTGGGTTATGAATATGGCAAATGAATGAAGCATAAACGGAAAAAGGTTACAAAAGTTTCAGGTGCAATTAAATAATATTTCTGGGTGCATAATCAGGAAAATATGAATAATAGTAAGTTGCGAAATTGTTTCAGAATATTTGTAACGTTTTTCATATAATTTTTGTTATTTTTAGACACTGCGTATTAATATAAATTTGATATGTTCTTTCACTGAAAAATACAACTGTTCTTCTATACTGGTCAACATTCTTTCCCTGGTAAAATGGTCATTTTTCAATATTTGATTAAAATTTGATATTTTATGTCATATTTACAAAATTTGTATCATAGGCTTCAAATTCTTTAAAAATTTTGCTATTCGTTGCATATGTTTACAACGAAATTCAAGAATGTCAATTAAAAATAAAAAATATCGAAAGTATACCTTTCACTGGTGCCACTACCCTGTTTGATTTTTTTTTAAGTTTTGATTTGATAATACACAGTTTTTTAACAAGTTTAATTATCAAGTTACAAAAAACAATTATATTTTTAAGTCAAAAAACTTACATTTAAATAATATAAACTTCCTGGAACAAGCACCTGCCTAGAAATATTTATTTTTTATGCCTAGTAAACACTAGTAAAATTCCCTATGCTAATAAGTTATAGTGACTTTTGAATTTCTTTAAATTCCCTAAGTTACCATACTTTTATGTCAACTGCCCAACCCAACCCTGCTGAGTAAAATTTTCGGTGTCAGAAGTTTCTCTAAACGCATAAAAGACGCATTTGTTACATCTCATTTGACACAGAGAAGTTTACATTTAAATGTAAGTAAATTTTACAGTTTTAAAAAATTTGTTGTTCTAACTTACTATAATTAAACCTTGAAATAAAATTGTGTATCATCAAATCAAAACTTGTAGTGGGAAAATAAAATTATTACTAGGCAGCCATTTTTAAAGGTTTTTTCTTATTCGAATTTAAACTCTGATATAGTCGAAATCTTCCTTAATTATTAAACTCTTAAATTTCACACTAAAATGTACTTTTATTAAAGAAAGACTTTCAATTATTATTTTTATAACACTTTTATTTTCTTTTTTTTTTTTAGACAAAAATAATGGATGGAAATAATGTGAACATTATCTCGACGTTTGGTAAAGTAAACGAGACGAAGAATTACTTTTCAAACTTAAAATTTCATCATTATGAACTTAGGTGGACGATAGAAAATTTTGAACTGCTTTGCAAAAGCTTTACAACAATTGAATCACCGAAATTTCCATCAAAGGAAGAAACTAATTACCAGTGGTTTCTACAGTTGCAACCTACAGAACTAAAGCAAGAAAATGAAGATGAGTTTCACATTTATTTAAAAAATACCAATGATAGTGAAGCACGTTATACTGTTACAATTTTATTTTCCAACTATATAACACAACGAGGATTTAAAAGATCGCGTATAAGTAATTCTAATAGTATTCACTGGTCAATAACTGGATCTGAATTACGTAAAAGGTTCGGCAATGTTGCACTGAAAAATGTGCTTGTCATATGCAAACTTAAAGTTTTTGATTCACTCACAACGGTTGAGAAAGAACCGCTGATTAAACGCAGAAAGTGTAATAACGATCTAATGGAAAATATGACAAGTTTACTCGGTAATGAAAATTTCAAAGATGTTAGGTTCAAAGTAGAGGATAAGGAATTCACAGCCCACAAAGCGATACTTGTCATTCAAAGTCCAGTTTTCGCTGCTATGTTCAACAGTAAAATGAGTGAAGAACTAACGTCGATTGTTGAAATAAAGGACATAAAGCCGAAAACATTTCAACAAATGCTGAATTTTATCTACAATGTGGAAATAAAAGACTTGAACGAACTGGCACTAGAATTATTTCACGTGGCTTGGAGATACAAACTGGAGGAATTGATGGCTAATTGTATTTCTAAATTACTCGAAAATTTATCTTTAGAAACAGTTATCAAAACACTTGAAATGGCCGACTTCTATTCACTCTCGGATTTAAAGTCTAAATGCTTAAATTTCTTATTAAAAGAATGGGATGTAATTAAGGAGACAGAAGAATTGAAAAAACTAATAGAAGATGAACCATCCTTAGTAACTGAAGTTGTAAACATACCTAAAATGTTGATAAATAAGAAAATTTAGAAAGTACAATTCTTTACGTTTGCTCTGTTTTTTGTGATTAAACATTTTTTTTTTTTTACAAATATTACCAAATAATTATTCATCGCTGGTTTTAGTGGTGTGTAAACACAAAAATATATCTAAATATATACAAACTATAAATATCTAGTTTTAGAACTAGAATAGTTATTAAATCTTAAGTCCTTATAGGATCAGAAATATGAGATATTTCTTTTTGTATTAAACATTTTGTCCGCTTCTTTTTATTAATATAATTGTATTGCTTAAACTCGAAAAAATGTAAAAAAAAAGTGTTAGTGATTTAAGCTAGGTACTTAGTTGTTTTGTAAGTCAAATAAAATTTATAAATTGTAAGAAATAAAAAACTTTTTTATTGAAATATGAGCCATTTTCACTGAACTTGCAATCTTGAGTTTTAAAACACTTTTCCGAAAAATTAATTTTTTATTTTCATTTTGGAACATGTTTTTACAAATCGGTTAGATTCGGTATTGCGTTCAAATAACCGGTATTTCCCGAAAAAAAGATTTTTAAAAAAAAACCTGTTTAAATAATTTAAAAAAAAAACCTTAAACCGGGAATTCATAACCGGAAACCGGTTTCCAGAAATACAAAAAAAACCGTTTTACCGCACAGGCCTATACTATAATTCAACAAAAATAGTTTTATTTTCAACTAAGTATTCGCAAAAATGACAATTCGTAAAAATGTCGATTCGTAAAAATGGCGATTCGCAAAAGTGACAATTCGCAAAAATGATATTTCTCAAAAATGACAATTCGTAAAAATCGCGATTCGCAAAAATGACTTTTCGGAAAATTGACAATTCGTAAAAATGGCCATTCGCAAAAATGACAATTCGCAAAAATAGCTTTTTGCAAAAATGACAATTCGCAAAAGTGACATTTCGCAAAATTGGCTTTTCGCAAAAATGAATTTCGTTCAATTTGCAATTCGTTTCAAAAGAAATTAGTGTAGGTTGCTAATTGTCTATTGGGAACTCAGAGCTGCGTAGGCCCTCTGGTGTCGACCCACTTGCGGTAGTTGTCTTTTCATTTCGTCTCTCTCTAACATATGTAAAAAAAAGAGATAAAAAACCAAGATGTCGGACGCAAGTGGGTACAGGGGTGGGTCAGTTTCACATGATTTCGGATCCCAATTGTGAATTAAACTTTAATAGTTTGTTATGCTCTTTTCATTTTTGTCAACTGCCCAACCTTGCAGATTAAAATGATTAAAATTTTCACATTTCATCATTCACATTTGGCAAATTATTTCTAACAATCAGTTGTGTATTATAGTCCTGCTTCATCTTCAGTAATATATTTATTTGCTCGGTTAAAGAAAAATGACAAAAACTGAATAGACTATTTGACATATTCTCAGAAATTTAGTTCTCATATTTGACACTCACGTTACCACATCACGTTACGAGAAGTTTTTGTCGCATGTAAGTAAATTTTATGTTTATAACAGTGAATTTTACAGTAGTTTAAAATAATTTGTTGACCTAACTTATGTTGCGATTAACTATGAAATAAAATTGTTTATCATAATATAAAAATTTGTAATAAAAAAAATTATATATGCGATTTCGCCTCTCTGCTTGTAAATTCACAGATTTTGTAAAACCAACATAACCTATAAATATTTATTTAAATCATTTAAATTATACCGTTGCAAAGGAATATAAAAAATTTATTTATTTAAGATTATTGATAATTAAGTTTTGTTTTAAATTTTCGAAAGGAAATGAAATGAAATAATAATTAAAATCAAGGGGTTTGGATTAAAAATGGGGTAAAATTCCTCAACTATCCAGGTCAAAAAATGAATTTTCTCGAAACTTTGCCAAAATGTTACTATTATTTGTAGAAGTGTAAATATAAATTATTATTGAATTTGATAAAATATTTTTTGAGTTTCGGAGTTTCAAAATTTTGACTTTTTTGAAAATATCTTTTTTTCGATTTCATAAACATTATTGATAAGTAAAATTAATCAAATTAAAAATGTGAAGATATTTTTTGAAAATTGCAATTGGTTTTTACATATTTAATTGTTGAACTCTTAAATTTGTACACTGAAATAAATTTTTAATAATAATTTTTAAACTTTTAATAATAAATCTTCAATGAAAAGAAGTGGAAAAAATTATTTAACTTATTTTTATAACACGTTCATAAAAAGTTTCGTACTTTTTTTTTTTTGTTTTCTTAGACAAAAATTATGGATGAGGATAGAGTGAATTTCTTCTCAAGGTCTGAGAAAGCGAATGAGACGAAAAATTACACTTCAAAAATGAAGTTTCATCATTATCAACTTAACTGGATGATTGAAGATTTTGAACTGATGTGTAAGAGCGTTAAAATAATTGAGTCGCCGAGATTTCCATCAAAGGATTTATTTAAATGCCAGTGGTTTCTAGAATTTAAACCTACAAAATTATCGGATAGAAATATAAATGAATTTCAATTTTTTTTAAAAAGTACAAATAATAAGGAAAAATATGTCAATGCTGAAATTACATTTCATAATTCTCAATCTGTAGTTTACTCATTAGTATCCTACGTTTTACCAATGGATTATGAAAATCCCTGGTCAATAAGTGGATCTGAATTTCGTGAAAAGTTCGGCAAAGCTGTACCGAAAAATGTGCTTGTCAAATGCAAACTTAGTGTTTTTGATTCACTGACAACGATTGAGGAAGAACCACCAGTTAAACGAAGAAAGTGCAACGATATAATAGAGAATTTTTCAAGTTTACTCAGTAATGAAAATTTCAAAGATGTTACGTTCAAAGTAGAGGAAAAGGAATTCACAGCCCACAAAGCGATACTCGCTACTCAAAGCTCCGTCTTCGCTGCGATGTTCAACAGCAAAATGAGTGAAGAGCTAACGTCGATTGTTGAAATAAAGGACATAAAGCCGAAAACATTTCAACAAATGCTGAATTTTATTTACAATATTCAAGTTGAAGACTTGGACGAACTGGCATTAGAATTATTTCACGTGGCCGAAAAATACCATTTGGAAGATTTAAAGATCAATTGCGTCAATAATTTAAAGAAAAATCTATCTTTAAAAACAGTTATTAAAACTCTTGAAATGGCCGATTTATATTCACTCTTTGATTTAAAGTCCGAATGTCTAAAACTATTGCTAAAGGAATGGGAAGCAGTTCATAAGTCTGAAGAATTGGATAAACTAATAGAAGATCGACCCTATTTAGTGATTGAAGTTGTAAACATGCGTAAAAATTTAGATAAAAAAGAAGATGTAAGTAACAATTCAACAAGTGTGTCCTGCATTCTTCGTAATTAAAATTTTGTTTCTTCGAATATAAGTTACTTAATAATTCATTACTTTTTCAGTCTTATAAACACAACAAAATGTAATTAATGTACAAGATAAAAATTTAGTTTTAGGACATGCATAATTTTTAGCGCTACGTCAGAATTGTGATGTTCCTTTATGAATCATTTTTCATATTCTTAAATACATTATTTAATGTCGATTTGAATTAAAAACTTGTAAAAAAAAGTGCACAGTATTAAAATTGAATTAGCCGTATTGTAAGTTACATACAATTTATAAAATTATAAGAAATGAAAAACGGTTCCTTTTTTACCGAATATGTAAAATTTGACTCACCGTTAAGCTTTGATGGAAGAGATAAGATTTAAATAACTATTATACTGCTTTATATCTTATTCCAAATTTTTTTCGTACTTGTTCTGTACTTCGATTTTTAAGAACAGTTAAAACTGTTAATGTTAACACATTACTTTATATATATATTTAAATATATTTTTTATAATATATAATATATGTATACAGTTTCATTAAACTAAAAATAACTGGAACTATAATTTCGATCTGCTTATTTCCTTCCACCAGTAAGGACGACTTAAATTCTCCGCATTCAGTAAATTTCTCTCCAAGTGCTTGTATACCTAAAGGTGAGTGAAATTAATAAAATGAACATTCAAGAACGCAAACCAAAAAAAAATCTAAAAGTAGAATATGTGTGAAACAATTAAAATTAAAAATAACAATTAAAAATCTAAAAGTAGAATATGTGTGAAACAATTAAAATATTAAAATTTTACCTCTCCGTCTGACATGCCAAGGGGTGAATTCAAAATAAAATCTGGAGGCGCTAAAACATCGACTAAAGATACAGCATCAATTAATAAATCCTTACTGGTAGTTACTATACCATCGCGAAGAAAATCGGCCATTCTTGATTGCGAAGAAGCAAATTCACCCGCATATAAGTCGGATAATCTTTTCTCTAAAGTCCAAGCTGCATACAGTGAGCATAATTTTGTCAAAATCTTTTTTTCCTCGCTTTCAAAATTCGGAGATTGTATTTTCTCGTAACATGTTTGTACGATAAAGTGCTGTTAAATTTGGCAAAAAATTGATTTAATTACATCTGAGAGTGTAGAAATCAAATTGTTATTTAATTTCACTACTAAAAAAAATTCTTCACCGAAATTCAATTATTTTTATAAACTTGATTAAAATTCTTCGCAGAAATTCAATTTTGTTCAACAATTTAAAAAAAAATTCTAGTCAAAATTTCAATTATCGTTAAAAATAATAGAATTCTTCTTCGAAATTCAATTATTCTTATAAATATAATAAACATTTTACAGAAATTCAACTATTTACAAATTTTTTATAAATTTTTTCACAATAATTCAATTATTTTCATAAATAATAAAACTCAACATTGAATTTCAATTATTTTTAACACAATTTTAACCGAAATCCTCGAAAAATGTCATTCTTCTTGAAAATTTTATTAAAATTCGTCGAAAAAATTCGATTATTTCAAAAATATGTTAATAACATTCTTTACTGAGAATTCAATTTTGAAAAAAATTATTTATTCAATAATTTTTTCATTTTTGTATTTAAATAATTGAATTCTCATAGAATTTTTCAATAAAAATTATTTTAAAAATATGAATTTCAGATAAAAAATTTTAAATAATTGATAATTGTTCATTTATTTCTTTCGAAGAATTTGAATAAAATTTTTTTAATTTATTACATTTTTCGAAGAATTTACTTAAAATTTCATTAAAAATAATTGAAATCCTAAGAAGAATTTTATTATTTAGAAAAATAATTGAAGTCTTGCAATCAACTTTTATTATATTTTTTAAAAATAATTGAAATCCTATGAAGAAATTTATTATTTAGGAAAACAATTGAATTCTTGCAATGAATTTTATTACATTTTTTTTAAATAATTGAAATCCTGAGAAGAATTTTTTTATTGATGAGAATAATTGAAATGCTGAGAAGAATTTTATTACATTTTTTTTTTTAAATAATTGAAATCCTGTGAAGAATTTTATCATTTATGAAAATAATTAAATTGTTGCAACGAATTTTATTCAATTTTCTTTAAATAATTGAAATCCTGAGAAGAATTTTATTACATTTTTTACAATAATTGAAATACTGCGAAGAATTTTATTATTTAGGAAAACAATTGAATTCTTGCAACGATATTTATTACATTTATTTTAAATAATTGAAATTCTGTGAAGAATTTCATTATTTATGAAAATAATTGAATTTTTTTGGGATATTTTATTAAATTAGTATAGCTTTCAAGAATATTTGAATTTCAGCAAAGAATTTCATTATTTGTGAAATATAATTGAATTCTGCAAGAAAATGTTTAAAAACAATTAAATTTTTCAAAGAATGCATTTAAAATTGTATTAAAAATAATTTCTAATTAAAAAATTCTAGAAAAAATTTTATTATATATGATAATATAATTGAATTATTAAAACGAATTTTATTCCATTTTTCCAAATAATTGAATTTCTGTGAAAAATTCTATTATACTTATAAAAATAATTGAATTCTTGTGAAGGATTTTATTGGAATATTTGTAAATAATTTAATTTTTTTTTTTTTTGAAAAGATTTATAGAAATTTAAATTATTATAAAACATGAACATAGGGGATCACTTTAAGTCAAAAAGATTCGGAGTGCTCGATATCTTCATGTTTTATAATAAAATATTCATCAAAGTTATGAGATTTCAAAAGGTTTAAATTTAAGAATCAGAATATTCTTTTTAGTCAGGGAAAAAGTCAGAATTTTTTCTGGAAATCAGGGAAAAAGAAAATTTATTTTTTGTGGCAACCCTGATAAAAAAAGTTTGTTTGTGTGTATAAAAGGTTTTCATAGCCGAGGCGCATATAGAGAAATGTTTTGCCAAAAAATTTACAATTGACTCGATCCAGCAAATCTTTGTCATCGAAGTAAAATTACTTATCTAGAAACTATCTAAAATTGAGAATTGAGGAGACTTACTTCTGCGTAAATGAGCGAAAGTGATCGAGCAAAGTACGTTTGAGAATTATTTCTAGCCTCGAATTTGCTACTTCCGTTATTTTCCAGCAGCTCAACTTTTTCGTAGGTATTTTTGAGGTAGTAGCAGAGTAGCCATTTGAAGGCCAACAGAAGATCTATAAGATTGTTACAATTCAGTTTCGTTTCATTATCAACAGACAAGTAGTGTTAATTATACTTACTCTCAATCTGCATAGTTTGGTCCATCGTGGTGCAATTAAATTTAAGGGTAAGAATCGAATTAGCATTTTCTAGAAAATTGATACTCCTTAATGGTGAGGAGAGTTTGCTTCCATTGAGAACGTTTCTCCACTGATTTAGCAGCCAATTACTTGTTTGCTGAATGAGAACGGTATTTTCACCTTCGTATGTGCAGTTGGCGTCATTGTCTGCTCTTAAGTCGCCTAAGCGGGAAACTGATGACAAGTAAGATTGGATTATTTATTATTACTTTAAGGGTTCGTATTCTCATTTTTAGAATTTTAGTACTTTTCTGGCTTTATCACTGGAGAATCCCCTAATGAACGCTAATCAGGGTAATAATTCTTATTTTTAGGTTTTTTTTTTACCTTTTAGGTAGCCATGTCCTCCGCAAGCCTCACGACACTCTTGGATTGCACTTTGAGTAAGCCAAGAGCAAAGTGGTTTCACTGCAGCAGAGATTGCGTGTATTTCCGTTCCAACAGAGTCCACTAATTGATTATCGTCAGTAGTGTACATAAGTGAATTAAATTCGTCCCAAAGTGCCAAACAGTGTTGCGAAAACAATGTAATTGCGTATGTTGTCGCCAAATGGGGGAACAGTTTACATTGCTGAAAATTATGGAGTTATAGACTTTGAGCTAAGACTAATTCTCACCTGTGGGTACTGGGACGTGGACAATCTTAGGATTTTAAGATGTAAATGTCCGTTATACAATAATTAAATCAAAGGAAATATTTCCAAATTTAAAATTCTCACCTGAACTTGATATTCAATGACTGGCCATTCTTCTTCAGGGGATGGTTCAAACTGTTTTCTAACGGCAGAGTACCGGATGGCAATAACAACAGCGAGGGTTAGATAATTCAAACTCATTGCAGTGATATTTAAACGACCGCCGGAAAGAACTCCTACAGATGCTCCTGAATTATGTTATCAAAATTTTAAAAGCGTTACTATGTTACTATGAATTTTCTATAGTTATAGCCCACATGCCATCAGGACTCACGTCTAGAGAAACTAGTGTGGTTAGTATTTAAAAAATATACCAAAAAGTTTTTTTTTATCCTTCATCTTCGATACGAATTGACCATCCTTGGTGACGTCGATATTTTTATTTAAAAGACTAGCTCGAGGAACGGGAAAATGGTTAAAAATCAAAAATCCATTGTCAATTCCATTGAGACCTATTTTTGCACCCATGTCACCGACTGTCACCCCTGGCATTGGTAGAAATGTTTTTTCATCTCGTATTTGAATGAGAAATGGATAGAGTCCATGATTTTTGTTATCTGCGGTGATTAATTGAGCGTAGATCAGTGCATGTGTTGCTGCCTTCCCTAAAATGTAAAAACAAAAAAAAATTATAAAAAATATAACTGTAAATGTGCCTTAGCCAACTACTCACAGGAACAGTACTTAAAGTCATAGTTTAGTTCGGAATTTTCTTTACCCAATGAGGCCGACCAACATTTTGCCGATTGAAAACCAGGTGAATGAAAAATAAAACTTTCAAGTTGTGGATTATATTTTGCTGTTGTTTCAATTCCTTTGGCATTCGTTCCATGTCCAATTTCAGTTAAAGAAAAGCAACATGTGTACTGAAAAAAGTAAAAATTAAAATAATTGAGAATAAAACCATTCTGATAAAAATAAATAAAAAAAATTTGTAAACTTTTTGTTTTATTTGTAAACATTTTTAGTTATAAAATGGTAGAGAATAAAATTTACGGGAAACATAGTCAAGGTTATGGACCATCATGAATTTTTAGCACATTTTTAGATAAGAATAACGCTAGCGCCGCCTATGCGGTGGCGTCAGGAAGCTTCTCTTGATGACATCCAATATTTTAAGCTCTTAAATTATAATTTTCTATATTTAACCCCCCCCCCCGTCCCTCAAAAAAGTCTTTTACACACCTTTCCTTCCAATAAATTGTTTAAAATTTCCGCGTGACGTTCCGTGCCCAAATTCATAATTGTATTTTGTATCATTCCTTGATTCAAGCCAATCAAAATTCCCAATGCAGAATCATATGAAAATAAATAGTTGAACCATCCTTTCGGTTCAACATTCTAAAATTGAATTATTTTATTATTTCTCTTCAAAAATTTTAATTCTCTAAATTAAATTAATTGCAATATTATCAATTGTTAAATATTGTCTGTTTCAAAAAACAGTTAAAATAAAAAAAAAATCCGTTCTCGAAATTAAATAATCGCAATTATGTAATTTTGAGAAAACATTTAAAATAAAAAATAAATGATTTAATTACCGCAACGTTGTCTCTGACTAATAAATTAAATTGTTCATAACATCTTTGACGAGTCTCGTCCAAAGTTAAAGCCTTTTCCATTTTATGAAATGCAGGAGTCTTTTTAATATAGTTGTATAAATTATCCTTTTTAGAAAATTTTTATATAAGTTAATTATTCTTATTTTATATATATATATATATATATATATATATATATATATATATATATATATATATATATATATATATAAAGTGAAGGCAAAAAAAAAATTATTACAATATTGTATTGCACAATTTTTTACATCATGTTTTTTGTACAGTATTACATTTTAATATTGTTGAATAAATATTGCGAAAGAAATTTACACTCGTTTGAATACGATTATAAATTAAAATTAACTTTTTTGATAGACTTGAACTGTTTTAAGTTTGAATTTAAAATTTTATTTACTATACTTAATTCTAAACATAAAATATAAATAATATAAACTTAAAATGTTTATAATGACACATGTTTACCTGAAATTTTAGTAAATCCTCACCAAATAAGTTAAATTTCAATGATTTCCAATTAAACGAAGCTTGCTTTCGATAGACATCAAGTGGTCCTTTCGGTAAGTCTTGTATTAAATTCATTATGAACTAAAATCTAAATGAAACATTTTTTTAAAAATTGAGAACAAAGATTATTTTTTTGGTTACTTCTTTTAAGATTTAAAAATAATGATTAAACTTAATTATTTAACTCAAGGCACTCAAGGTAAATAAATTTTTGTATTTTATACTGGAATTTGTTAAGTAATTATCAATATTATAATAGAATAGTTTATTAAATATTATATATTTTATAATTATTGAATTATTTATACCTACATATTTATATAAAGATTATAAAGTTAAATTTTATTGTTATAATTATTTTAATGTTAATTATAATTGTTTTATTTCATCGTATTAAATAATTTTAAATGAAAATTTTTTTAAGCTAAACAGAAAATGTTAAGTAATTATTTAAATAATAATATTATTTTAACTGTAAAAATTTTTAATCGTAAAAATTACTTTACTATACCTACATATACTTTTAGCTGTAACCCATGTAGTTGTAATTTTTTTTAGCTGCGGTTTATTTTTTAAAATTAGGATAAAAGTTTTAACAATTTTGTTATAAACGAATCGACTTCAGTATTTTTTTTTAACAATTTTATTTTTTTTTAAATTTAACTTTTTCTGAAAAATGCACTCGAGACCGAGCAGAGACACGACTGAAGTAATTAACTGACTCTAAAGCAAAGCTTACATTAAATTTATACTTTTAATGATTTAACATATGAGGGCATGAGGTAAAACACTAGCAGTCTGATTTCATTTGCATGTATAAATGTTTTTTTGTTAGTATAATAAATAAAAAGTATTGTTTATTTATTTCTATCTACGTTGATCTTCAATTAATTTAAATATTTAAGAAAGCATATGTAAAATAAAAACTCTAAATTGTTGATAATAATAATATTAATTGTAATATCGATATTTGTTTTTCTTTCTAATTGGGGTCCTTTCATTGTCTCTGAAATTGCTCCCTTCAATTGTTTAAGAAATATAAATTTTATTAAAGGCAAAAATCTTTCTTTCTTTTACTAATAACGTCATATTTCAATCTTTCTTTTTTAAAATTCTAAAATTGTGAAAAATGCCATTTTTTTGCAAACTTCAAAGTCAAAGAATATATATAGTTAAAAAGAATAAACAAATTTAGATTCAACTTTTTTTTATTAGAATAAACTATATTAATTCATAATTATATTTTCTCGAAGTATCTACATGTATAACTTAACTTTTGCGTGGAGCTTTCAAAAATATCCGATTGTGAGTCTGTTTGCATAATTTTGGCAAAAGTAAGTATTAAAACTCATGCTGTAAGAAAAGTTCTTGTATTAATAAATCTGATTTTAAATTTATCATATTTTCATCGCATATACTTATATATATTTTTTTTCAAATATAATTCATACTTACACACTTTGTGGAGGCAGGCCGTATAATAAAAACGTTTTCTACAATTTCTTTTATTTTTTCTTTGAACTGTAGATCATGAACGTATTGATATGAACATAGTCAAATAAGAGACGGCTGTCCTCAACAACTTTAAAAAAACGGGAAACATTTAATAATTTTTGAATCAATTTTCATTTATTCACTTCTAGAACTTATTTCACCCTATCATGCCTCCGGGACCTATATGTCCCACTTAAAAAAATTAAAAAATTCAAAATTCACTATTTTTAAATTTTGAAAATCTGACTTCAGATTCGTAGTCAGTGACCCCGAAAACTACCGAAAAAAAAGTTTTATGCAAATTTGAGCAATTTTGAAAAAAAAGTCCGCCATATTGGATCCGCCATTTTGAATTTTCAAAATTTTGAAAATCTGACTTCAGATTCGTAATCAGCGATAACTAGAATATAAACTTACAGCAGAGAAAGTAATCATATTCACTACATAAATCTTGCCAGCTGTCACTTTACAAGGCACATGTCCTCTCATTGTTATCATTAATAATAATTTTTTCACTCTAATTGGCATTTGATACCAGGAAGAGTCATATCTAGAGATTTTTAGAATATTTAAATTTTTATTTTTATAATTTCGACATCATTCCAAATATATAGTGATGAAATAATATCGAAAATTACGTACGCATTTTGTACAACATCGTAACTGCAATCGAGCAATTTTTGACCTGGTAAGGTGAGAATAAAAAGATGAAACATTATTCCAATGGCGGAAAAACTAAATCGAATGGTTTTATCCAATTGTCCAAGGGATATTAACGCCTGTTTTAAAATATTTCATAAAAATGTAGTTATCAAGTTAAAGTTCCCCTCACAACAAAAGGATATTCTATGAAGATATCCTCATGATACTAACCTACTAAAAAGACGACAATAAATACTTTCTTCTTTTAACAGAGGTATGAATGCACCCTTATTGTTCAAGATACGCGTAGCTGCCCATCCCTGTAATAAAGTTTGTAATATACCCAACCTTCTTTACAACAGTGTTTACTTGATCATCAAGGCCTTTCTCCAATTTTTTAAATTAATTAATTTAAAAAAAAAATTTATTAAGTAAATTTAAATTTACATTTAAGAAATGTATATTTTTACAAAATTTACATTTTGTTGTCTTTTAGCTTATTTTCTGGATATCCAGAGGATATCATAATAATATCAGTTGTGAGGGTTATTAAATTATTGTAAAAAAAACCAATAATATAAGATTTTACCTGAAAACCTATGGAACTTGCGGACAGTGTATAAAATCCTACCGAAATAAACATAATGGGAGAGAAAAAGTCCTCTAATGCATTTGCAAAGCTAAATAAAATAATAGAAAAATTCTTTTAGATTCATTTGAAAAGATTGCAAATAATGATGAATAATTTAAAAGTGCGTTAGAACTTATACAAAGGAATTATCAAAAATTAAAATTTAAAAAAAAATCTTTTCTCTATTAAAAAATTTTACACTTACTTTCTTTCATGAAAAAATTACATATATATACTTACTCAATGTACGAAGAATGCAATTTGACTGTTAAAGACATAATTTCGTATAGTTCAATTTCAGCTTCTTTTTCGTCTCTAAATTTTTTGTTCTCGATAAAATTTAGTGCATTTTTGAATCTGTAGCTAAAAAAAAGTAAACTTTCTCATTTGACATAATAAATGCGATGAATGAAGAGAAATATTTTTATTTTCGAAGGCTGCTACTAGAAATCATTGGGGAGTAAGGAGTGATTTTAAAAAAAAATTAATAAAAAGAGTAAATATTTTCATTTTTTCTTTTAAATACCTAATAATTGCAAATAGGGCACAAGCATGATGGGTAAAAACGGCATACATTGCCTCGGAACTCTCGAGAAATATAACAATAATTGTGCCTGTTATACAACCATGAATTAGAGTAAAATGAAAATATTTTTCCGTGTCAAACCAAAAAGTCACTGGATACACAAACTGCTTTGGACGAGATTCATTTAAGGGAACTAAAAAGTCCAAGATTATTGGACTAAATGGCACTCCCACAAATACCACCAATATCGCTAATACGTGTCCTAAAGCAAAAGAAAAATTTAACTTTTAAAAAAATTTTTTCAATTTTTTTAAAAATACTGTACTGTTTTTACCCTTCTACTATTATTTACATACTTTTGTTAGTAACAAAGAATAATAACCTGCAAAAAGCATCATAAAAATCATATTATTCTCTCCATAAGCATAAAGAATTTCCTGTTCAGCCTCATCTTCCCAAGTCCTCCAATCATTTCGAATGGATACTATAAATTTTTTAACCTGTTTAGTAAAAAGTTGACGATTTAGTGGAAATTGGCGTAAAACACTAACTGTAATTACAAAGTAATTACAATAAAAATTTAGAATAATAGAATAGAAAACATTTGTCTTGGGAAAGTACCCATATAAGATTTTTCAAAAATTGGGTACATATATGATTATACAGAAATCGGAATTTTTGTTTGATTTTTCTAATTTAAAAAGTAATTACTTTTTGAGTATTGATGCGATGAATTACAAGCTGGGCCGAGCACATAATCATTACAAAAAATGTTGTAAGTGTATCGAGAATTTCATCTAAATCTCTATTACAAATACGTTGATATAAACAGTACATCTATTCAAAAATGTTTACATATAGACTTTAAAACTATAAAGTATAAATACTATAAAATAATGAAATAACTACTAAAATAACTAATAACTAATAAAATAATATAAAATAATATAAAATAATAAAACTTTTATGTAAAATCATTTACTAAATATTTTTAGCACAATATAATACCTGTGGTCCCATTCCAGTAACAAGTGAAAAACATACAATGCTTTGGATAAATTTTTGAATATTTTCAGAAAATGGCCACGTTCCTGTATAAATGGACACCTGTTTTATAATTTTATAATATCGGTTATCAAAAATGTCCACATTTTCCCTAATAATCTTAGTATCCAACTTGCTCATTTTGCAACTTTCTCTTAGGTTGAATTCATTTTGTGAATTTTATAAATTTTCAAATCTTTTTAAAAAATTTTTTTAATCTTAGATATAAAGTTCTCTGAAATATTTCTAAGTTCGTTAAATAAGAGAATATAATTTAAATTAAAATTCAATTCGTATCTTATTGTTCACAACAGAAGTGATCCGGAACTTAGAAATTATAAATATTTCGTTCTAACTTTCTTTCTTACAAAATATTATTCTCCATGTGAAGTAAATTAATTATGTAGAAGATAATACATCTGTTAGGTGTTAAAAATTTGAATTTTTGAAAAAATTGATCCTATAAACTGGCAATTTTCTCAACTTGTGAAATAAAGAATTCCGCGTTAAAATTTCAAACGTCTATATCCATAACAAGATACAGTGCGGTGGAATATTAAAGTAAATTCGTCGTAATTATAGTCTGTATTCTTTTTTGTTTCGTAAATTAATTATGTAAAAGATATGATATCTGTTAGGTTCAAATAAAATGCGGTAAAAAATGAAAACTATTATGTATAACCAGCAATTTTCTCACCCTTGATAAATGGTGCATTAAAAATTTAATAAACCCCTGCCTATACGAGCTAGGATACATTCTTCTTATATTAAAATGATCCAAACAGTGTTAGTTTGTATTTTTTTTTTCCTTTTTTTTAGTTTTTGAAACGATTTAGATTGCATCGAGTTTATAAAATATGTAAATAGGAGAGCGTTAGTTGCTTTTTTCATCTTTTCGTATCTTATGGTCTATAAAAAATGTAAAAATCATATCTTGCGAATGGAAAGCAACACTTGTTTTAAATTGCTTGATATTTTATTCAAAGAGACTTTTAGCGCCGGAAATGTTTATGAATTATGAAATAAATAGTATAGAGAGAGGGCTATTTCTTTGTATATGGAAGATAGAAAATTTTTTTCCAAGCACCATAGGTTAAAAAAGTGATTGTTGTGCCCCAACAGAAGCAGTTATTCTACATTCAATTATTTTTTCATATCTCTACAAATATTTCTGTAAAAAGTTGTAAAATGTTGAAACTAATAAAATTTTATTCTATATCGAAAAAATGTAATGAATTTATTTAATGTTTAACGTATTAATAACCAATTTAGAATTCCAATAAAATTAATTCCTGGAAGAAGAATTTATAGAAATTATAGAATTGTTTAGTTATAATTATCATATCAATAAGTTTGTTTACACAAAAGTGAAATTATATCTATTCACTTATATAGAACTGAATAATATTACTTTGAAAAATTACATTTTTGTCGTGTATCAGAATACTTTTGAAATTTACTTCGTGGTTATTAAATTAGATAAGAAATAAAAGTAATGAAATATTGTTTTATTTTAACATAAGTACACATTGTGCGGCGTAGAAAAGTTTTACTATATAAAAGAGAGAATATTATTTTTGCCAAAAGCATATTTCAACATGAAGATTCGAGAAGAATTAGTTCTTTTAATTTTTATTACGGTGCAGGTGCAATGCTTCAGTTTGTCCAACAACTCAAGTCTGAATGTTGACACCGTGTCGAAGGTAAGTTGAAGAAAGAATGTATATAAATATTTAACAAATTTTTTAAGAGATTTTTTTTAAATACTAAGAGACTGTTCCAGTCGTTGGCACTGTCACAAAATAGTTAGCATTCCTTCTTTTTCTTTAAATAACAAAAAACACTAAAGTATATACTTCAGTTTTTTAAAAAATGCTCTAAATGTTATTAATCATATGCAAAACATACTAGTTTTTAATAACTAGTACTAATTTTTTTCCCTGTTAATAGAAGGGTGTCAACCACTGGAACACACAGTGCCAACGCTAGGAGCAGTTAACGACTTTTAATTATGTTTAAAAAAAGTTATATTCTTTTCCAGATTGAAGAATCGTCAGGAGAGACGAACATTTCCAGCACTACATCTACAAATAATATTTGTACAATTTGCAAACACTTAAAAGCAATCAACTCTTTCTTAAAGCCAAAATACGAGAAGTTGACATTAGTTATTGCAGCAGATGTACAAGATGCAATCAAAATGGCTGAATATTTGAGTCATAATAATCGGGTTCAACTCGAAAACAACGAGCTTCAAATTCCTCAGCAGTTGTTGAGTGACGTAGTTAAAATTCTGAGTTTACTCTACTACAGTAATGAGACTTCTACTTTCTTCTTCGCTTATCCTACCAATATGACGAATGAAATATTAACGAATTATCTAATCCACAAAATTATTGACTCATCTGAAAAGAAGTTCGTTATCCTGACAAGTAATGGAGAAATAGAGAAAAATAATCTCGATCATCTGTTTCAGGTGTCATCGAATATTTTGGTAGAATATTCCTCATCAATTTTGTTCATTCCATTAAGTATTGTTTCATTTAATTCTACCATGAATCCATGCAAAATTTTACCCACATTTAGAAAAGTAGAGAAATACTTCAGAGACACTTTCGTCAGATTTTCAGAATCTTCAAAAGATTACTCATCTTGGCTAAAAGAAATCAAAATCGCCAATATCACTACTCAAGAGAAAGTAATATTTAATTCAATCAGTTTTATAGTGTTTCTAGTAAATAATATCAATAATGACAAGTCTTTCCAGTGCGAGCAAAAAAAATTAACTCCTGAAGAATTTCTAACACCTTTGAGCTTTCGAAGGTTGCTAAAATTAAATAATTCAGTAAAGTCAAATACCACCGATGAGGACGTAAAGTGCCTTGAACAACTATGGTCCACTATGGTAGGTTCTACCTTACTGTCCGATTCGCCTTTCTCAAATATGACTACATTAACAGATATATTGAATTTTCTGGAATTCCTTGAGCCAATTTACAAACAGATTTCTCTAAGATATGAAGAAGAATCTTTTGGTTATATTTGCAACAATGCAAACTTGGAAATTCTGCAACAATTCTGCTTTGCACATTATGCTCAAGATGGACAATTAATCGAACTCTGGGAAAGTTTTATCAAAACTAATTTCCTGGTGAAAATAAAATGGTTTCGAAGATTGTGGACAATGTTCACAAACCTCGATTTGTGGAGTGAAGCTAAAATTTCCAGTGAATCGGAAAAATTATTCAATGAAATACCAAAGGATGGTCAATATGACGAGCAATTGATGAAAAAGGCTTTTTATATCGTAAATAAAAATATGAAACTAAAAATACAAGTTACATGTTCACAAATATCGAAGTTCACTTATAAGCTACAAATGAAAGGAAATTTCTTCAAACTTGGTAATATTTTAAAAAATCATCACTGCCCTAAAGAAATAATCTTCATTGAAGTCTTTGCTTCTGACAAAATTATAATCGATGAAGATTTAATTCTTGATGGAGAGGGGACGCAAGTAAATATAATTGCACCAGTTTGGGAAATTATTTCAAACAAAACTATAAATTTAGATGGTGCACCTGCAGTAAATTTTTGGGTGAGTATATTCCCAGTGTGCAAAAAATCATATTCTAAAAACTATTTTTTCTATTAATTCATGTCAGTCAAATAATGGAACATTTGAACTGTTTAGGAAGAAAAAACAAGAAGGGGAGATAACGGCAATCCAGGTTTACCTGGAAGACCAGGAGGAACATTCTTTGCCATTACTAAGGAGACTATTAACGGGAAAGGTTTGCGAATATCGACAAATGGAGGAAAAGGTGGTAAAGGTCAATCTACCGTATCTGGAGAACTACAAGGGGAAAGAGAAATTATTTACAATGCTCTCGGTGGTAAAGGAGGGGCAGGAGGTATACATGGAGTAAATCAATTATATTCCTTAAATAATTCTTCCGCTATTAATGTACAATTATCACTAAAGAATGGCACAGCTGGCGAGGAAGGAGAAAATGGAGTAACGAGCTTCTTAGAAGGTTTGTTAGTAGCTCTAATGGGAGCAAAAGACAAAACTAATCGTTGTGTAAAAAGTATTCGTTTCGATCCTGAAATACCTCAAAAACCAGTCATGGTGGAAGATTTCGGTGAATCCGTTAGAAGATATAGAAAATTTATTTTAACTGAAATTTTAAAATGTAAGTGCAGTACTTATGCACAACTGTATTTCGACCTGAATTCCAACAAACAAATTCCAAATACTTATAATACCGCAGATTTTATGGATGAATTGACATATTTAGAAAAATATTCATCTGTGGAATCAAATAATACAGTAAGATTAATTTTATTCAAAGCCTGGAATCTACAATTTCGTAAATACCAATTACATCATTTGCAGAGTAGCAATGCAACAATTCATACAAAAGTACTTCTAAGTTTGGACACTATGATTTCTAGGAAAATCCAAAAACTCGAAAGTAAATTTTACGATAACTCAGTTTTGTTGATTGAAACCTACTTAGAAGCGTGTATTCAAGATAGTAAGAAATTAAAAGATGCTGAAATTTTAGTCGACATGAGAATTATCACCAAGAGCTACACTGCCGAATTCGAGGAAGAAATTAAGAAAGCAAATCAATTACTTTCAAATAACCTACAAGATTACTTAACAAAAAGAGTAGATGATTTAAAAGCCGAAATTAAACAAATAGTCCTGGAAATTGATAAAATTATAGAATCAAAAAAAGGAGAAAATAAAGAATTAATGGAGATGAAAAGAAAATTAGAGGCGCAGGCAGGACTATTGGTATTCTTCGGATTTCTTCGATTCGTCTCTTTAGTACTAACATTTATAAATCCAGTTTGTGCTATAGTTGGCACTGCATTAAGTATTGGCGTCAACATGCTTGAATCGAAGATTATCGATAATTCAGAATCGAGAACAGTTCTTGATTCTATGAACCGAAATTATGAAGCGTTACAAGAATCGACAAAAAATAAAAAGAATAGAAAAACAAATTCTGTAAACACTGGAAATAATTATTTTGATGTAGTTGACATTGTTGAGCAAACGAGAAAGAAAGTTTCTCAACATAATTCTAAAATAGATCAAGTGAATGATAGAATTCAGCAGAATCTACAAGATATAAAGAATTTAGAAACATACAAAACAGAAATTCATGAAAAATTAGAGCCTTTCATAGAAGGAATTCATGGGCAAATAATGAATCAGACTGGGCAATTTCATAAATTATCGATCACTTATCTTGAATATGAAAGATGGCGAATGGACGATTTACTATCCGATGTCTCAAATCAAATAGAAAAATGGACCACAACTTTCAACGTAGAGGAAAATGCTGTGGGAAAATTAAAGAAAGCAATGGATACAACAATTCGTCTTCATACACTAATAAGAGAAATGAATTATAAAATTTCAAGTGCACAATTTTTGTCCGATATAGCTGAAGTTTCACATCAAATTACAAATGTTCGAGATAAGGAACTTAGAAATAGTGTTACAGATTTGATGCACACTCATTACGCGAATGACATAATCGACGAATACAAGAAATGGGTGGTCTCATTCAAACAGTACACATTTCCATTCATCAAGGAATATCCCGATATCACTGAACCGGAAACATTAAATATAGTTCATCCACTGGAGAGGGCGAATCTCATAGTTGAAAAATTGAAGTACCTTCAGGCATATTTAGGCAAAAGGAGAGCAGAAGCCCAATATTTTACAACAATGGCCAAGTTTGGCAGTAACGGACCCCTTCCATCATTCTACACCTGGAATAGCAGCAGACATTCCACCGAAATAGGAGAAATTCTCGAGGGCAAAACTGTGAAGCTATTTGCAGACATTCATGATTTTAAGACTTTGAATGCTGTTAAATTTCGTGATATAAATATTTTGTTCACCTCGTCGAATGCAACTTTAAATGCGGAGTTGTGGGACGATTTGTCCTCATTTTCTGTCAAACTGATTCACAATGGAGACTCTTATTATAGATGTAATGATGAACTGCATTTGTTCAAGTCTGGTGAACATAATTTTGGCATCAAGTTCTTCATGTCTCGAAAGAAGAGATTTACTGACTATGGACAATTGGACTATGTTTTAAGTCCCTTCGCCACGTGGACTATTAGCCTCTGGGATAACTTGGGTAAAGGAGATTTTAACCTACTCTCTAAATATGTAAGCAAAGTCAATATCGAATTGATCGGAGATGGCGAATTTTTAAATCCAGACATAAATTGTTCTCAAATTTAACTGTTAAAAAAATGTTAAAATTATCCTATTTTTATAAAACACAAAATTTTTATAAAATGGATAAAATGGATAAAATGTTACAATCAGTTACAATTGTATGTTGTGTATAAGGAAACTATGTCAGTCGCCTTTGGTATAAAGTAAGTAAATGTTGAAGTAAAATTTATAAACACATTTACTGGAGTTCAAGTGCTTTTTATTAATTTCCATATTTGTTCCAATGTCGCTTAGAAGTATGATAAACATTTTCGGATTTCCATTGAAGTTATGGGATATGAATTTCTTTTAGAAAGAAACTTACAGAATTTTCAAAACGCAACAAGATGTACATATATACAAATGGCTCTATTTATACAAATGTGTCGCTTTACAAACTAAACTGACTTTCACTTACACTGAGAATAAATATTCTTTAAAATATAAAATAAATAAACTTTTAAAACTTCAAACAAACATCAACTAAAAAAATTATTTTAAAATTTGTAAAGAATTATTAATATCCATTGCAATAATTTCCACTTTCTTATAAAGTCATTTCTTCAAAGACATCAATTTTCAATACTGTAATTATACAAAAAATTATTTTAAAATAAGGTTCAGAAACTTTAAATTTTTTTAAAATTAATAAAATGAATTTTAAATGAATTTTCCTCTCAGTGCATTGAACATTTTATGTTACAATAAATTATTTCAATTTCTCCTATTTACTATTAAAAATTTTTTTACATCCATTAAGCAGGTGAAACAATACTCTTTAGTCCTCAATCTGCTTTATTAAACTAACTTTATGTACATTCTGTACAATAAATAATACTTTGTCTCATCCTGATAATGATGAAAATCAAAAAAATTCTTTTTACTTATTTGAAAAAGTAAATATGTTTCATTAAAACTAATAAATTAGTTTACATATTCCTTACGAAAGAATTTGTCTATTATATATTTTCTTTTTATAGAAAAAATCAAAAACTAACCAAACAAATTTTTTTGGAAAAAAATTACAGAATTCGATGATATTTGAAAAAAAAAATATGTTCGTCATGATAAAAAAAAGTTGCTAATACTAGAAATACATGGTATTTGTTGAGAATTTTGTTTTTTTTTTTTGAAAAAAATTACTAAGGACTAGAATATACGTAAAGTGATATCTTCTCTTCAAACACTTCTTGCTCACGACATCGAACAAAATAGAAGCCTTTTTTTAAATGTTATTTGACTCATCTTAGTATTGTCTTTTAGATATTTATTTCTTAATTATATCACCCTTTTCTTTTACCATTTCCATTTATTCTATACCATATAGAGACGATTCCTTTTTCTAATTTTAGAATAACATTTTAATAATAATTTCACTAAAGAGTTTACTTAAAGTTTAAAATTTACTTAAAAACACAATAGTGTTTAATTTTAATTAATTATAATTAAATATAATTATATTACTAAATCTTTCATCAAATAGTTTACTAAAACAGCCTATAAATATAATTTTCAATTGATATTTTTCGCTTCCGTTCAAATTGCTTTGTTAATATTTTACAGTCAAATAATTATCATTTTTACCCATTTTTATATTTAAAGAAAATTTTTGTTTCAAAAGATTTGAATTTTTCTAAATTTGAATTTTTAAAATTGTTTTTCACTTTTTTGTTTATTTTTTTTAATTTACAATTTATTTGAATTAAGAAATTTTTTTAATTTATTAAACATTTAAATTAATGTTTTAGTAAATTATAATAATTTATACGTTCTCTCTTTTAGTCAATTTATTTTCATCAGTGTGAAAATTATAAATAAACATGTTAGACGCTTTACGATTTTATAGTTTGGAATATATTGTCTAATTTAAGCCTGACACTAATTTTATTTTTCACAGCATTTAGTAATCGCTAAAGCGTCTTACATTCATGTTCGAAGCGTACAATATTTTTTCTAAAATCAAAATTTTTCCGTCGTTTTTTTAATTTTATTGGAAAAATATATTTAATTATATATTCCACTTGACACAGTACACGATATTTTTTAAATAATAAATACTTTTATAAATTTTTGTAGATGCTATAAGTAAAGTTGAAAAAGTGGCCCAACCCTGACTATGTTCCCGATGTTCCCCTAAAACTCGATTTTGAAGTTGCCCTTCTTATCTCATGTCCGAATCGACGCATGCGCCTTCGGAAAGCTGCGCAAACGCAAAGCTAACCTCAAAAAAAATATTGTTAAATATTACGCTATTGTTAAAATATTTATTAATTAAATTAATTAAATTGAAGACCATCAATATTAAAAACCATCATATGTACTGTGTAGCAGAATATAGAGGTTAGAAAAAATTAAAATACAATTTTACATAAACCGTATTTTAACGAATCTGTTATGTAGATACATTTTTAATTTCCGATTTTCTGATTTAAAATCATTTTTTATTTTTCGAAAATGTGCCTATGTCACACTAGCTTCTTTCTCATTTTGTTTCGTTGTACGTCAAAACTTTGTATTTACTTTACTAATAAGAAATAATTTTATCCAAATATCGAAAAGAAAAAACTTAGTGTGACACTATATCAGCACTTTTTCGCAAAGCTTTTTTAATTTTTAAAATTACTTTTCAAAAACCATCAACAGAAACCTAACCTCCCAAATTGGATTAAAAAAACTTTCAAATTTTTCATTTAAATATTTCTTTGTAAAAACTGGTTTTTGAATAAAATTACAGAAAACAGTAAAATAATTATAAAATCAAAGATACAGGTAACTGCATATATGCTGTCCTTCCGGTATTTGTATTTTGAAAACCGTCGAATTTCTACCATTACGTTATTATAGTTCGTGGCAAATATTTATTTTTTAGCCACAAACTATAAAGATTGTGATAGAAATGATGAGGTCTTCAAAAAAGTGTGCAAAAACAAAGGGACAACATATATGCAGTTACTTGATGTATTTTGGATAAAATAATATGCAAGAAGAGAATTCAAAATTAAAAGGACAGTCGATTTCGAAATTTCTAGAGCCAAAGGGTGCACAACTGAAAATTTACCATTCCCGAGTAAATTTCTACTTTATAAGTACATCTTCAACGCTTATTATTGTAATTTGGGTGATTGATTTGAACGCCTCCTGGTGGGAAATCAGTGCAACATTATGAATAGGATAAAGTGGGGTTGACACAAGACGACTGGAGACAGGAGGTTCGAAATGAAACTCCACCTAGCAAAGTATTTTTCTACCCACTTTCGATCGGAGCTAGCATTGTTAGCTATTGGGTACTATTAGGTACTAATAGGTATAATAGGTACCATTAGGTACTAATTGGTACCCAAGGTACTAATAGGTACCATTAGGTACTAATAGGTATATTAGGTACTAATAGGTACCCAATGTACTAATAAAGTAGGTACTAATAGGTATATTAGGTACCTTTAGGTACTAATAGGTACCATTAGGTACTAATAGGTATATTAGGTACTAATAGGTACCCAAGGTACTAATAGGTACCAATAAAGTAGGTACTAATAGGTACCAATAAAGTAGGTACTAATAGGTATATTAGGTACCATTAGGTACCTTTAGGTACTAATAGGTACCCAAGGTACTAATAGGTACCATTATGTACTAATAAAGTAGGTACCAATAGGTATATTAGGTACCATTAGGTACTAATAAAGTAGGTACTAATAGGTATATTAGGTACCATTAGGTACCTTTAGGTACTAATAGGTACCATTAGGTACCTAATGACCCTAATATTCCCAAACAATATCATTTATTGTGTCAAAGTACCGAAAAAAATCCCCCCGTCTCCAGACAGACTTGAATTGAAAGCTCCGGACGCGCAGATGACATTAGAGATTTTTTTTTTGTAATATATCTTTTCATCAACAATTCGATATATAGAATACGTTGGACCTAAAAATCTAGACACTGGAATTTTGTTAATTTTAGACCCAAGGTAGACAGGCGTATGGAGCACAACTGTCATAGTCATGCACAAAGGGAAGCGAGTGCCTGCCTTTTTGTCAGTGAGGTTTGGTGAATGAGTCCACGAAAGAGGTTCTTCTCCCTTGAACTTGAGTGCTGCCAGTTCCACTAGGCTGATTATGCGGCGACTGCGTTTGCGTTTGTTTCTTGTCGGAGCCAGCCGCCAAATAGGAGAAGACACACAGGACCGAATAGCAGATTTGATCTGCCTGTAAGTATTAAAAATTTACAAAAAATAAAAAGGAAAATTAAACCTTTTTTTTGGGGGGAATTCTATAGGTTACCTAAATTGGAATTATGAATTTTTGTGAGGATTGAAATGAAACTTAGGTGTTCCTATCATCGTCACGGAGTAAATTTTTGTTTATTTTTTAAACTCGAATGTTTAAATCCAAAATTCTCCTTCAAAGGGGTACGGAATATTTTTAATTTTAATTTCTTAAGATCATACCATCGTAGATATTGCAGATTGGTTTCTATGGTAACTTTCGAGAGCGAGAGAGATAGCGGATCGTTTCTATCTCTCTCACTCTCGTAAGTTACCATGGAAACCAGGGACGACGATGTTATGATCCTATACCCTTAATAATACTGTTTGTCAAATTTTTTGCATAAAGAAGAAAGTTTAGAAACACTTCTCGCTTTGAAAGCACAAACATTACGATTAAAATAATATTTCAATTAATTCCGAAAACAAATCTTTTAAAGAAAATTATTTATAATTTAGAAAAAGAAGCAGATTTTTCCCAACGAAAAGATCCTGTCGGAAAAAGATAGAAGAGTTAAGCAATTAGGATCAGAAATCACCAACTTGTGTCTACCATTTTGAATTTACTTTCTGTAACTAAAAATGTCTACCACAAGTAGCAGAAAAAGAAAGTTAGAATTCTTTAAAGATCAAAACTATAGAAATGATAAAATATAATGAATGCTGAAATGAAATGAACGAAAAATAAGAAACCTACAAATTAAATAGAGGAGCTTTATGCATCGTTGTTCCCGGCAGTTGCAACGAATTTCCCATCTGCTGAAAGTTGCTCAGCAAGGGCAACAGAGAAAACTCTGTGCATGCAGCGAATTGCCTCGCTGGCCTGCTCATGCAAAAATAATAAATAATAATTTAACATAATATGTGCTTTCAATAAACGATTAAACTTCAATCGTTGCAAAAAATTACAATTTCATCATTTTTTTAAATTTAGTTAGACGGTTGAACTAAAGAAAGAAAACTTACCATTTGCGACTTATATTTACGTTGAATTACTTGTCTAGTTTTAGGATCTGAAAAAAAATTTTATATTTACAATAATGTATAGTTATTAATATTATATTATCATTACAATATCGTGATTGTCAAGATATTTTGTACTTTTCTTTTAAATTTACTGTTTTATAAATTTCTAACAATTTCAAATATTTGTTACAGTTGGCAAAAACAAGAGAAAAAAAATAGTGGAGACAATGTACGAATTTTGTTTTCAGGAAAAATTTGTTTTTGCCTAAGGTACGATTTTGGTAGTGCCGCCCCTGAATATTGTCATGGCATCGACGCATGCGCTTTCGCGTCGTCTACTGCTTCGCGTGGCTTGGCGAGAGAACAACGACATTCTCGCTTAGATCACATTTATAAACTTTATAAAGTTATCTAAATTTATCAATGCCATCAATACACTAAAATATAAACAAAAATTCAAACTACATCAACAAAGTGTCAATAAAGACTAATACTATTATAGTGAATCAAAATAGATTTTTTTAAATTAAAAAATTAATTGTTTAATAATTCCGTGCTTTTTTCGACTGCGAAAATGTAAACAATAAAAGTGTGAGTGACAAAAATGTAAGTATATATTTATTATAAATATATCGTCAGGTAAAAAACTAAAAATCGTCAACTAATACGAAATATTTGTTTTCGTGTAAATCTAACCTCACTTTTTTATGTTCACGCATTTTACCCTGAAGTTAAAGCAATGAAAATGAAACATAGAAGGGTGCACTCACATTTTCAAATGAAATATAGTACCTTAAAAACTCACATATAGAGGAGCTACATTCGTTCAATTTCAATATAATTGGAGTTGCAATTTTTATTTAATTTTAATAAATTTAACTTTAGAAAAACTAATTCAAAATTTAAGAAATATTTAATTATAAAAAAATACGAAATTAAATTAAAGGGATGGAAAAAAGACGAAAATCGACGATAGAATTAGTACTAATAATAATAGTAAATCGTAATAATAAAAATACGAATAAATACTCACTGAATTCTTCCAAAACGAAGATCCCACCCTTCTGAGTAAAGCACTTGCGGATATGATCGAGTCTTACAAAAAACTGAAAACAATACAAAAGAATTAGTCCCAATGGGAAAATTAAAATTTTTCCAAATTAGAAAAATGTGGTGGTGATCAATAGCTAAAGATTATTTTCAACCATGCATTTTTCATATCTCATAATTATCTACAAGTGTTAGAAGTATCTACAAAATCTCAAAAAAACTATACTATAAAAACTCGTGTGCTGTAAATATTCTCGCATAATCGTTGGCAAATATTTAAATCATCTTTTAACTCTATAAAAATACAAGAGTGTTCCTTACTTAAAAATAGTTTTTCTTTAAATTCTATTAATTCTATTAATTTTAATCATTTATAATGTAATAAAATTTTGCATTTAAAATTAATTTAATAATTCACTAATTTTACTAATTATATTAATTTTAAATAATTTCACCATCAGATTGTTTTAGTTAATAAAAAATTTATATAAACGATCACTCAGAATCAAAGACTACGGCTGATGATTGTAATTAAACTTTGTTCGTTAATTAAATCTATCAATTGTTTATAATTTCTAATAAAATTAATTTCATTAAATTTGCGGAACTAAACCTAATAAGTAAAATTATTAAATTTTAGCACACATTTGACGTTTTTTTTAAGGTATACAAAAAATATTTTAATTAAACGTTTTAATTTTAAAATTAAGCATTTTGTAAATGCAGTCATTTTATGAGGGGCTTAACCTTAAATAAGTAGAGGTGCGTTATAAAAAGATATTTTCAGTTTTTCTAAATTATCACTATTTTCTGCTAATATACCAGTAAAAATATAGTAGGCAAGTATTAATATACAATTTATGCCTGTTCGTAATATATGTTTCCTGCAACGATTCATCAACGATATTAAATAAATAGGAAATTTCATTTTTTGTTTATAAATTATTTTTTCCATTCTAAATAGAAGTAAATTTAGGTTTCAATTTGTTTGACAGAAATCGGTTTTCTTTAGTCAGTAAAATTTTAAATACTTTTTTGTAAGGGGCGCGGGCACGTAGCGAGCTAGTTACGATCCTGTGCGCGAAACGTAGGAGTGGGGATTTCAGGGTATATAAATACAGAGTCACTGTCGAACGCAGTCATTCTCTCTTCTGTTCGCCATTCCGACGGTTCTACTTTTCTAGACATTTACCAATTTTCCTTTTTGTTATATTTATTACAATTATTACTACTGTAACTTTTTATAAAAATTTTTTTAAATTTAGAAAAAAAATTTTTTTTATTTTAAAGAAAATATTTTTAGTATTACTATAAAAAATTCAACATCGGTGTTTTAGGCACTTCTTTCACCTTTAGAAAAAGGAAAAAATATTTCCGACCTCAAAACGAATTTAAATTCACTGTCAAAATTGAGACAAAAACATCTAATCTACCGACTAGAAAAAGGCGCCAAATACAAATCGTATTTTAAAAAATATCGATAACTCATCGTTGCAGGAATCTGTAAATAAAATTTATAAATTTTAATCAAAACAATTTTCTTAAATACGAGAGAAAGTAGTATCAATACAACATTTAAAAGAGAGATAGAGAGAAATTTTTGAATTTTAATAAAAAAAAATCGAATAAGGAGCACCCTATTGACAGTATATAAAGAAATCATGCAAGGCGTTAAATTTTTTTTCAATAATATCAATAATATAAAAATAATTAGGCTTAAACAGGCATCTAATTAATATACAGATATTCAAAGAAAGAAGAAATCATGCAAGCAAGAGCAGCAAAAATTCTTATTTATTTCCATGAGCAATATAATTAGTGTAGCAGTGACAGGCAACTCTGGAGATGGCCTAAAACTCGTATTAAATCCTCAATTGCTCAGCGCTGATATAAATTGCTAAGTATATATGTGCATTTTTTAATTATCTAAAATTCAGCAGTGGAACGGAGTTCCTCGTAAAAAAAAAATGATGCACAGTTGCAGTTCAACTAGGAAGTAAATAGTATAATTTCAATGCGGAAATATTTTTGTTCATGTGTATATTATATGCACCTAAATTATTTTCAAGTATTCTCATGAAATTGAGAACTCATTAAACTTTAAATTCTCGAAAGTATTCGCCAAACAAAATTAAATAGAATTTTTAAAATAAAAATGAATTTTCAACAAAAAAAAAATTTTCAAAATTGAATAGAATTTTTAAAATGAAAATGAATTTTCAAAAATAAAAAAGAATTTTCAAAATTAAATAGAATTTCTAAATATAAAAACAATTTTTAAACTTTTAAAAAATACTTTAAATTAAAAAAATTTTTATAAATTTAAATGTATAAGAAATTAAATATTAGGGCAAATTTCGTTTATAACGAAATAAAATAAAATTATTCATTATTAAAAATAATTGATTTTCTTATTTCCTTCTTGTAATTATTTCAAAAAAAAAAAAAAATTTATGAAAGGGAATACTTTTCCAAATTTGAAAGAAATAATGATGTTCTCGAATGTTTTCGATTATCTAGTGTATATAGTATTGAATGTAGGAAGATAAAATTTATCAAAATTTAAAATATGTTTCGTGTAATGTGCAACTTGTTTCGGAAAAAAAACTAGAGAGTAAATGACATGCTCTCAAAAAATTTTATGTCGAATATTTGTGGTATGTATAAGTAAAGATTTTTTTTTCTAACGCATTTCTTAATTTTAGAAGAATTTGTGTCTTTTTTTTTTGTTTTTGCAATGCAAATTGAACCTTGAAACCAAAGAACTACTTTTTTAATTTATTTATATTCTTAAAAAAAATGTTTTTTATTTTAAAATATTTAATATTTTTTTTTATAACTGGAACTCCATTCTTACTTTGAAAATTGAATTTCAATCCAGAAATCTAGAATTCTAGAAGTCTAGAAATCTAGAAGTCTAGAAATCTAGAAAGTCTAGAAATCTAAAAATCTAGAATTCTAAAAATCCAAAAGTCTCTTAGAAATCTAGACATCTGAAAGTCTTAAAAGTCTAGAAGTCTAGGAATCTAGAAGTCTAAAAATCTAGAAATTTAAATGTCTAGAAATCTAGAAATTGAAATATCTAGAAATCCAGAAATCTGAAAGTCTAGAATTCTAGAAACTGAAATATCTAGAAATCCAGAAATCTGAAAGTCTAGAATTCTAGATGTTCATAGGTCTTGAAATCTAGATACCTAGGAATAATCTAGAAATCTAGGTATAATCTAAAAGTCTAGAAATTTAGGAATAATCTACAAATCTAGAAGTCTAGAAATCTAGGAATAATCTAGAAATCTAGAAGTCTGGAAATCTAGAAGTATAGAAATCTAGGTATAATCTAGAAATTTAGGAATAATCTAGAAATCTAGAAGCATAGAAATCTAGGTATAATCTAGAAGTCTAGAAATCTAGGAATAATCTAGAAATCTAGAAGTCTGGAAATCTAGAAGTATAGAAATCTAGGTATAATCTAGAAATTTAGGAATAATCTAGAAATCTAGAAGCATAGAAATCTAGGTATAATCTAGAAGTCTAGAAATCTAGGAATAATCTAGAAATCTAGAAGTCTGGAAATCTAGAAGTATAGAAATCTAGGTATAATCTAGAAATTTAGGAATAATCTAGAAATCTAGAAGTATAGAAATCTAGGTATAATCTAGAAGTCTAGAAATTTAGGAATAATCTAGAAATCTAGAAGTCTAGAAATCTAGGAATGTTCTAGAAATCTAGAAGTATAGAAATCTAGGTATAGTCTAAAAGTCTAGAAATTTAGGAATAATCTAGAAGTCTAGAAATTTAGGAATAATCTAGAAATCTAGGAATAATCTAGAAATCTAGAAGTATATAAATCTAGGTATAATCTAGAAGTCTAGAATTTTAGGAATAATCTAGAAATCTAGGAATAATCTGGAAATTATATTTCAAATTTTTTTCTTCCTAAAAATTTGTAAAAATATAATTTACAATTTAAATAGGAAATTAAAATACAAAACACAAAAAAATTTAACTATAATTCAAAAGTTATAGTATAATAGTTTTTCAAAATTTGTTGAAAGAGTAAAAAATTGGGAATTGCAATATTTTGATAATAATAATTATTTGGTGGTGCTGTGGTTTCATAGGTGAATTATAAAATATTTGAAAGAAAAAACTGAAGATTAAGGCACTACAAGTGTCACTACACGTTTTTCATTAAGTGCTAGGGGGCACACACTATTTTAAAAATTTTTCACGGCCGCACTCCGAAATTTCGATTATTATAATAAAAAGAAAAAAAAATTAATTTCTATATAATAACGAAAAATTAAAATATTTCAGAAACAAAAGCTCGCTACGAGAACGATTCGCGAATTCTCTACTTTTCATTTTGCCTCCTCAAGTACCAACACTTTATTATTATACATTTTTTAATGAAGAAATTTTGTAAATTCAAAACTATTATACAAAACGAATATATTTAATAAGCAAGAAATTTTATCTTCTTTTTCAAATGTTAATAATTTTATAAAATTTATTTTCAATTTTCATCTGATTTTCTTTATTTCTTAAATTTAATATTCTAATTTCTTCAAATTTGATAAAATTTTACGATTTTTGAAAACTTTAATTTTTTTCTCAGTTAAAATATTAATTAAAAGTTTATTAGAAATTTATATTTTAATTTTAGTTTTAAAGCCTCTGCCTACGTTGACTTAACTTATAACATAAGATATTTCTTTACTATTCTATTATTTTTTCACTAGTCTATTATTTCTTCACTATTATTCTATTATTTCTTCACTATTCTATTATTTCTTCACTATTCTATTATTTCTTCACTAATATTCTATTATTTCTTCATTATTCTATTATTTCTTCACTATTCTATTATTTCTTCACTAATATTCTATTATTTCTTCACTTTTCTATTATTTCTTCACTATTACTCTATTATTTTTTCACTATTATTCTATTAGTTCTTTACTATTCTATTATTTCTTCACTATTATTCTATTATTTCTTCACTATTCTATTATTTCTTCACTATTCTATTATTTCTTCACTATTATTCTATTATTTCTTCACTATTATTCTATTATTTCTTCACTATTCTATTATTTCTTCACTTTTCTATTATTTCTTCATTATTCTATTATTTCTTCACTATTCTATTATTTCTTCATTATTCTATTATTTCTTCACTATTCTATTATTTCTTCACTAGTCTATTATTTCTTCACTATTATTAAAATCAATAATATTGGTACTTGAGTTGACCGAATGAGGAAAAAAAATTTATTTTCAACATATAATCTATAAAAATGAAAAATCACAACTAACACCAATCAATGGTTAGGAAAACAGTGAGGTGGACAGAGCAGATCAACTAATTCAAATGCATCAAATTGAGAATGTAGTAATATATAATAGTGGTATATATATATATAGTAGTATATATAATGAAACAGTAATGATATAAGATATATAGTATAGGAACGATATATACGGCTAAGAGTAAACGTTCTGGTAAGAAAAGAAAAGATAAATAAGCATTTCCGGAACACGGCCAACATTAAATAATAATATATCATATATATAGTCAATACTGAATTTAATATAACAAACAGTGAGTCGTTGTAAAAATAGTACCTCGAAATCCTGTTTGCCCAGCCAGGGCAATGTCGACGAACCGGACAAGAAACAGAAAACAGAAAAACACAAAATTAACGATCTAGAATAATTTACGAGTGAAAGAGAGAGATAGAGAGGCTGCAATTGCGATTTAGACAACTTTTTTTTTGAATGAATAGACATACCTAAATTAGGACTAAGAAAATTGTCATTAACAGTATTATCATGGTTATTGTTATTATAACCATACGCAGGATCGTGATAACCAAATGTCCTCACTTGATTATTACGATTCACTATATAGGGATTTTAGTTTTTGTCATCATGATTTTTTTTTTTTTTCAAATTTACTGTTTTGTTATTTTATATTTGCCGCACAGATGGCAAAAACGAGAGATAAAAATAGTGTAATCAGTGGTAAAATTTTAATTCCAATTAAATTAAATTGAAAACTTATTTTGCCCAGGGTATCAATTTGGTAGTGCCGTCCCTGAATATCTTCATGGCGTCGACGCATGCGCATTCGCATCGACGGCCGTTAGGCGAGAGAACCAAGAAAACGACATTTTTGCCAGCATTTTTGGTAAGATCACATTATTCACATTTATAAACTTTATAAAGTTATCTAAATTTATCAATGCCATCAATATATTAAAATATAAACAAAAATCCAAACTACATCAACAAAGTGTCAATAAAGACTAATACTATTACAGTGAATCAAAATAGATGTTTTTATTATTAAAAAATTAATTGTTCAATAATTCCGTGCTTTTCTCGACTGCGAAAATGAAAACAATGAAAGTATGACTGTCAAAGAAGTAAGTATATAAATATTGAAGAAAAAAAAAGCATATAAATATTTTGTCAGTAAATAACGTCAAATAATGCGAAATATTTTTTCTCGTGTAAATCTAACCTCACTTAATTTTTTTTTAATTTGCTTCAGTAGAAGGACAAAGAATTTAATGTTAAACAATTCAAAAAATTAAAAGTTGCTTTGAATAAAAATTATAAAGTTTTCTTGTCAATAAAAATGATTTGTTAAATTTTAGGTTATGTTACCTAAACTAATTTTGGAAAATTTTTAATATTAATTCATTATTATTAATTTATTCATAACATCATATTTTTATTTATTTATTAAATTAATATCAATTAATTTAACTACTTAAAAATGGTTCAAAATTTTTATCTAATTAAATAAATATAAGTCAATAGGCCACAAGAACAAAAATAAAATTTTACTCTATACCACTTTAAATAATAATTTTAATAAATAAACCATTTTAATAATGTAATAAATTTGTAATAAAATAAATAAAAAATAGAATAATAAATTTGCTAATTTAATAATAAAAGAATAATAATAATGAATAATGACAATAATAAAAATACAAGTAATAATAAAAAATATTTATGTTAATTATTCTGAATTGAATTGTTTAAATAAATAATAAATGCCTCTTAGAAAGGAATAGCTAAAGGCAAAAGACGGTTCATCAAGACTTACGTAAAACTAATAAAAAGCTCAAGAGTTAAAAATATTTAAAAAAAAATTTTTTTTAATTTTTTTAATAATTTTTTTTTAATTGTTCAAAATATTTCACAACAGAATAAGTTTAGAGCATAGCAGAATAGTGGCAGAGGTAACCCCAACAAAAAGGAAAACGAAAAAAAGATAAAATTTGAATTCGAAATAAAAGGAGTAATTTTTTTTTAAATCTGATAGTAATTTTTGGAACCCTTTCATTTCCCACTGGTTGTGCTAAAAATTTTATATCTCGTTTTCACTATCATTATCATAATGATAATTTAAAATCGTTATCAACTTAATTATTACTATTTCAATAATAATTACTATCACCGAATTTTTTTTTTTTTTTTTTTTTTTTTTTTTTTTTTTTTTTTTTTTTTAATGAAGAGGGTTAGAATATTGATTGTCATGGCCAATTGTACATATTCCTAAAGCATATCTCTCTAGGTGCTTTCATTGTTCAAGGACCATCTCAAAAGTTCCCCAGATAATTGAGAAAAGTTTATTTATCCGAGCACCACGAAAGAGAGCGGGAAATCAAACACCAGTATACTGCGGGAACAACGAGAATAATAAAATATAATAATTAAACATTTATTATAAATATATAATATATGTATATATGTATATAAATGACAGACTGCATCTCACCGGTGAATAAACTTTCCTCATACATGACCACGACAGTTATATATAAATCTTTAGATTTAGAGAAATATATATATATATGTAATATAGCATCCAACATTCAATACAAATTATATATATATAATAATCAGAATAGGGTTCTAAAATGTTAATTGGTTTTAACATTTTTTTTAGTTTTTAATTTTTAATAATAATTTAATCCTGTATGATGAAGTTCCAAAAAAGTATTTTTTTTTCTTATATAAAGTTCATTATTGATTTTTTAATTATTCACTAGTACATGATATTTCCGAGGTACTTGATTTCAAAATTTAAAATATTTTAATTTGAAAACGCTTAAATTAAAAAAATTTTTAATTTTAAAACTTTTATTAAAAAGTATTTTAATGAAAAAAATTGATTGAAAAATGGAATTTACAAAAATTGATTTTTATCTCTATTTTCACCAAGTTAAAAAAAAACCTCTAAAAAGCATAAAAAAAATGGAATATTTAAAAATTCTATTCTATTCAAATAACACAAAGAAGAGAGTTAAATTTATTTTTCACTTTTAAGCTAAAAATATGATTTAAAATTTTTAATTTTTAATTTATATTTTAAAACCCTTATACAATTTATATATTTAATTAAAATAAGAGAAGTATGAGAGAAAAAAATATTAAAGTTTTTCCGATTCTTCACTGTGATACATATATATATATATAAAGAAAGAGAGAGATATATAGAAAGAGAGAGCCAAAAATATATAAAAAAATATAATAATAAAAATATATGAATACTGATATAGGGATTATAAGAAATATATATATATATATATATAATATATGTGTGATAAATTCGATATAGACAGATAAAAGAGAGACTGCAGCTGCACATCGAGTTTCATGCAAAAAAACATTGAATAATAAACGCTCAAAAATGAAACGTACCTAAAAAAAACTTAAAAGAAAAAATTAAAAAAAAATTAAAATAAAAAACGAACAATTTGTAAAAATAGAAAAAAAATTTCTGAGACCCAGAAACAGAAATATTTATTTTCAGTGGGAAATGATTGAAATAATCAATGTAGAATAATTAACATTGTTGATATTATTCAAGAATTTATTAATTAGGGTTATTATTATTTAAATGATCAGGGTTATTAATTTAATTATTAAGGTTATTAATTTAACTATTACGATTATTTTTTTAATTATTACGGTTATTAATTTAATTATGAATTTAGGTTATTAGTTTAATTAATTATTAGTTCTACAAGAAAAATTAAGCACTAAGTTTTATTAGTTTCTAAAAATTTTCTATCATATAAAGGAATTTTACTACAAAAAATATTATTTCTCTTGAATTATTTGTAATGAGGGATTAAAAAATATAAAATAGAACAATTTTTATAAATCTAATGATAATTATAGTATTTTTAATTTTGTCTACGTATTAACTACAACAATTTTTTTTTCATCCCCTTCCCTTTTTCTAGCATTATGATCTTTCTTCGTGTATCTGTTTTGTAGTTTTCAATTTTTTACCATTATTTTTATTTCGAATATCAGTTAAAAAGTAGTTTATTTTCACTCTCACTTTCATTTTTATTTCCGCTTTGACAAATATTCATTTTCACATTTTTTTTTTTTTTTTTTTTCTTTAATGAAAATCTGTCAAAGAAAATATCCCTAAAAATATAAGAAGATTTTATTAAAGTGAAAGTAAAACTGAAAGTTAAAATCCGTCAAAGGAAAATCCGTCAAAGTGGAAGAAAAAGTGAAAGTGAAAGTCAAAATGAAATTATACAATCAACCCTTTTTAAAAAAAAAAATTATGAATGTATCGTGAAAAGTGAAAAAAAAATTTTGTTTTCCCTGCACGACTTAATTGTTATTTCAATTTAAATATCAAAGAATCAGTTACAAAACTGAAAAAATACGTACAGATACAAATTTAAGCAGATCGTGGTGGCTAGCAGTGGGAAATAATATTGAGTGGTCCTTGCATCAATGCAATCAACGAAAAACACAGAGAGAAAATTTAATAATAATAATAATAATCGAAAAAGAAGATGGATAGTAAAAAAGAAGTAGAGGGTGGACATCGCGACCTTCCGGCTGCTTCTTCGCCCTTCTACATCTTGGTCCAATTATTAAAACAAATATCTCATTTTTCTATTTTTAAAAAAATTTCTGTAGCCAACTACAAAGGAGACAAATGGATCATGTACCTCATGAAACTGTCAAATAAATCCTAGCATACGAACTACCGTAAAAAATGTTTAATACTCTCATTAAAAAAAAAAAAAAAAAAAAAAAAAAAAAAAAAAAAAAAAAAAAAAAATCTTTCGTTTTTAAAATATATTAAAAATCCATTATTCTCCCCTCTTTAAGAAAAAAAACCGACAATCAAAATGCAATCACAAAAGAAAGTAAAAAAGTATTTATTATAAAACTAAAAAGCAGTTTTCAAAAAAAAAAATTATATTTCATAGACTTTCATTGGTAGACATTTTTGATGAGAAAATTGTTGACACAAGCAAAGTAAAAAGATAATATAGTCCAATTCTTAATATTCTGACGAAACTTGTGCTTGACTGCTGAAATAAAAGCCACATCAGTTTTTTGACAACATTATTCGTAAGAAAGACAAAAAAGAAACGTATACCCTTTCGAAAGTGTTCTACACTTAAAAAGAAAAATTTCTTACTCTTGTCTAAAGGAAGTCAAAAAAAAAAAGAATAGCAATTACGCAATATCGCAAAAATCTATCTACTTAATAGTAATATTTAAAAAAGTACTAAAGAATTTTTAATTCTTAAAAATCACCTGTAGAGAATATATAGAAAATTAAATGTATTTGGTGAAAAAAATTATTTGTGTTTAAGTAAAAAAAAAAAAAAAAATTTCAAATCAAAACGAGAAGAGAAAAAAATTTTTTGTAAAAATTAAATGACATTCGTTTTTACTTTTTCACTGTAGAATTAAGTGAGTTTCGTATTTAATGAAAGGATTATTATTTTCATACCTTGCTATTTGCGAAGAGAAGACCAACGCCTTCCATGCACACTTGAAGAAGACCACCCTCACCGGTTCGCATATCTTGGACTGGAAATTCGCCGCCTAATTCGACACCGACATTGGCGCCACGACCTCTTGCCGCGGCCTTCTCCATTGCGTCTTTTATACAGTAGTAGAGATCCTTGCACTGGAATTTTAATATTTGGTGAGTTTTTTTTTTAAATTTCTTCAACATTCATCCAATAGTCAGTACACTTTTGAGTCAAAAGTGGACTGACCATTGTTGAAGAAATTAAAAAAAACGAGATTTAAACAATAATTTTAATTTTCATGACTTTGGGACAGAATTACAACACTCGCCAGAGTGTTCGGAGCCATCGATATAAAATTTTGTAAAATTAAATAAACCTACCTTTTTTGTGTAGTACTTGTGCAGTTGCGTTTGCCCTCCGTTCCGCCTCCAAAGGCAGAGAACTTTATTCTTCGGGCTGTAAGTCATATTGACTAAACGCTCGTACCACCATCGCTCAACAATCACACCATTAACGGACCTGAGCACCAGTCCGTCATGTCGTACTTCTAAAAAACGTAAATCACCCTCGGCATCGACTCCCGCGTGAACGGTAAACGACTGACGATGCATTTGTCGGGAATTTAGTGGTTTCAGATCGATATCGTTTCCATTCTGAAATCAAACAATCATAACAATAGTAAAAACCTAATTTTAGTTTTTTTAGTTTCATTAAAGTTAAACCGGTCAGGTTACTCCAATTTCCCCTTTGCCATCTTGAATATCACTTACCAAATTATTTATCTGATCGAGAAGTTGATTCAATTCCTGACTATAGATAAGGCCGATATGACTTTTGCCAAGTAGTCTTCGTACTTTGCCTTTAACTTGATTTTTGTCGACATTCAACATGACTAGGATTGCTGTTAAATTGTGGAGTAAGGTACACAGTAATCTGTCCTCATCGTGTTCTAAACGTCTCCTTTCGCTGTCACTGAGGCCCTTGTACCTAGAATTGAAAAGGAGTCGAAGTTAAAAAAATTGTATGAACGACTTAAGGGGTTACCAATCATCAATGCATTCAAGGAAAGGGATAGGAAAATAGACGATGAAGGGTCTTAGATACCTTTCCATCATTTCTCCTGGTCCTTGATCCATTCCCATCATGTCCCGCTCTTGAGAAACAGCATCAAGAAAAGCATCCTCCCAAAATTGTACTTGGTCCCATAGAGATGCTCGTTCTTTGCCTAAGAGTCCTAGAGTGGACATAATTTTTCCATGAAAACTAATACTTACTAGGTTACAGCAAAGGGACAAATCGATCTACTGATCGAATTGTCTAGACACTAATTATTAGATTTCCGGAAAATAGGAATATTTTTGCTACAAACCTTCAAAGAGGTACGTTCTTGCTGCTTCTGGACTTGGTGTTGTCGTTGTTGGTACCAAATTTCCTGCATGATATCTAAAACCCGTACTGAGAGATGATTTACTGGACCAAACACTAGATGTCCTTTGCTTCTGCCGAGGAAACTTGGGAAAGTTAATTAATGAAAGTTGTTATAACCGAAAGTAGCTAAATAATTTTTTGAGAGGTTAAATTAACTAGAATAGTATTTCCACTTACGTTCCCTTGCTCAACCTCACTGTCCGAAACGGTACTGCGGAAAGAAGCCTGATGCGTCTGTCTAAAGGCGGGATTTGTCGTTATACTTCCTCCGTCCGTTGACAACGCTTCACTACTTCCTGTTCCGCCACCTCGACCACCCTAAAATTTATTTCAACTTTTTTATCAACCAGACGTAATGCTTCTGTCACGTCATCGCGACGCACTTATATTCTATTAAAAACATTTTGTAAAAGTTAAGAATAACTGAATCCTTGTTCAGAAATCTAAAACCATATTGATCCAAATGTTCGCACAAATCAAAAGTTAGCCTTGCCGAATTCGCTAGTCCAGGTAACGCCTTCAACTCAACTAGTCTGGAAGTCACCCTTGAATCAGAAACCCGCGTTCTTCGTATCAGTCCAGAAACCGCGACCAAGTTAATAAGTTGTATATTGTCGTCGAGTTTATTCTTCGTCTCCAGTTTCAAAAATCTCTTCAAGTACCAAGTGTATTCTTCTAGTCTCGTCTAAGTCAAGTTCATTCAACGAGATAATATTTTTCCGATGACTGCATTATTTCGACTTCAACGTTAAATCAATAATTTGACACCTGGACTCCAGACCTTTCACTTTGGCTGGCCCGAAAACATTTCAAGGAAAATCTATTGCCTTCTCTGTCTACGCTAGACAATGTCACTTCTTCGACCTCACACTAAAGCCTGTTGGGTCTACGACTCTAATAATAATATTAAAAAGTAAGTAACTAATACTTTTAAAATTAGTCCCCAACTAAATTCTTGATTGATTCTACAAAGTCCGTATTTGCTTCAGTATCCCTGAAGACATGACATTTGGATCTACTATTTCCCTCTCATTCTAATTGTAAAGGATTCAAATAAAAACTTTAGTATTTTAACATCAATTAAACAGATACTCTTTCTTAAAACCTGTTCTTTGAAATCAGAGTGTTCGACTCTGTGAATTTTATTTTAATATTTCCTTACCTCTGAATCAAACGAAGTCAATCTACTTAGAAGTTTTCCCTTCTTCGTAAACATTTCTAGGAACATATCAGCAGTGGATTGAGAATCCTCGCCACTTGATTGAGAGTGAGGTCTCTCCAATCGAACCTGCGGTGGATCTAAAAAAGACAACAACAAAAACCAATTGATATTTGACTATTTTGCAAAAAGAAAAACCAGGGATTTATAGGTACCGTGCAATCGATGACTATCGCCACTGTCCACTTGATCCTGAGCTTGTGGTGAACGAAGATTTTCCTTACTTCCAAAAGGAGTAGAAGCCTAATTAATAAATTTATAGTAGTTGTTTAATTCTCTACAGTTTCTAGGTCTCTTTTTCATAAATACAAAAATTGACATACCTGCGACATTAGGGAACTATCAAAACCACTTTCCAGTAAATCCTTACTCCAATAGTGGGTGTGGGCAATTTCCATAAGTTGGAAGACAGAAGCCATACCACCCAAACCGAAATTACTGTAAGTCACTCCAAGACCATGAGACACTGCTTGTAAGCATTTCAACATTCCTTTGTAAACCGATTTTGAAATACACTAAAATGATACAATTATCAGTTTAAAATCTTACGATTCTAGAAGACTTGAGAAAAATGAAAAATATAACTAACCACGTCGTCTATATGATCGTCTGGACTTATTTTTCTGTGAAGACCCTTGTTCAATTTGGTCAAAATAAAATCCCGATAACTCTCATCCTCCATTAAAGTCTTTAGTCGATTTAGTTTCAACCAACCCACACCTTCTCCCGCCAGAACTTGATTTACAACCTGAGCGAAAATTTATTTCAATTTGCGAATCAAGAAAATTATTTTTAATTACAGATATAAAAACTGGGAAAGTTAGGAAACTTACATCAGTCAAGAATGTCTGATTATTGCTATTTGTACTCGATCTTTCGGCATTTTGCATTCTCTGCAACTCTTCCTGACTATTTTTATTAGTTGAGTGCTTAATTAAAGATGATCGTTCTGCCAAGCCAGGTTTACCTACAAATTTCCAGAAGGTTAATTAAAAAGAAAAATTAAACAAAATTCCGTGCTAACGTAATGACGAATGTGCGTACCTTTCGGGAAAGGTCCAAATGAGAGGTTCTTTTCTTTGGATTTTTGTGATTGCGGTAGGAAGCTATTGTTGCGACTAGAACTATTTTTACTACCTGCAGATTAAAGTGCATAAATGTATGTAAATTTTTATCGCAAGCCAACTATGCAAACTATTTCTTAGCGTAAAAATGATGAAATCATTATCAACATTTCAAGCGCGAGAAAATTATTAATGATTTAGAATTAGGATTAAAATGTAAAAAGACAGTTTAGGTCTTACTGAATAGATCGCTAAACATGCTGGAAGTTTGAGCTGCAATTCCGTTCAAGTCGCTGCTGATGTTGCTGAAGAAATCGCGACCAATTTCACGTCGACCACTTCGAGAATCAGGAGCCACCAATTGTGTGCTATTGGAGTCTTTGCGGGGCATCATTCCTGGTCCCGGAGCCTCTGGTGATGATTGGGAGTCTCCAAGACCCTGTAAATTGAAAAACGATATTCTTTCCTGACGCGAAAAACTCAACGGCGATTTCTAATCCAACGCGTCGAGATAAGAAATCTTCTCCGTGACTTAGCTTTAGGTAAAAGAGGAGTACCTTAAGTAAACCCTTCTTTGCAGCTGCCTCCTTAGCCGTCTTGGTTAAATCGCCAATCGTACTCTTTCCAACGTAGGTAAGATCATCAAAAGTATTCTTACTAACCCCAGCTGCATTCTTGCTTGCCTCTAAAGCAGTCTTCGATGCCTCATGCATAGACTTACTAGCCTCCCCCATTGCCTTCTTTGTCTGCTGCGTTAACTGCAGAAATAAAATTACATTGCCTATAGACAAAAATACTCAACTATCGCATTATTTTAATGAAATCTTTTCTTTAATGGAATCTAAATGTATTCAAGCAGGGTCTGGTGAAGTGCCTTTCTAGAAATAATCAAATACACTCTCAGCGTTTATTCAGCGAGCTTTCCAGCACTAATTGGTGATAATGCGCGCTATTTTGCTAAAGGAACTTTTTTTGATCAAGATACCCCAGGTTTTTTTTTAACGACATTTCATTAATAAATGTACCTGTTCTAGTGGGGCAAACAAGCTATCTTCTCCCGCTTCCGCGATCTTTTCTTTCGCTTGATGCTTTAACTAAAATTAACAGAACAACGAAATTTGTTGTTAGAATACAACAACAACAACAACATAAATAACCTGGTGATGATTAGTTTCCTTTTTGTCATAAATCGTCACCAAGAAACAAGGAATAATTTTAGGTAAAGAGTCCAATTACCTTGTCCATGTGGGCCAATAGTCCTTCCTGACTACTTTGCCTGGTTGTTTCACGAACCAGACCTTTGGCCTGAGATGCAATTTGTTCGAAAAGTGATCCCTGAGATCCCTGTCTGAGAACTCCATTACCCGTACTTCCGGAACTATTTTGATGTTGTACTGGTCCACTTGCTTGCCTCCCTGGACTTGATGTATGCTTTGGAGAACCTTGAACACTACTCTCAGGACTGCTACAAGGCGCTGTTGACTGTCTCGGTAAAATTGGAACTGGTGATCCAAAACTTGACGTTCTTGCCAAAACATTACCCACACTTGGTTGTCTAGATAATCCCGGACTCATTGGTGGAGCCTAAGGAGGTTTAATCGTATCAGAATATACATTTTTTTACTTTAGTTTTCGAGAGTATTAAATTATTGTATTCTGACATCAAAAATTGTACCTAAGAGAATTTTTCGTGTCGATATTACTGTGAGGAAAAAGAATTATTAGAGCTTGGTCTACTTTTAACTCTCGTATCGTTTCTTCACCTCTATTTTTCGAAAATGTATCATAAAGCACAAGATATCCTAGTGCAAGAAGGAGAAACGATATTCTATGAGGGTACCTAGACCAGACTCTACTAACGAATAGAAAAAACACAATGTTAGTGTATGGTGTACAATAATAAAATTGGAAATTAACAATCAAGTGAAGGTGCAAATTTCAATTATGTCAAAAATACACTTAGAGAAAAAGGTATGCTAGCGATTTAGATAAGGAAGACAACTAAGGGTTTATCAGTGCTGATTCATTGCAGGAAATTTATATTTGGTGATCATTCAAGGAATTCGTAACACGTGCTATTTAGATAGACAGATCCGTAGATGCATCCTGTTATTATTGTGCTATAGATAAGTATTTCGTTCTGTTATTTCCTTCTCATTTCTTAATTTCAACTCATCACTAATTTTTCGAATCAATTTTGTCATCGTAATTCTGTTAATTTTCAGTTTTACATTCTCATTACTAAAGAGCATGATTGGAAAAAACAGGACGCAATTGTGTGCTGAAAATTAGGTGCAAGAGTTAATTGGATGTCCAACGAGGAATTATAATCTTTTTTGTAATTTGAAGATCGTATCGTTTTCGTAGATTAAAAATAGATATTTGCGAAAGGTCCTTTTTCCTAATAGAAAAACAACTATTTTTTTGGCTGGATTTGTCAAGATGACGGTCCTGAAAAAAGTTTCATTCGCGTCCCGATGTTAAACCCTAAAAACCCCCAAAAAATCCCTGATGAATTTCTACCAGGCCCGATTCACTAAGACCCATAAAATTTCATTAGGAGTCCACACTTGAAACACTCCCAAGTCTTTAGGACCAACGCTCCATAATTGAACCCCTTGATGCAAGAACCAGACATAGCCCATTGAAATTAAATAGGCTGCGTCTGGTTCTTGCATCAAGGGGTTCAATTTAACAATTAAATTTATCAGTTTATATACTTTTTTATTTGGTTTATTTTCCATTTAAAAATATTTTTATCAACAAATAGTAAATAATCCCGCAAAAGAAAAAATAATTCCCATTCGTTGGACATCCTAAATACATAAATTGAAGAATTAATATAGATAGAGAATAAAGGATATGAAATGAGGCAGGCACGAGAGGACTGACTCACTGGAATGTTAGATTTAGTAAGACGAAATGTCCTGTGGGGAGTTGTGGGGCGATCAGAGTCACTGTGCGAAGGGGTTGCTAAGGATCCCGTGCCAATTCCATGTTGGCCTATTGTACTTTGTGCGCTCAGGATTGTGCGAAGTGTCGTTGTCGTTGACGCTGAATCTGATTCAAAGCTACCGCCCTCCGTCTTATCCTATGGGGTTCACCGTCACTGCTCTATTAGCAAGGTCCCACAACGTTCGACAAATAAGCATCAAGCATTCTTTTCCAATTGACCAAAATATCTCTTTGTCGAAATCCAAATATAGATTATTATATTTTAAGGTGGACACGTCCTTTGGTCGATTGGGAAAGAGAAAAAATTGCAGTGACAATAAATGTTAGAGCGAATAGTTGCCATTGTCGTGTTTAAGCTGTTAAAGCATTGATTTACTATTTACAGAAATTAGGGTTATTTGTCGTATCGTCAAGAAATTTTTTTGAATGTCTAGAATGTTTTGTCACTGGAAAAGAATTTTTAGTAGGATGGGTAATACTTACGTTGTCGCTTTTCATTGTCTGTGAACCCTCAACGGCTTTTGGGTTCAATTCGAATTCAGAGTCTCTGTTGAAACTCGGACTACTCAAGTCACTATGGCTCGATGATGTGCTAGGTGGACTTTCAGGCCGAGCTGGAGAATCTTCATCCACTCCGGGATATTGTAAGGAACTCGGTGGGTTGTAAAGATTCTTTGGATCCACGGCAAGAGGCATTGGATGTATATGATTCACTAGAAGGAGAAAAAGGTAAAGTGACTACTTTCACGTATGGGTAGATTTATTACTTACTGGGAGAAAGATCGGATGACACCATTTCAGAGACAAAATCACTGAGGGACGAATAGGAAGAACTGGTACTTTCCGCTCCTTCAGAATCGGAACCACTTTCGTCAGTTGGCTGACTCTCGTGTTCCTTCATCGCCTTCAAGGCATTTGATAGCGAACTTCCTGAATCCCAAACCGGGAAGTGAATTGGTTCGAGTCCACTTGCATACCATCGGGACTTGTCTCCAATTTGAGCGGGATCAAAAACACCGGTTTGAACTCTCAAGAAGGCGACGTTGTTTGGTGTTAGACTCCATTCGGCAAGGAATTCAACAGCCTGAGTTCTTGCGAATTCGTTCAAAAATTGACTCGCTCTTGGTCGTGATCGTAGGAATGAATTTATTTGAAAAGCCACCACTGGTCGTGGATAAAGCCTTAGGGTTCGGGTATGTTCGGTGAAATTTGCGAGAAGATTTTGTGAATTGAAGAAACGTACCATTGCCACTCTTGTGGCAATATCTACCGAATCGACATCACTGCCGTAGATGAAGGGATTGAAAGGAGCTGTTGATTGATTCTGTGGACGTTGTGGTGATGCGATAGAACCTGTCGATGCTGCCATTGATGGTCGTCGAGGACTCGTTGCACTCGGTGAACCCAGTGGACTAATGTGAGTAGGAGTAGTTAAATCCATACTTGGTCTATGCTTTGCCGACGAGACACTGTAATAATAATTCCTAATATATCCAATAGTCCACGAACACTTCAAAAACAGATTTTCGAAATTACAATTTTCAAATCAATTTTCAAACAATCAAAATATTCACCTCAAGGTAGAATGATAAGAAGCAGTGCTCTCCCTTCTACTCGAGGCTGAAATAGACGGTGCCGATCCAGACTGCGGAGTGAATGGATGACTTTGAGGAACTGTCATGCTACTCATGGCCTTAAAAAGAAGTTAATTCTGGAATTGCTTTCCTCTTTTTTGCTCATATCCACTTCTACTTCAAACTTCTACTGTTACTCAATTTGCTACTATAAACTCTGGCCACTATTGCAAATCTATAACTATTTTTTGTTGCGTACATGAAAGTTAATAAGTTCAATCGTACAAAACAGTAAACACTCCATTAAAAGAGGATCCTACTTTAGCAGTCCACTCTCTTTTATTGTCTACTCCGAAGTTCTTACCTGAAGAGTTGTCCCTGCAAAGATTTATATATCAGAGATTGCTAAAATATATCAATAAAGTAGGATCCCCCTTGATTTAAAGCAAAAGTAAACTTTTTCCATGTATACACACAATCAAACTACATCAAGCTAGAATAGAATTTTAATGTTTAGATAGTAGATTTTGAGAGATTTAGTTTCTGCCCATCTACTTTAATTCTATCTAGAATTTCTAAAGCGGTAAATAATTATCAAAAGCGTTAATTAAATTTCTCTAGATATACAGTTTCATGCAACAAAGAATAATTTATCAAGTTAGAATATTTACACCAGAGCCAGCTTGGTCCATCAGTTGCATTGCCTGCGGAAGGCGGAAGCAAATGAGCAGCGGGGGATTAGAAGAAAGTTTCAGTTAGTATAAGAAAACGGTTAAGAAAAGTTAGTTTCTAGTTGAAAGTTTTTTAAATTGCAAAATAGAGATAGTACATATCAAAAGGGGGGGTGGAAAAATATAGAACATCCCAGGATTTATATAATCAGCCCATTAAGTAGCAACATTGAAACACCCATTCTGTTGTTCTTGCTGTGAAATTAAATTTTAATGAATGCATATTTTCTTTTTAATCTCTATTGACATAATACCAAGGAGAATAGAATTAGACCAACCTGTTTCAGATGATTTTTCAGTATCGTCCCTTCGGGTTCCGGTAGCGGTGGTAGAATATCATTGTATCTCGTTGGTGGTGTAATTTTATTACTGTCTAGGTCAACAAGCCAAATATCGCCTGGCATTTTGAAATTCTTTTTATAAAGAAGAAATGACGCTGGTATTCCAATCACGAACGGTGTGGGACTCAGGAGTAATTGTTCAGCGTCACTCATACAAGTTGGTAACAGAGGAATTGTGGGAAACATGTATTCCAATGGATAAATCATGGTGACGAATGCCATTACAGACATTGATAAGGCATTATAGTCACGGGATTGTAATACGATCTGTAATAGATTGCAATTATTTTTCTCTTGAATTATTAACTTTTTGGCAAATATTTCGTCCGTTAAATCTTTGCCAAAGTACTAGAGGTAATTGTTCAATTAGTGATGGCAGCTTACCTTGTGTTCGAGTAAAATTAGAGACATAACTTTCAGGCATATGTCAACACCAAGTAATTCGAGTGGTAAATGTAGGGGGAAGTCGACCAGGGAAAATCTGGTGTGATCTGGAAGAGCAAAACAAAGTGGCGGTTGTATACTGGGTGAGAGGATTTCCACTTCGACTCTTGTTTTCGACGGGACCGGTACTGGTGCACTTAGTAAACGTAATATCCATGTTTCGATTTCGCGAATGTCGTGAAGAACTATTGACGAAGCTCCTTCAAAACTCAAACCGGTGAATACTGTCCATAAGGATTCTCTGTAAAAAAAAGGAAATTAAATTATCCGTTAACCTAGAGGTTTATTAAAAGGATTATTGAATATCAAACCTGGTACTCTGTCGTGATGCTCCACATCGATGGGGAGTTGTTGTTTCGTTGCAGGCGTCAATGAGCTTCTTTAAAACAAATAGGCACTCTCGAAACATTGTGAAAAATGGATGATGTGAGATGATACAGAGTGAAGTCAGCGAAAGATTCTTCATCCTCTGTTAAAGAGAAAGGATAATTGGGTATGTTGTATAAATTGGTAGTCAAGGAGTTATTTAAAAGTTCGCTTAATAAGAATCTGATAAATACCTGACGCTTTCGAGACGCCCTAGGTGATGGAGAATGGCTACCTCCACTTTCGCTGTCACCACTCGGAGCAGTTACGCCTAATTTAGGAGCATGGGGAGCATGAGGCGTATCCGAATCCCTTCGACTTGGACAATCCTTCTCCGAATCACTTGGACCTATCACACTGCTTCTATAGTCGCTATAAAAGAAACAACTCCAGGTGAGTTCTTTTTTAGCATCGACAATTATTTTCCTTACTTTCTTTACAGAAACAAAAGAGAAATCACTTGTGTTCCCCAAGATTCCCTAAATTCTATCTTTAAAACTGTTATGAACAACTTTCCCAATGGAATTCAAATCTAAAATCCCCACAATTGTTAAGTTTTTTCACCTGGAGAATGCGGAATCGGAACTCTTCTCCATACTCTTCCTCCAGCTCTCCCTACGGAAATTGGTGTTGTGTTTGTTTCTCCTAATAGCACTTCCGGCATTTCCATGATTTCCCGTTCTCTCAACCGGTCTATAAAAATTCACACAAGTCCCATAACGAGTTCTTCCTGTAAATTAATACACTTGTAATTAGACACCCTTTTATTTCTAACTTTACCGAATAATGAATATTTCAGAACTTTGGGATAAAATTACCGAAACATGGATTAGAATTAGAAATTACAAACCACAATCCTTATCGGTGAGAGTAAATGTGAAAGATGTGGCTTCTCGCAATGCCGTACGCTTTGGCCCGATACTGTTGCAATATTCGGGTTGACAAAAATAAACCATATCACGTGGTAAAGGAAAGTCTTTATGATCTTCGATCGGGTACCTTCGTAATAATTCCGGTACCTATGGAAATATGGATTAAAAATAATTAGCAGTAATCATAATTAAGTGACCATCAAGCTAGCATACATTAAATTAGTTTAATTATTGAGCCAGTGGTCAGAAAATAAGTTTACCTGCACAGGCTGGCGAGAATTCGGCGAAGGCCTGGCCCCCACTACGGCGAGGTAATCCACCAAGCGAGGGCACAGGAACTTCTTTTGTATATCCATGCCTGTCGATTAAAAAATCGTCACCGATGTGCCAATCGTGATGTCTCGCTTGTATCCGGCGGCTTCACACATCGCATCATGGTTTCAACATTCTCCAAAAATTCCACTACGAAATCTGTAAACATTTAGAAAATTTGGTCAAAACCGGACAGCATTAGAACTGTCAGACAAATGTTAAAATCACCAATTTATTTCTGCTTTTCATTTCTAATTTCCGAATCGAACCTCAAACTTGATCTTCCTCTTTGCATAATCAAATAACTTAGATTTAAACAACATTGAACCTACTAAAATATATAATTAAACCTCATTGTCAATTATTGATCATCAGAACCAGCAAAGAAAGATTTGACATTTACTTTCATCCTTTAAATCACTTTATAGTTATGGACAAAAGTAGTGATTGTAATATCATATAATCGATGAAGGACAAACCAATTAGAAATGCTTCTTACTGAACAAAGTGAACTTCGGGATCATGTTCTACAGCTAATATTATACAATGGCTAAATGTTGCCGTAAAAGCTATTATCAAGTTCGTTTATTCTTCAAATCGGAAATACCAAGGATGAGATTTATTAGGATTGAATCATTAGGAGGAAAAGTAGAAAAGTCCTAATTTTATCACCACTTAATTATTATTTTTCCACTAAATTTTGTATTTGTAGAAAAACCAAACCCCCAGAAAAATTACTCGACATTTGAATAGAAATGTAATAGAATATCGATTAATTGAGGAACCATTTTGGCCCTATCTCAACTTTTCCCTCCACTTGATTATTATGCTTTCTTTTCTCTCCGACTGTAAATTTGGAAAAATTTTAACAACGAATTAACACATAGTGTCAATTAAATTTCACAACAAGAGAAGTAAAAAAAATTGTACGTGAAAAAAGACTTTCGTTCATGAACACTGTATTAGGCAGCTTCCCTTCGTAATTGACGTTTGCAACAGAGAAAAACTTTTCTCAGCTCGACACACTTAAAATAATGGTGAGAGAATAATGCGAAAAAAAAAATAAAAGTGATAAAGAAAAATCACGTACGTTTGAGGGATTAAATTGAAAGCTCTCTGAGAAATTGTATAAAACACTGATAAAACTAATATAAAGTATCTATCGTCGAGTCTCTGATGGACGGATTCACCTTTTGTGCACTTGCGCGGCTCACATATATAGGATTTTTCTGCTGATTCAATCCTGCGCAGGTTCCTAAATTCCTCTCCATCGAAATTCGACTTTCTTTTTAATTTTACTTTCTAAGTATATTAATATTAAATTAACTTTTTTCTGCAATTAAAGGAATTCAACATACTTATTGAATAAAAATAAAATTAGTTACATTTTATGTTAAAGTGGTCCATTTAATATTTAAAATAACTGTATTTAGTAATTTTATTGCAAAATAAGAGGTAAAAATTATAATAAATATTTATTATAATTATGAAAAAAATAATTAAATTTAAACAAGAATGAACCTAAATGAAAAAAATTAAAATTTAACCTCATTGTCAATATTTTTTCGACGTTAACGAAAGCTTTAATAAAATAGTGTAAAAAAAATTCTTAAAAAAAATTTTAATAGTTCTCTGAAAAACATTGTAAATAATTGTTAACTCGTCCATGTCAGGACGAGGAAGCCTCCGGGGTCGTCGAAGAGTAAACGGTGAGTATTATTGTTATTGAATAATTTTTGCATGTTAAAAAATGTGCATAATGTGTTAATCTCCTATTCTTTTGGATATTTTCGAGTAAATTATCCTGGCGCTAAGAAGAAAATATTTTCTTTAAAATTTAAAAGTAATAGTAAATTCAAAGTGTTTATAATGTACATACCTGACCTATTGTCAAATAGTTAATTGATTTTGGTTAAATAAAAGTTAAAAAGTTGAAAAATAGAATAAAATTTTAAAATAAAAAATTTAAATAGTTTTTGAAATAAATATAAAAAATTAAGTTAAATAAAATATTATTTATTCTTAAAAATAATTTGAATAGTTCTCTGAAAAACATTGTAAATGATTGTTATCAAATAATTATTTATTTTAATATTAATAATTATTTTTGAATAATAAATAATTATTTTAAAAAAAATGAATAATTATTTTAATTATGAAAAAAATAATTAAATTTAAACAACATTGAACCTAATTTAAAAAATTCAAATTTAACCTCATTGTCAATATTTTTTACATGTAAATATTATTTAACTTATTAATTAAAATAAATCTAAATTAATTATAAATATTATATATTATTATATAAATAAATATTTAAATTAAATATTAAAATATTTAATAATAAATAAAACATAATTAAGGTAAAAATTTGCAAAAAATTCTAATAACTTATAAAAAAATAAATTTAAATTAATGAGCGAAGTGAAACGAAAAAAAATTAAATCAAATAGAAAGGAAACTAAAAGATAAAATTAAATCTTACAATAAATAAAAAGAAAAATTTAATAAAATTAAATTTCTTCGTTTATTTTACGAAGAAATTAAGAAAATGAAATAAAATTGGGAAGAAAAATATAATGAATAATAAAATAATAAAAAGTAAAAAATGAAAAGAAAGAACTATCTTGAAAAATAGAAATTAAATTCTATTGTAAATTTCGAACTGCTTATAACGGAAACAGTTTTTTCAACTTGTAAAAAAAAATTTTTTTTTAAATAAAATTTAATTTCTCTGTACAAAAGAAAAAGAAAAGGATAAAAGACAAGGTAACCGACAAGGGCGTCACCGAATTTCAAGTGTGCGTGATAAGCAGAAGGCAAATGGAACCCCCAGAGGAAATCAAATAGAACATCATTTTACTCTTAACAAAATTTCTTTTCCTCAGTTTCAACCTTCTCCATTTTTTTTAATCTCAATTGAAGCGTAAAACGCGATTTACGATTTTATTCTCGTACCTTCACTATAAAAATAAAAAAAAACTGTTTCTTCAGCAGAAATAAGAAAAGTTTAATATTTCTAATATTGGAGAAAAAAAATGGAAAAATAAAATTTTTATGAAATCGAAAAATAGAAATTTAATAAAAATCAATGACTGTAAATAAATAAATAAAACTAAAAGATAAAAATATTTATAATAAAATCGAAAAATAACAATTTTAATGAAATTGAAAGATAAAAAATGTAATACAATGTAAATATAAGAATTAGATAAAATTGAAAAATTTATTACAATTAAAAGTAAAATATTTTTTAAGAAACAAATAATTTTAAAATAAATGTTTAGAATAAATGTAAATCAAAATTTCCAATTGCATTAAATATTAAAATAAAAATAAAATCATAGTAAAAATTTATTTATTTATTTAAGATTCTTATACGAGATTAGCCCTTAATACAAAAAAAATAATAATAATAAAATAGTCAAAAGAGTAATAATAATAATTAATTAAAATAAAATTTTTAATTAAACTGAATAATATAATATTACAAATTGAATAAAAATTTCTGGTTTTTTTATTTTTAATGTTTAATTATTTTATAATTTTGAACTAATTGTCAACGTTTTTCATTATATTTAAATTTTCATGAAGAATTAGAATTTTTTTACAAAAATAATTTAAAAGAAAAAATTTTGTAAAATTAAAAATTAAAACCAAGTTGGAAGAAAAAAATGCATTTTATTGTCCACTTTTCATAAAATCAAATATTTTAAAAAACAAAAACACTTTAAATGATAAAGAAATTAAAAAAAAATAGAAAAAGGGATTTTATTTTATTATCGTTTTTTTTGTAAATAAAAATATTTCATGAACATGAATAAGAAAAATACCTTATAAGAAAACAAAAATGCTTTAAAGTAAAACACCGATTATTGAGAAAAAAAATCAATATATATTACTGATTTTATTTTTATGCACCAATCACACATGTGTCGGAACTCTGCGTAAAGTGACCAATATAATATTTTCAAGTATTTTTCATTATTCTTATTGTATTTTCTTCTTAAATTTAAAGTAATAATTATAATAAATAATATTAATTGTAATTAATAATTACTAATATAAAAAATATAATAATATAGTCCTTATATATAATAATATACAAAATATAATCTCTTTCTTTTTCGGTGCATGAAAATAATCTTTAATAACATAAATTATGATTTATTACCAATTTTGTCATTTTTCTAATTAAGTTTTTTACTATACACAAATTATATTGTAATTAAAGAAAAATATCAATTTGAACATTATATCAATGAAGGTCACACACTATACGTGACGACGATAAAAGTCTATCAGCCTGTCTCACTTCATTTCCGGATATTTATAATTTTTCTTTCCTTTTTGATCGATTTTTTTTGTTTTTGAATATATATATATATATAAAATTCATAACGAAAAAAATGGAACATTAGTATTCTTTTTTTCTATTGTATTTCAATGTTTGTACTTTTCTTCAAAGGTGTATTTTTATTTCATTGATTTTTCTATACACACACTTGTATTATTCTTTAATTGCATGTATATAAAAATATCTCAGTAAGTATTAAATTTTATTTTTAGAAATAATTAACTTAAACCAGTGAAAAGAACTTTACATGTATATAAGTGAAATTTTTTTGTTGCTGGACAAATTTATCATTTTTCTAAAAATAGTACTAATTAAAATAGAAGTAGTAATGAAAAATGTTTAAATAAGAAATAACAATTTAAAAATAAAAATTTTATAATAAAAATTTCTATTCACTAGTATATGTATAAATATTATTATTATTTTTACTAATTATTATTATTATTATTATATTATAATATATTATAGTATTATCAGTACCATTATTTTCTTATTTTTTTATTATTGTTTATTGTTATTGTATTTTACATAATTTACATTTTTTTTAATTATAATATTTATAATAATAAATTTTATTTTTAATTTATATATATTTATATTTCATTATTTATTAAATTGTTATTATTATTATTATTACTATGATTATGATAATTATTATTATTTTAGAAATATTTTTATTTATGTGATTCTCGTTTGCCTAGTTAAAAGAAAACTCATCACTATTCCTCTTTTGTACTTAACTTCTTATCTAAACAGTTTACCTTTTCCGCATTTAAATATTGCTATTTATTTGATTATATTTATAATAACAAGACTTTGACGCCGAATAATTATTTTATATTTATTAATTTAAAAAAATTCCATCTTTACTGTTTTTAATAAATAAACACTGAATGTTTAGTAAAATGATTTAAAAATATTTAGATTAAAATAATAAATTTGTTATAATTAATTCTAGAAAATCTTACATTTATTTATCAAATGATATTGTAAATAATATATTTTTTGAAAATAATTATTTTATTACTGTATTTTCTTGTAAAAATTTGGAATAATAATTGTAATAAATAATAATAATATCAAAGGTAGAAGATGTTAACAATCGATTAATAATAATAATAATAATAATTATTAATAATATGAAAAATAATATAATAATAATATATTTTAATATAATAATTATAGTTGTTGAATTATACATGTCTTCCAAATAGTAAAAACAAATTTGATTTATAAAAACAGCTGAAGAAAGCTACAAATAGTTTGTAAGAATTCATATTGTCGATTTGTAAAAAATATATAAATAAATTTATAAAAATATTTAAAATTTATAAATAAATGTATGAAAATATTAAAAATTTATAAATAAATTTATAAGAATATTTAAAAAAGAATGCTGAACAATAAACATTTTTGCTAAATTTATATATATTCTGAAAAATAAAAATACTTTATAAATTTTATTTTAATTTATTTATTCTAATTTTTAATTAATTTCTTTATTTTATAAAAAATTAATACTATTTTTGTTATAAGAATAAAAATGGAACTTTGTATTTATTATAATTGTATATTTTTATCTTCGAAATATCAATGACTTCGAATTAAAAAAAATTTGTTATTTCTTCACTGTTTTCTTATATGATAACAGTGAAGAAATAACAATTTTTTTTAATTTTGCAAAGAAACCCTAAAGTCTGACCTTGAAAATAGAAAATATTCACATACAACTATTTATTTTCAAAAATTAAAAATCGATGTATGATAGAAGATCGTAAGAAAAAATGCAAATTAGTCACAGCCAAAAAAATTTTGTGAAAAATTTGTCAACCCCTCCATTTGGGGGGTGTAAAATTTCTTTACCCATTTATTTAAAAATATAATAAAAATTTTTATAATTCGATTGGACTTACGTATTTGTAATTAATTGCAAGGGGACACAGTCCATATTGAATCGGTGAAAAAAACCACTTTTTTTGCCCCCACGAGATGAGAGAAAAATTTGGAAATAAAAAAAAAACTCTTGTTGCGTGGCGTTATCGGTCGGCACTTACCATTAAACTGAACAGTCGACAGTGGAACACCGGTGGGGCACAGTGCGAAACAAGTGGTGCATATACTGATAGTACGTCATCGTGTGGGCGACACATACCTTCTTCCTTCCGTGTGTGAGTGGGTGTTGGGTGTACGTTACGTCGAACACGTCGGGTGGCCTCGTTGCGTAGTCGCTGGCTTCTATTTGCCCGATCAATACATTGTCGGCCACGGGCGAGGGTATCAAAAAGACAGGGACACAAGAGAATCCTTCCCCCTTACGAGCCTCTGGTTGGAAAGAGATAGGGGAAAACAAAATTTTCATCACTCATCCTCGACCCCCTACTATACCCTGACTGGGGAGGAATTTTAATAGGTACTTTTTTCTCAAAATGTACACTAGATAAAAAATATTTTTTTTTTCAAATGTGAGCAAGACGTCCAAACGATTTCTGGAACAGTCTTGAATTTTTAATTTTATAAAAATGATTTTTAATGTACACTGTTAATTTAATAAATTGATTAATTGATATTTTTAATTAATTTTAATTATCCGGACAGTTTAGAAATTAATTGTTATTGCATAATTGTTGCAGGTTAAAAGATGTGCTTAATGTGTTAATCTCCTTACTCCGCCCTCTCTGCGGTTTGCCATGTCAGGACGAAGAAGCCTCCGGGGTCGTCGAAGAGTAAACGGTGAGTATTATTGTTATTGAATAATTTTTGCATGTTAAAAAATGTGCATAATGTGTTAATCTCCTATTCTTTTGGATATTTTCGAGTAAATTATCCTGGCGCCAAGAAGAAAATATTTTCTTCAAATTTAAATGTAGTGAATTCGAACTGTACATTGTTCATTCCTGACCTATTGTCAAATAGTTAATTGATTTTGGTTAAATAGAAGTTAAAAAATAGAATAAACTTTCAAAATAAATCTAAAAAGTTTAAAAATCTTGAAATAAATAAATATAAAAAAGTAATTTAAATAAAAAGAACGTTATAATATATATCCACTATAATAAGTCGTGCCACTTGAGCCTTAAAATTATCCTCATAACGTGGTTAGCGCCTTTAAAGGGGCTTTCGACATTAGGAGGATAATTTATGGAAAAGTGTTGGAAAAAAAATTTCTAAACGACATTTCAAAAGACTTTAGTATAACCAGTCTCAAATAAGAGTGCCAAACCTGCGCTTGTGAGAGATTTGAATCGACTTAAATCTCTCACAAGCACAGGTCCGGCACTGCAAAAGAAAATAGCCGAGTTTAATAAAAAAAAACGTCTAATGAAAAAATTCTTCAAAAAAAATGTAAGCATATGAAGAAATGAGGTCAAAGATAGGGGAGAGCGGAGAAAAGGAAATAAAGTTGACCGGATTCTAGATTCTCCTTTTATTCCCAATGAGTCAAGGGTTCATGCAAACGGGAAGAGGATCTCCCTCTCTATTACAAATTTGCGTGCTCTTGAGTTAAGTCGAGTTCCTAAAGTCTTGAAGCAATTAATTCTGATCCCTTTTATATAGGATCCCTGACACTTGTAATGCGATTCACGAGACTTTTATAAAACAAAGTTCTTTTTTAAAAAAATTCTTTTTAAAAAAATCCTTTCTATTCTAGAAATTCTTGAGGAATCGTTTCACATTCTTCTATAAAAAATTAATAAAAGACTTTTTATTAAATTGTTCAAAAAGTTATAAAACACACAATCATAGATTATATCTGAACATTTTGATACTTTTGGATAGTAGATTAATTTTTACTGATCCCACAACGAACCATATTCGTTGAATACTAAATTCGTTTTCAATTTTATTTAGTACTTTTCTTTATTACTAGATTGGACTTATAAATATGATTATGGAGCCAATTTTTGATATTGGTAATATTCCAAAAAGGGATATTAAATTAATGACGCCCTCGATAAATTACATCATATGTGATATGCCACCTTGAAATTTCTAATTTGTGAGCTTAAATTATTGTTACAAATAGAAAGAATAATAAATATAATTTTTTTTGTTAATTTATTTCAAGAATTTAGCAAAAAATATTATTATCAATATTTTTTTTACATGTTACCATACATTTTAATTCCGTCTATTTTTAATATACAATCATCAAAAAGGCACTTATATTACAAACTTTTTGAAATTATACAAAATGTCGTCGATAGAAACTAAAATACTCTATAACACTTTTTTAACAAACAAATAGAGAAAAATAAATAATCACTCTGTATACAAAAGTTAACCAAGTTTTTTTAATTTTAAATAAATTATTAATTTTTAAAATTTTCTTTCTTTACACTTAAAAATAATTTTTCAAAAAAAAAAGAAAAATTTAAATAAACAAAAATGTAAAAAATGACGAAAAAAAGAAATAAAAACTATAAAATAATTTTTAAAAAAATTTCTGAGTATTGAATATCAAATTTTTTTTTGACATATTTAAAAATAATTTTTAATCTCAAATCTATGTATTTCAAATATTTCTAGTCGATTAGAAATTGTTTTATTAATTTCAAGATAGATAAAATTATTTACTGAATTGTTCATTATTTGTTACAAATCTTGTCGTAATTTTATAAAGTCAACCACAATAATTTCACTAAATCTAATTAATTTCTATTTTATAGAATTTAGAATATAATATTTAGGATTTAAAAATTAACATGTCTTTAAATAAATAGAAATTGAGAAACATTTTCATAACATTCGACTATTTTTTAATATTCAAATTAATAAAAATAGAACAGTAATAAAAAAAAATATTTTTTAAAAATGTGTAAAAAATATCATTTTGACAAAAATACATTTTTTTAATAATAATAGTAATAAATTTTTTCCACGCTGATTTGTAAAAAAAATTACAACAAATATTATAATTATATTATTTAAGTTATTCGAGGTATTTATAAATGCATTTTTTTAAACATTTATATCATGCATATAAAAATTATAAATTTTTATGTAAAAAAAACAAAAAAAAATTTTTTTTCTTTACTAGAAAAGAAATATACGAAGAAAATTGCCAATTAAACTTTAAATCTAGTTTTAAAAATAATGTTAATAATGATTAACATTATAATATTAAAAAATAAAAAACAAATATCTATATAAAAAAATGATAGAAATAATTGTATATATTTAATTCTGTTTAGAATAAAATTAGTTTTTTAAAATTAGTTTGTAGTAAAAAAAACCAAAATACGTAGTCTTTTTGTAAAAAAAAAAAAATTTAAAAACTATTTTAACAAAAAGCGAATGCCGAATGCTTAAATTAATCTACACATTGTTTCTAAAAAAATTGACTAACTCACTTTTTCTTATTTTCGATAGAAAGATTTTAAGTAGAAAAAAAAATTTAGCTACACAACAAAATGAAAAATGCAAAAGAATTGCAATTTTCTTTTAAATCGGATGGACAGTCTGCATAAAAAATTATGAACTCTGAATCAAAATATAATTTATTATTTTAAAAATTTGGAAAATGAAATATTTCATTTTTTCACTTTGAACAATTAAAAGAGTTGCAATTTTTTAAAAAATAAAAAAAGTTTTTAAAAATAAAATTGAACTAGGTATAATGTTCAGAAGAGAAAAAATAATTTCACAATAATTTTTAATATCAAATTGTGTTTTAAAAAAATACGAAAATATTTGGACTAACTTTTCATTTGACTGTCTGGCCGATTCTTTATTAAAAAAAAAATTTTTTAATATTTCATTTTGCTATTAATTCTACAATAGTGGAAAATTATATCTACAATGACTTAAGATGAGAATGACTATGCAATGAAAACATGATTCTTGTTAATATTTAAAATAATATTAATTTTATTCTTCAAAAAAAAAAAAATGTATAAATTTAAAATTTCGAGAAGAGATGAAAAATATAGGAAATAATAAAATTTATTTATAATAAAAAATACTACAAGAATGTCAATTTTAAAAATTTTGTTTTACTTCCTAAGATTTAATTTTTTTAATTTTATTTTTAGTTTGTATTTTTAAAAATATAATTTTTAATTTTTAAAATATTGTTTTGAAACTTTAATTTCCAAAATTTTATTTTAATAAAAAAAAATTAATTTAATTAATAAATTAATTAATTAATTTAATTATTATTTTTTTTTTAATTTTTTAAATTTTAATTTATAATTTTAAAAAAAATATTATTAAAATTATTATTATTGTTGTGTGAATATTTCAAGAATCATGTTTCGTAAAAAATTTCGTTGCTGTATTTTAAATATATAAAAATTACAAAATTTCGAATTTAAACGAGAAAAAAAAATTACAAATATACTTGTAGCAAAAAAATTATTGCTTATTAAAATCTTCTTTAATCTGAAGAGTTCTTTGAATTCTCGTCATCTATAACTATGCGAAACTCCGAATATCAAAGATCGAGGGAAGTATCGCCGCCGCTATTGTCCTCGTTCAATAGATTTTTCTCCTTCTCCACGACCGTTTTCACTGCAAATAAAACTCATCATGCAAAAATAATTTTTATTTTTTTCATTATTCAATTGGCACACGTGACTTTAATTAAACACAAGATAAAAATAAAGTTGCAGCAAACATCTAATTTTTAAAAGGCAATTAATTATTTATTATTATTTAATTTTTAGTAACAAAATAAATTAATTATTTATTTTTAACTAATAATTAAATTTTAATTAATTTAATTTTTATAATAAATAAGTAAAAAAAAAATTAAAAATTTTCAACTAATTTTTAATTTATTATTTATTAACAAATTAATAATTAATTTGTCACTCATTAAAAAATTGTTAATCAATTATTCGTTTCTGTTTAATATATTATTTATCAATATAAATTTAAATCAAAAAATCAATCTAAATTATAGTAAAAAATGTCCATGCGTCTTAAAATCATGCTTGCCAACTAAATGAAAAATTCAATCAAAAAATTTGTTATTATTTAAATTATTTTGAAGTTATTTTTAAAAGAAACTATTTACAAAACAGCAATAAAATTTTCAAATAAATTTGCTCAGAAGTAAAATTTTTCTATTTAGGCTTTCATTAAAAAAAAAAAAAAAAAAAATTGAAAGGTAATAATTAGAAAAAACATAAAAGATTAAAAAAATGATAAATTTGCAAATTGCTATAAATTACAAGAATTTTTTTTAAATAGATGGCAACAGTTAAAAGAAAATGAAGTTTTTTTGAAGGTAAAAATTAGCGAAAGTCTAATAGGCGTGCAGCAATTCATTGCAAATTAATAAAAAGCCTCAAAGCACAAGTACCATAATCAAAAATAAAAAAAAAATCATGCAGACGAAAATATTAATATACCTCAATTTTTCATTTTTTTCATGCACGCTTCAAAATTGAAGAACAAGGAAATAAGTGAATTCGCATTTTTTCTTTCTTAAATAAAACAAATTTTATCGGGAAATAAGCGAACAAAACATGACAAATCGACATAAAATTCTTTTTTTCAACTATGATAAATTTTTAATTTTTTTTTTTAGAAATCTAACGAACATTTTTCCAATTTAATTTCCCGTTAATGTTATAAATAAATAAATAAATGAAATTAAAAAAATTAATTACTTTGTACTAAATGAAACTATTAACCATTTTTTAATTCCTTGTAGAAAAATAGTTAGAAATAAAGCATAAGATTTTTTTTTAATTATTTTTTAATTAAAAATTAAACTAAAAATTTAAAAATAAATTTTTTATTCTTTGGGGAAAAATAGTATTTTTTATTTGTAAAAAATAGTATTTTTTAATAGAAAACCTGTTGTTTATTTAAAATTAAAATTCAATTTTTTAAACATTTAAAATTTTTCTTTTTTTAAACAGGAAAATAATAAAAAAAATGTTTATTCCTAGAAAAATAATTGAAAATTAATACATAAAATCCGTAGAAAAATAAATTAAAAAAAAAAATTTGGGAAATAATAATAAAAAACTATTTTTATTTAACAGCTTGTTTTAAATTATTCTAAAATAAAAAAAAAGTTAACTAAAAATCAGCTTCTTAATTATTTAATATTAATTTCAAATTTTTTTCTTTCTATCTTTTTTCTAAAGTCGATTAATCATGTTCCAATCACTCACTTCTCGAAATATTATTTGTTTATCGAACAAGTTATTTTTATTCAATGAAAATTATTTTAAATTGAACGCATCAATTTTCATGTACAACACTCAATTTTCGTAATAATAATAATAATAATAATAATAATAATAATAATAATAATAATATTTTTCGTACCTTTACAAAAAAGACTTTAAATCGTCTCGATAAATAATTAAGGTACTTGTCTGTTTTTTCTTCTGCAAATTTTTCAAATAAATTTTTATTTTTTTTCCTCGAAAATTTTCGTATTAATAATTTTTTTTTCATTTTATTCAATCACGCGAACTTAAAAAACGCCTTTTTTTAAATATATAATGTACGTATATAATTTATAAATATGTACAATAATAGAGAAAATTTTTGAATTTAGCTCTGTATAAATCTTTAAAAAAAGGAAAAAAAAACACTTTTTTTCTAAACTAAGAAATATAAACTTGAATCTAAAAGAGAATTTTTATGCTTTTATATAATAATAAATTTAGTGATTTTATTTATTTTGATTATTTTTAAATTTTATTATTTAACATGTTTTGCTATTTATCCGGTTTTCGATTCTATCACAATTTGAAAATATTTTAATAAATTTAAAAAAAAAAAACTGAAAGTGTAATTTTTAAAAAATTGGTACTTAACTAATATTTATAAGCTACAGTTTACAAATATTTACTTATTAAAAATTAGTAAATTTCTTCGACTCTAAGTACAAATCTCTTTGAATTAACAATTAAAATTTTCTGTAAAATTTGAAATTTACAATAATTTTCTTTTTTATTGCCTCTCGTAATATTTTTCTTTTATAAAATTTTAATCTATAAAATTTGTATAAATATTAAAAATTTTTACCGCAAATCTACGTTTGTAACATTAGAGAAAATTAAAACAAAAATAATTTGTTAAAAAATTATAAAAAAATCCTGCAAATGAAAACAAGACAATTTTTTTTTTTTTTGAAAAACTTTTAAAAATTAAGAAAATTTAGAGTCGAAGAAATTTTTTCTGACAAATTGAAAATAATTTTTTTAGGACACAGTGCGAACAAGTATTGTCAATATTCTTAAATCTCTTATAATAGTAGTTTTTTCTAGAAAAAGAAAAATAAATAAATATAAAGAAATACCACGTGAAAAACAACTGTTAAGAAGCGTGACAGCTGTTTTGCATTAAGGAAAAAATATTTACACATGTCTACATTATTTGAAAGGTAACTATGGTTTTTCTTTTGCAAAGTGCATCGAAGAAAATATACAAAAATTATTTCAATTGAACGGAAAGAAGATGAAAAAAAAAAAATAGTGAAAATTGTGTTCTTAGCAAATAACAGAAAAAAATAATTTCAACCATTAAATTGTTTTTTTTATTATTTAAAAAGAAATTTTATTGCTTTTGTATTTTCAAAAATAGGTATTTCGAAAATGTAGTTAATTTTAAATTACAAATTTTATTTTTTTAGGTTTATTATTTATTATTTTTTAGTTTATTTTTTATTTTAAGTTACAAAATCTAATTTTTCAATTTCATTTGAATTTTAATTTTAAATTGCAAATTTTAATGCCAAACTAAAATAATTTTTATTTTATTTTAATTTTCAGTTGCAAATTTTTATTTTTTAATTTCATTCGAATTTTGAAGTTACAAATTTTAACTTTTTAATTTCATTTTAATTTGAATCTTAATTTTAAAATACAAATTTTAATGTCAATCAAACAATTTTATATTTTATATGTTCAGTTCAAAAAATTTTAATGTTTTAAGTTCATTTGAATTTGAATTTTAAACTCTAAATAGTTTTTAAAAAAATGTTGTAAATTTTAAATTTCAATATCAAACTAACAATTTTTAATCTTAATACAATTTTAAGTTACAAATTTTAACTTTATAATTTTATTTGTTAGTCAAACTAACAATTTTTAATTTTATTTGAATTTTTTAGTTCTAATATTTAAATTTTTTATGTTCATTTAAATTTAAATTCTAAATTTTATTCCAATTTTTAGTTACAAATTTTACCTTTTTAATTTAATTTGAATTTTAATTTTAAAATACAAATTTTAATGTTAAACTAACAATTTTTAATTTAATTTAATTTTTTTAGTTCAAATATTTAAATTTTTTATGTTTATTTGAATTTGAGTTTTAAAAAAATTTTGTAAATTGTAAATTTTAATATCAAACTAACAATTTTTAATTTTTATCTAATTTTAAATAAATAAATAAATAAATAAATAAAATTTTAAATTAAAAATTTTAATTCTTTAATTTCAGTTCAATTTTAATTTTAAAATACAAATTTTAATTTAAATATAACATTTTTTAAATTTTTTGTTTTAATTTTAAGTTCAAATTAATCATTTAAATTTATGAATTTTTAAGTTTTCGATTTCAATTTTAAATTATAAATTAAAAAATTTAATTTTGTGTTTTTTTAAATTACAAAAACTCAACTCTTAAAAAATAAAATAAATATTCAAAAATTTAAATCAAATTTTTCAAAAAGAAATTAATATTTCTAGAATAATAAATTTGATAAAGAGAGAAATAAATAAATAAATGAGAAGAATGAAAAATTTCCAAAAAATAAAATAAAGTTAAAAAATAAATAAATAGTAATAAAAATTGAAGTAATTAACTAAAAAGACATTTTTAAAAAAGTAATTTCCTTTTCGAAAAAAAACTATTTACATGTATTCTTCAACCAAAATTCAAAAGTTCGGTTCGTTAATTAATGATAAGCTGATAAATATCTAAAAAAAAATTTTTTTTAATTTCCTTAATAGTTGAAAATTAATTAAGAAAAAAAATTGATCATCTTCGAAAAAGCAAGTAAAGCAAGCATGCGATTAGAAATTTTTTTTTTTACAACAGTTAGTAAAGTTTTTTAACTAAACGAATTGCTCACATCTTCCAAATAAAAAAAAGATTCAAAAATAAACCAAAATTTACCAACGAAACGCTAATTTAAAAAATATTAATTGTAAAAAGTAAAATAAAGTAAAAAAAAAGTGAAAGAAAGTTGAAAAAGTAAAAATAAGTAAAATAAATTTAAAAAAAGTAAAAAATGTAAAAAGAGTAAAAAAAAATAAAAAAGAAATAATCAAAGAATAATTCAAAAAAAGAATTCAATTTGATATTCATTAGGAACACAATTTTCAATTTGTTCTTTGCCTCTTTTTTTTACAAACAAACAAAAAAAATGTTAAAAATTGAATTATTTAGCGAATACGAAAATATCTCTCTATTTGCGCCTTTTTCTAAACTTTATAAGGATTAAACACTGGACAGACACATTTCAGGACGTTTAATGATAAAAAGAAAAGATTTTCTAAAATTTAAGAAAAAAATTAAACATTTCCCTAAAATTTAACCCTGAAGAATATAATTAACTTTTCTCTAAGAAATAAAAATTTATTAACAATTTTTCACACACAAATCACAACTTTCTTTTTTTATACATTTAATCTATATACCTATCATTCATCGGTATGAATTAATTAATAAATTGGAATTTTATACTTTCCGAGTTTTTTTTAGTAAAGAAGGGAGATAACAAAAAAAAAAAAAAAACAATGAAAAAAAGAAAATATAATCAAGAACATAATTTAAAAAAAGAATTATTTTTGCTAAATAGGTTTTCTTTTCTTGTTCCGTATTTTCGTAAATAAATTATTTTCACGAAGGGGGTTGAAGAAAAATATATTATTGTGTTCTAGTAGGCTATAATTGGCGCTGACTTTTTTTTTCTTTTCAACTTTAATGCTACTATTTGGAAGAGAAGTGAGCTTGGCGTTTTTTGTTTTATTTTTATAAATATAAATATAACGAATGAAAAGCAGTCCCTTGATTTTCGTTTTTTTGATTTTTTTTCAAGTGTGTATGTACAATATTGTGAGAAAAAAAGAGAAAGAGAGAGAGAGAGAGAAAATGAGGGGCGAAATTATCATTTTTTTTTTTTTTTTTTGGAAACCGCTCAGCGCATTCATTATATCACAGATGATGATAATTTTTGCTAGTGATACTTTTTTTGTAACCTAGTACGTAGCGTCCTATTAGTAGTAGTGGTAGTACCGTTTTTCTCCGCTTGCTGTGAATTTGTGCGATGATCAATCACTGGTATCCTGAATAATTGAATATTCAAGTGTTCGCAAATTTCAATGCATACTTGCGAGCAATATCGCATCAAGTCAAGTGTCACCCATATCTGCGGAGAAAAAAGCGAAAACAAAAATTAATTATTACATTCTGTTCTATAAAAAAAAAAAAAAAAAAAAAAAATCTTTATTAATTAGTAACTTTATTTGAGGCCTAAATTAAAAACAGGGTTGCGACAAAAATTTAATTTTGTTTTTCTCTGAATTTTCCCTGATTTCAAGACAAACTTTCGACTTTTTTCCTCATCCTAAATAATTTTCTGATTTTTAATAAGAAAAAAAGAAAAAATAAGAAAAGTATTTAAAACATAGAAATATGAAAATATTCCCAAAAAAGTAAACATTTTGAGAAATAAACTTACAAAACACAGCCACAAAACAAAGTACTCCTTGATGAAGAAATTGAAGTACTGATTGAAGAACAACATCGCTGGTCCAATAAGTGAACTATCAAAATATTTCATCTCGCTTTTTGTCATGTGCGCAACCTAAAAAAAAAAAAATTTTTTATTTCGTAAATTGTTTTTCCTTCTTGAAAAAAAATTACTTAAATATCGTGTATGATTTATTATTTAACAAAAAAAAAGTGTTTTAAAATTTTAATCCTCGAAGCGCACATTTTGATCTTAAAGGAAAAAAAAAAGTAGAGAAAAATTCTAATTTTTATCTTAAAGGGAAAAAAAGTTGAGAAAAATACTCACAACGAGACGATTTGTAACTTTGGCGGCGACCATTCCAAACGCAAGAATATAAAGTACGGGATGATTTTCGTAAACGTGCTCCGCACTTTTTCTGTATATTATGAAAGCCGGTACAACGACAAAGGCCAATGGAATAATCGGCGACAAAACGGAAGTTCCCTAAAAGAAACAGAAAAACTACCCTCTCAGAGAAATCTCTTCTTGAAGAAGTAAAATAAACGAACAAAATAAATTTGAAATAGAATAATTTTAAAAAATAATTTATAAAAAATAGTCTAAAGTACAAATAACAAAATAATTATTCTAACATGTAAAAGCCATTTCTTACGATATGAAAATTAAATTTTCAATTATTTAATGAAAATTCAAATTAAAAATGCTAAAAAAAGTAATTATACCATAAAGCGAATTTAAAAAAAAAAATTTATTAAAAATATTTGGTACAAAAATATATTTTATAAACAATAAATATATCCAAATATTACAAAAAAAAATAAAGTCTATTGTATAAAATTAAGAACAGAACAAATTCAACAGTAAAAATTATTACCTCGTTATCACAAATTATTAATAAAATTAACAACTCCCTTATTCCAAAAAAGCAAAAGCTGTAGAGGAAATAAATAATTATCGCATGCAAAATGTACAAAAAATACTTTTGCAACACAGCATATAAATTTTTTTTTTTTAATTACAAAAAAGCATCAAGCATTTCTAATTAATTTTCATGCAACAATTAAAAGGAAAAAAGTCCATTCAAATGCATGCAAATTCTATAAAACTATTAGTAGAGGGAAATTTTTTCAGGATTATTTTACACAGGAATTTTTATTGTTAAGGAAGAGAATAAAAATGTAGGATATTTGAAAAAATGACTCTCTTGTCTTCTCACTGAAAAAACGATAATGTGTTTGAAAAATTGTTTGTTGTATTCGAGAGATTCAGATCCAGGTTACTTTTTTTTAAAAAATTTTTAAAAAAGAAGAAAAATGTTTTTAAAAAAAATTAAATTTTTTACAAATGGGAAAAATTCATAATAATAATAATAAAGCTGGGGATCCTAAAAATTTTAAAGTGAAACGAAATAATAATAAAAATAATTTTAATGTTATTACAAATTTTAATAAAATAATACTGAAAACAAATCTAATATTTATTTAAAAATAAAAAGAAATAATATACATGACGCTTTTTGTTAAAAAAAAACTTTGGTTGGCAAAAAATGATTATTTATATTTAGAAATATTTTTACTCAATTAATGATTCGGTTTTAATTACTTGAATTTAAAAATAATTTTCATTTATCGTTTAGTATTTAAAATAGTAACTAAAAATTGTTTTTGACTTCAAAAATGAATCTTAAATGAAGTAAAAACTTTTCTAAACATAACCTATAATTTTTTTCCCCGCGTAAAATCAGCCCATTTCATGTAAAAGATGTTGACACGTCAAGACCGTGTTGACGTCTGCGAGTTGCTAGCCGCGCGCCGGCTTTTATATTCGTCTAATCCGGGTGGGGATGGCAGGGACTGAGAGGAGAGCGCTCAGTCGCTGATTGGCTGCGCCCAGACTCAGGAGCGGCACAAGCTAAAATTTCGCCCCAATTTCAAAAATATTCGAAATTTAACACATTTTTTACTCCAATTAATAAATATTCTGATTTTATTAAATTTTCACTTCCGTTACAACCGAAAAGCGTCAAATATAATACATTAAAATAAAAATTATAATAATGCAACAGAAATTTATTCATTCAATTTTACTTTCTAAAATAAAAATACTGCCAATCTGGATCATAACAAAATTATTATTAAATAAATAAATTATTTTTCACTCGAGCGTAAAAAATATAATTCAATAACAGAAAAAAAATTACATAAAAATTAGAATTTTTATTTAACAGTGTGAATAAATAAATTTTGCAGTAAAAACGTAACAGAATAAATTTTTAGTAATATTAAAAGGGTAGGTTTCTGTAAGTAAATAAAAAAATTTTTTCAAAGGGAAAAATTACGAGAAATTTCATGGAACCCATGGAACTGAATCTCTAAAACAAAAAGTGTGCACTACACATAGGACCTACAATTTTTTTTTTTTTTTTTTTTTTTTTGGTTTAATCTGACTTACTGCGACGGTGGAGCCATTTTTTCCGACACCACCGGCAAGAATGACGGACAAACTGTTCAGTGCGAGTAAAACGGCGACACCCACTGCGCCCCATAATGGAAAGACCTTCACTTCAGTGCCAGTGTATGGCAACTGTATAATTGAAAATCGAAATTCTCTCAATTAAAAATTTTCAAAATTAATTATTATCATCACATTTACTTCTCGTATTTTAATTCTTTTTTTTTTTAAATTATTTTTAAGCCTTTCTCAATTTTCGAATTCGAATGTAGTTCAAGTTTGTTGATTTTTTTATCTAATAGAGGGTTAAGGTAGCCGAAGACAGTAAAAGGTTGATATTATTTTTACCTGATAATTTTTTTTACTATTTCTAACCTCACTTTTCCTATATTATTTCCATAATACTCCAAGTACTTAATTTATGTAAAATTACATTTTGTATAAAGGAAACTCGATTTAGGCAAAAATTAAATTTTGAATTTAAATTCTGGTAAATTTATTCGAATGGTGTTAAATCTCCTCCAGTTCACCATCAATTTTCACCCATTTTCTTTTCTATTCTTACAAATTTATTATAAAATTTGTAATTAAAATTAGAATAAATTTCAATTTTTACATTATATAATATATAATTTATATTATAATTTTTTTTTTATTATTAATATTATAATTATTATTTATAATAATGACTTATAATTGAATCGTATATTATAATTATAAATTTTAATTGAAAATATGAATTATAATTCTAAATTATAATTACAAATATGAATTATATATAAATTATAATTATAAATTTAAAGTGGGGGTAAGAAAAAATATAATAGAAATGAAGGCGAGTCTAGAATGCGCAAATGACCATTTTCTTTATTCTGCGCATCCCACACCCAAACTTCTGTTTCCAAGAATAATTTCCCCTTTTTCAATTATCGAATTTTTCTCTTAACACACTTTTTCTTCAACTTCCATTGTTTCTAACAATTTACTTACAAATCAGTTTAGTGAGTTTGTCAAAAAAAAAAAAAATAAAATATTTAAAAATATTAATTAATCGTCTACTTTTATTAAATATTAAGATCAGGGCCGGATTTACTTGACAGGGGGCCCTATGTAAGGAAAGGGTTTTTCAAAAATTTACCAAGACTAAAATTTTAAGTAAACACTTGAAATTATTTTGTAAAATACTTTTTAAAAAAAAATTTCTTTATACTTTTTGTAAAAAATATTTTAGATGGCAGTTGCTTATTTTGCCTCTGGGGCTGTCCATAAATTACGTAAGACATTTTTTGGGTAAATTTGACCCCCCCTCCCCCCTCGTAAGATATTTTACATACATTAGCGCCATTTTTCCTATTGTTCGTAAGATCTTGCTGACCCCCCCTCCCCCCTAAATGTCTTACGTAATTTATGGACGGCCCCTCTGTATAAATTCGGCCCTGCTTGGTGGTATAAATAATAATTTGTAAAAATTACGATACATTTCAAATTAATGAAACGAACGTCGATAGAATTAACAGATTAAGAAAAATCACAACTTGAGTTTATTCATGAGTCCCAAAACATTAAATTTAATTATGAAAAAAATATTTCTTTCAATTGTGATGAAAATGTAAAAATGTATTATTAGTATCGTAAAGTTAATTCTATTAGCACAGTTACATAAACAAATTCAAACTGTTTCAAATCAACCTTAAAAGAATTTGCATCCAAAGCCTTATAGCATTTCAAAATATTCAGGGTAATACACCATTGGATTATTATAAATTATTATTATTATACCTAAGATAATTTAAAATTCGGCAAAGGCCCTAATGGCATGTGGACTAACTAGAAAATTCCATTAGTAAGACAAGGATAGACACATCTTTATTCTTTTCTTACTAATGGGATTTTTTAGTTAGTCCACGTACCACCAGGACTCTTGCCGGATCTACGTAAATTATCTTAGATAATATAGAATAATTTCAGATTAGTAGAAAAATTATGATCCATTCTCTTATTTGCAAAAAAAGAAACAGCGAAAGGCAAATTTTTATTGCAACAGTATGTGTGAAAATTTTAGACAAAATTTATAAAAGTAGATTTTAAAAAACTTTCCATAATTTACTGAGAATTAACAAAAAAAAAAATAGTCTGTTAATTTTTGTATTTTTCTCTACAACCTAACCTCACTTTCTGTCTCTTTTTATTGTCCCCCTAAGAATAAGCTTTTAACTTTTCGTTTTTGTCAAGTTTGTAACTTGGAGTATAAACATGCGATTTATTATTTTTAACATTGTTAAAAAATTAAAAATTGAAAAAAATAATTTTTTTTTTAACAAAAAAGCAACGGTTTATGTTCAAGGCTAAAAAGACGTTACAAACAGGGTTGGGTTAGTAAAATCCCGAGGCAATTAATTATGGTATTTTACAATTGAACCTCGAGTGATACGTAACAACCCAACCCTGGTTGCATTTTGCAGAGTATGCTTTCAATGCAGGGCTCGAACCAGTGAAAGTATTTAAAAATACGGACTTTACGGACCAAAAATGAAAAATTACGGACCATTTACGGACCAATTACTGACAAAAATATATAAGAGAACATTTTACTTAAAACTATAAATTAGATTTTTTCATAACTAAAAAACATGAAGATATAGATAACTCCGAGTCTTCGACTCGGAGCGATCGATTACTTTATGTTTTATAATAATTAAAGATAGAATGATAAAATCATTATCAATTCAATTATTATTTTCAAGAATTTTTAACTAAAATTCTTCTTAAAATCGATTATTTTTAATAATTTTCGAAAAAGTTCTTTGACAATTTTCAAATCCATTTCTTTACAATATTCAATTTTACGAAATTTCAATTATTTTTAAATTCTTCAATTAAATATGTATTAAAAAATAAAAACTTCAAATAATATAAAAAAAAATCCGCAATTAAAATTTCTCAAAAAAATTAATTCCACAGAATTGTTAGTTAAAAATATGAAAAATTCAAATTTTCAAAGATTTGAATCTGAAACCTTTTTAAAATTTAATTATTTTTAAATCAATTTTTATCAGAAAATTCTACGAGAATTTCATTATTTAAATACAAAAAAAACAATTTATTGAATACACTGCAAGCCCGATCAGCGGTCACCCGATCAGTGGTCACTTGTTTACGTCGTTTGTAGATGGGGCGGGCGAGGGGCCATAAGGGAGTCGAAAAGTTGTGGCAGTAGCGTATACATTAAAGACGCTCTGGCCCCTTAAAAAAAAATTCAGTAGTCAAGTAATGGTAACCCATCATAAAACAGTTCGTACGGTCCTATATGTTTACGCCCGATCAGCGGTCGAGCACCCCCGGAGCTGACCGCTGATCGGGCTTGCAGTGTAATTACATATGTTTCTTAAAATTGAATTCTTTTAAAGAATTGTATCAATCAATTTTCAACTAATTTGAATTCTTTTGCAAAATTTTATTAAAATAGTAGATATTAAAAATAATTAAATTAGGGAAAATTTTTGAAAATAATGAAAATTTTGCCAAGAAATTTATTAAATGTTTTGAAAATAATTCAATTTTAGAGAAGAATTTTATTATTTATAAAGATAATTAATAATTTACGCAAAGAATTGCATTAAAAATTCTGAATGCAATAATATTATTCTTTAAAGAAATTTAATTAAAAATTTATTAAAAATAATATTTAAATTGTAATAAATAAATTGTAGCAAAGGTTATTCAAATAATTAAATTTCTTTGATAAATTTTAATAAAATTTTTAAGAATAATTACATTTTTCGAGGAATTCGATTAAAATTGTATTAAAAATAATTGAAATTCTGCAATTAGCTTTATTATTTATTAAAATAATTGAATTCCTAATAAGAATTTTATTATTTGCCAAAAAAATTAAATACCTGTAAAAATTTTATTATTTATGAAAATAATTGAATATTGCGAAGAAATTTATAAAAAAAATTTGTAAATAATGAAATTCCTGTAAAATTTTTATTATTTTTTGAAAATAATTAAAGGTTTGTGTAGAATTTTAGTAGATTTTTTTTAAATAATTGAATTCTTTTGGAAAATTTTATTAGAATAGTATAGATACCTATTAAAAATCATTGAATTGAGGAAAAATTTTGAAAATAATTGAAATTTTTCTAAGAATTTTATTAAAATTTTTGAAAATAATTGATATTTCGGAGAAGAATTTAATTATTTCTAAAGATAATTGAAATTTTGACGAGAATTTTTAAAAATTTTTGAAAATAATTGAATTTTTGCGAAGAATTTTATTACTTTTGAAAATAATTGAATTCCTTCAATCATTTGTAATTTCTCTAAAATTATCCGAATTATATCGTATAATTTACGTACTTTACGGACCTTTTTCAATCGAATTACGGACTTTACGGACCTTTTTTCAAAAAAACGGACTTTTACGGACTTCAAGCAAAGTTACGGACTTTTACGGGATTTACGGACCTAGTTCGAGCCCTGTACAATGCGATAGAAAAGGACAGACAGTTATTTCTGTTCTTTTCTATCTCATTAGCAACTTTGAACGACGCTCATTAAAAAAAATTTTTTCTAATCTTCGAATAATGTCGACAGTCGTAAAAATGGTGAATTGCACTGAATTCTTATTGATGTTTATAGTACAAATTACAAACTGAACAAAAACAGAAAGTTAATTCTGCTTTTGTTAAAATAAAAAATATCAAAAAAGTGAGGTTATGTCAACTTTTTAAAAATTTTTTTATAAATACAACATGTATATTTTTTAAATATTTGTTAGTATAAAGTTATGAAAGTTATTCACAAAATAAACCTATTTTCACTGTTTTGGAATTTAACTCGAGAAAAAAATTATTTCAAAAAAATAATTTTATGTGAAATTTAATGAATTAATAATAAAATAATGAATAATAAAAACTAATGAATTGTAAAAAAATGACTGTAAAACAAATTCTCTCAAATCAAAAGTGAATTATTAATTTTATTAAAATATAAAATTGTAAAACTGGTACAAAAATGTTCCCATTAAAATAAATATTATTTATTCCTTTTTTGCAATTTAAAAAAAAGAGTCAAAAGCAAAACTCTCTGAAGAGTTTTTTAATTTAAAACTTTCTCCAAGTTGTAAAAATAATTAAAAAAAAGCAGAATAAACATTAAATTAGTAAATTTTCAAATAATACTTCGGGTATCGAAAGAAATTATCAGTAAGCACTAAGCATATTTATTTAAATCGTGAAAATAATTATAATAAGAATTAAAAAAATGTTGCGTAAAATTTTGTTTAAGGTTGAGTCCACAATAGACAGCGTTAAGGAGATTGAGCTACTTAACACCATTGATATCAATGGTCTTAAGTAGATTATCGATGGTCTTAAGTAGCTCAATCTCCTTAACGCTGTCTATTGTGGACTCAACCTAATATTAAGACGAATGATATTATCAGAAAAGTTAATATGTGACGCTCCATGGTGAAAGGTATTTTACGCGGTAAAAAATTTTAGGTTATGTTTACGATCATAACCTCAAATTTTTTGCTGTGTAACGAGAGTAACGTAACTTTTCCTTTGGATAATCACATAATTTACTTTTAAAATTATAAATTTTTTTTTTTCTAATTTTGCATTTATATTTTAATCTAAATAATAATAATTAAAATTTTCAATTTTATTTTAATTTTAATTTTCATTTCCTTTTATTTAATTTCTAAAATTCCTAAATGGAAATAATGTTGAATCTTAAATTTTGAAAAAAATTAATTCTTCAATTTTTATAAAAAAAAAAAGAAAAGAAGAAAATTTTTTTAAAAGAAAAGAAAAAGTTAAACTGCTAAATCGTTAATTGAAAGAAACAATTTATTGAAATCGATATTTGTAAAATTCATGTTTATGTAAAATTAATGAAACAAATAATTTATTGTTCAAATGATTTCAACAGAAGTCAATTTAAAATTACAAGAATAATATTACTCAGTGGTGACAAAAGAATTTTTTCAATACAATCGTTATTGATTAATTTACATAACTTTCTTTCTATTATTCTTTGAATATTTACAATGATTATTTTCAAAATTTATTTTGCAACATTTTCCTAAGAATTTTTATCATATTTTTTAAATTTTATTTTCAAGAACTCAAAAATATTAGAAAAATAAATAAATAAATTTTTTAAATTAAAAAAAATATATATTTACATAATGTAAAGAAAGAAAAATTTTTAAATAATTTCCTATTATGATTTAAATATTGAAAAAAGGTTTCCAAACTTCAAAAATAAAAAAATAACTGGAGAAACAAAAAATAAAAAAAAATTGAATTTTTGGAGATTTTTTTTTTTTTTTTTTTTGACCAAAAATCGGAACTTACGGCAGTGGTGGATCCATTTTTTCCGACCCCGCCGGATTCAAAGACTTTACAGAACTGAATGAAAAGTTGTAGAAAGCCGGCGGTAAAAATTACCATTACACCTTGATTCAATGTTACATTCAGGCCAGGAATTGGGATCTAAACAAATTTACAATTATTCGACAAGTTATTTAAAAAAAAAAAAACAGTGAACAGTATTCCATATTTTCGTCAAATTAAAAAGCCGCTTCACTTTTCTCCAAAATTTCTCCATCTTTGAAAAAATAATAAAAACTACTTTTTTGTTGCTAAAAAATAGTTAACATCAATAATTTTAATTATTACAAACGAAAAGAATAATTATTGTTAAAATAAAACCATCGTTACAAAAAAAAAAAAAAAAAAAAAAAAAGATTTTTATTTACCAAACACAAATTTTAATTTTAAATTCGAAAACAAACGAAAATAAAAATTTTAATCTTTTGAAAACTTGAAGCGACAAATTTTGCAAAATATCAAAATTTTTGATAGAATTCCAGAAAAATAATTGAAGCTGAAAAGAAGTCAATATTTCATAAATTAATCTCTACTTTTTTAAAATAATTCTTTTAAGCAAAAAATTTTATAAAAATAAAAATCGAAAAGAGGAAATAAAAAAATTTTTCCTCCTGAAGTTTAAAATTTCAAATTCGAAAACTGAAAAAAGGGGACAAAATTGTAAAATAAAGGACAAAATTTTCAAAATGGGTGAAAAAGGTGAATTGGGGAGAAATAACTGCCATTTTGCTCTTTTAGCCGCCATATTGTATCCGCCATTTTGAATTTTCCAATTATCGAATTCTTTTACCCTTTTTTTATCGAATTTTATAAAAAAATTCGCTTTCTTTTAATTTCCTCGCTGTTTTAAAATGTCGGAAGTATTTATTTAATTATTTAAATAAATTTAATATATTTAAAATATTTAAATTTATTTATTCAATTTTCGTTAATTATTATTTATTAACTATTTCTTAATTATTTATTCATTCAGTTTTGCCCATAATTCTCATTTTTAGATTATAATCAAAATCGAACAAATAAATAAATAAGTAAACAAATAAATTACCTAAAAACCTAATAAATTTCTAATAAACAATCCGGTTTTTTTTTAATATATTTTCATAAAACCAAAAATATATTCTTGCAAATTTAATTCCTCTCTCAAAAAAGGAGGAAAATTTCTCTTCTCGCTAATTTTTCCTAAACCACCTATACTTAGAATTTTTAAAATAAATAAGTAAATGTAAATTAATAGAAAAAAAATTTAGTTAAGATTCATACAATCAATATATATATAATATAAGTACAGGAGTGAATTCTTACCGAGCAAGGATTGTGTCGCTAGTAAAAAAAAATGCAAATAAAAAAAAATTGTTCAATTTAAGGATATACCTACACAATCGCGTGAAATGAATCCATCTATAAAAATTAATTTTGAAAAACGCAAGAAAACCAATTTTTAAAAAAAAAGGAAAGTGCAATTTTTTTAAAAGGAGAAAGTAGGGAAAATTTTGTAGTGGACGAATTTTTCCAGAAGTAGAAAAAAAGAGGATAGATAAACAGTTTCCACATTAGTAGAAATATAATTAATTAAAATAATGGTAATAATAATAATAATAATAATAATATTAATAAAAATAAATGGACTTGCAATGGAATGTTTCTGAACATCTTTTATAAATAATTATCACAAGTCGAAACAATATTAACATCTTTAAAAATATGTAAATAATAAAAATAATAATGAGTAATAAATTAATAATATGTAATAATAATAATTGTTAATAATGCAAATTAAAAAAAAAATTATAATAATAATATAATAATAAAATTAATAATAATAATAATAATAATAATAATAATAATAATAATAATAATAATAATAATAATAATAATAATAATAATAATACCTAATAGTAATATTATTAACATAAATTAATATCATTACTTATTAATAATAAAAAAGTAATAAACTAGTAAAACATAATATAATAATGAAAATAATAATTTGAACATAAACGGAAATCGAAACAATTCCTAAACTTTCAAATAAAAAAAAATCAAAACAGTAGTAAAAAAAATTGATAAAAGTATAAGTAAAAATTAGTACATAAAGATTAATAAGATAAAAAATTATAATAAAAATAAAATAATAAAAATTTAAAAAAATAAATTAATAACAATAATAGAAATGAAAATAATTTATTATAATTATTATTATAAACGCAATAATAGTAATAATTATTATAACACAAAATGCATTACTGTGTCGGTTAATTTGAGAGCCGCTCCTCATGCCATGCCGGTCCCAGAATAAATTAAATATATATTTTAATTTTTTCATCGCATCCCAATAAAAAAAAAAAAAAATTTCTTTGCCATGATTCTAACTAATAAAACTTACGGCAACAGTCGAACCGTTCTTCCCTATTCCGCCGGTGAAAATCACCGAGAACATTGTGTATAAGTTTGCCAATGCACCCATTATTGTCATCACTCCTATCAAATATTTAAACTGAAAACCTTCTATAAATGGTATCTGCAAGAAATGTTCTCAATGAATTCAAAAAAAAAAAAAAAAGAAAAAAAAAGAAAAATAATACATATTTCAACTCCTACCCATCATTTCTATAATCCCGTTTTTTATTTTCTTATTTCGAGTTCGAAAATGTAGATCTGCTTTTTAGATTTTTAATTTTCAATCAATTCAACATTTTATTTAATATGTAAATTTAATTTATTAAATTATTTTTTATTAACTGTTAATTTAGTAGAATCTAATTAGTTAACTAATTGTAATTAAATTAACAATACAATTAATTAGTGTTGTATCTAATTTTTTTTTTTTTAATTTCAGGCTTCACACTCGATTATAAATTTAAAAAAAAGTAGCAAAAAGTAGATTTATAAATGAAAAAAGTGGTAAAAAGTATCTATCGAAAAATTAAATTTCACGACTGAAAATTTAACTCGAAAATTTTTCAAAGAATTTTAATAAAATTTCTAAGAAATAATTGCAATTCAGGAGGAATTGATTTAAAATTATATTCAAATTAAAGATAATTTAAATCCGTCAATGAATTTTATTATTTATGAAAATAATTGAATTCTTGTAACGAATTTTACTAAAATTTTTTTAAATAATTGAAATTTTTGAAGAATTCTTTGTTGAAAATTTTTAAAATAATTAAATTTTTTCGGAGAATTTAAAAAAAAAATTGTAAAATATTTAAATTTCTTTCAAAACATATTTTTTTTTAAATTGTCTATTTTAAATAATTGAATTTCTCTGAAAATTATTTTTACAAATAATTGAATTTTTTTCAAGAATTTGATTAAAAATTGGTTTTTAAATAATTAAATTATTTTTGTAAAATTTTAAAAATAGTAAATATTAAAAATAATTTAAAACTTTATTTTTAAAAATAATTATTTTATTTCAATTATTGGCGGATTTAAAGTAGTGTAAATGCTAAAAAAAAAGAAAAAAGTAGCTTTTAGTGGCACAAATCTAAAAAAAAGTATCATTAAAAAAATTAGTAAATAGTAGGTTTTAGTAGATGAGTGTGAAGCCTTTTTCATTTTTTAAAAATCAAAAAATTTAAATTCTAATTTTTTAATTTTAATTTTCATAATTCTCATTTTTAGATTATAAATTATTTATAAATCTAATTCATAAAGTACCGAATTTTAATTCATTTTGGTAAAAAATCGATTAAAAACAAATTTTATTTTGTCTTCTCAAAAAAAAAAAAAAAAATACAACTTTTTTTTTAAAAAAAAGAGTAATTATTTAACAAAATGTATTTTTTATTTGTTTGAGAAATATTTAATGTTGCTAATTGAACCAAAGAAGCAAAAAAAAAAAACAAAAAAATTATTTCTCGGTATTGTAATAAAGAAATTATATTAGAAAAAAAATAAAAACATATGTGACCTTGAAATGCAAAAAATGTTCCATAAAAAGAATTAAGAAACAAAAATCTGAAGAGTTTAAAAAGATAATTATGTAAATTTAAAATTTAAATAGACAAGTAGATGACAACCTGTATTGTCTAATTTTTTCTTTTTTTAAGTTTTAAACTTCAGATGTTAAATAAAATATTTTTAAAAATATTCATTTTTTGACTAGTGCAATAAAGCATTAATCAAAAACTAAAAAAAGGGAATAAAAACAAAATTTGTATACGTATTTTAAAAATATTTTGAAAAAATTCCCAACAGAAATTGAAGAAAACCTGTAAGAAGAGAAGTTGAAAAAAAAGAAATTTGTGTAGAATAATAGAAAAAAATAAATACAACCTCCATCATCCATATTTCCGGTCCAAATATCGTTGAGATGAGATGAATCGCGATGATTGTGAATTGTGCTTCTGTGACGTCAATTTTTCCAAACTTCAACGAACCTAAAATGAATTTAATTAATTTTAGATGAAAATATAAAATACCAAATTATATAAAAATATATATAAATATAATTATAAAAAATATAAATAATATAAATATAAACAATATAAATATAAATAATATAAATATAATTATTAATAATATGAATATAAATATAAAAAAATATAAATCATATAAATATAAAAAAATATAAATAATATAAATATAAATATTATGAAAAATAATAAATATATTTATTTTAAATAAATAAGTAAATTCTAAATTTATTTTTATATTTTAAAAAAAACTTGAAATAAAAGTTTTATTGAAATTTTATATACATATTTTATATATAGATATAAAATAGAGGCGATTACGTCATTAATAAATGGCGTGACTAGAAAGTTAAGCAATTGTCAAACAGAAGCAAGTCATTCCGCTTGAATAATAAGAATCAATCGTATCGTTAAATGGAACATTAAAATTATTCTTCTTTCGTTATTACCTGAAACGTACGCTTGCCAATGTGCACAATAAAAAAGTGTCATAGCGCAGAAACACTGGAAAAACATCCAGGTTGGATGGAAACCTAATTGAACGGCAATACACGCCGAGACTGCCACAAAAACTGTAAATCAAAAATCAGAAAAACAAATCAGTAATTTTTCAGAAAATAATTCATTTTTTTACTCATTTAACTCAATGATTAATCATATAAAATGAAAAAATGAGAAATTTTAATAAAAAACAATATTTTTCTCTCGTTATTGAACTTTAATTTTAGTGTTTAAAAAAATAATAATTATTATTTATTATTATTATTACCCTGAATTTAATGATAACAGTTAAAAGATAATAAAATAATTCTTGCTAAAATATTTCAAAAAAATTCTCTACTGACTTAAAAATTATTTTTAAAAAAAAGAAGTAAATAATTTCAATTTTTATGAAATATAATTTTTCTTTTTTTTGCAGTAAAATTCTGAAAAAGTGTAAAAAAAATTGTTTCCTTTTTAAAATGCATAGAAACTGATTTTTATTTATTACAAAGTGCTCTAATTTGCTCTTTCGCTTTTTTTACCTTTATAATGAGAACAAAGCTATTTAAAAACAATTAACAATTATTCCCACACACACACACACACACACACAACAATATATCTATCTTTTATTTATTTATTTTTTTTTTAAAGTCCCTTATCTCGATTTACTCGTTTTAATAATGTATGTGTATGAAAAAATTATTTTTAGAAACGCAAATGACTTTGATTTACAATTAAATTTTCAGAATAAAAATTCAAATCGAAAAACAAAAATTAAAATATTAAATCTAGTAAAAAATGAAAAGGGAAAAATATATTTTTCTTATTTTAAATAAAAATGAAAATAAATGAGAATTAAAGGAAAAATAAAAATTTATAAAAAATAAATATAATATATAAGGAGAATAAAATAAAGTAAAAATAAAATAACAAAATAAAGCAAATAAATGAAAAAACAAAATAAATAAAAAATAAACAAAATGAAATAAAATAAAATGAATTAAATAAAACAAATAAAATGAAATAAACAAAAATAAATACGTATTAAATAGAAAATAAAAAGAAAAATTAAAGAAAACTACAATAATACTAAAAAATTAAGTTGAATTCAATTTTTTTTTTAAATTTCAAGAAGGAATTAATCGATAAACACTTGGTATTGAGTTTTAGTAATTTGAAACTTCAATCGTAAATGCAGTCTATGTATTTTATACTCTGCGATTAAATCGCAAGGTTTTTACAATTCATTCCATCTAATAGAGGATATTTTCTAAAAATAAAATATATGCACAAAAAAATATTTATCACTATTAATATTATTAAATCAGATATATAAAAGAATAAAAATAATAATAAAAAAGTAAATATAGTAATAATAATAATAATAATAATAATAATAATAATAAAAACTAATATTAGTAAAAATTATTATTATTACTATGTATAGTTATAAGTTTATTATACGAAGTATTTAATAATTTATTAAATACTTATTTGTATTAAGTAGAGTCAAAATTATTTTATTTATTTCTGTTTAAACTTTCAATTTTATAACACGCAGAGAGAATATGAATTTTTTAAAAAGTATTTTACAATGTGGGGAAAAAATACAAGGCAAAATTTTGCATATAAAAATACTAAACTTTAAAAAAACTGAATATTAAAAAAACTAAATAATAATAAAAAACTAAATGAAAAATACTAAACTTTAAAAAAACTAAATAATAAAAAAACTAAATAATAAAAAAAACTAAATAATAATAAAAAACTGAATAAAAAATAAACTTTAAAAAAACTTTTGTGAAACCTAGTAAAAATATATGAATTTTTTAATATTAAAATTTAATTAATATTTTTTATATTTGATATAATTATAATTATACTAAATTTGATATTAGTTTTTCTAAAGTTTAGTATTTTTTATATCAAAATTTCGCCCTTTTTCTCCAATTTGTAAAATACTTTTACAAAATTTATTTATTTTCTAATTTTCAATTCTTATTTATTTTTTGTTTCTAACTCCGCAACTTCTTTTTTATGAATCTTTATGTTCGGAAAAAATTCATGTTCTATGAATGTTTATAATTCTTAATTCGAATTATTAATTTCACATTTTCGTGGTATTTTTTCATAGACTTTCGTGAAGAGGAAATCATTCAGATTTCGAAAAGTTGGAAGTAAACCAATTTTTAAAATTAATTTCTCCGAATATTTTTTTGTTTATTTTCCTTCTTCTAATGAATGTTTCGATATTAGAATTTTTTTTTCTCGAAATTAAATCCAGATCGATTTTGATTACCTGTAGAAATGGAATCACAGCCATGATCAAAAAGTTCACCTAAAGGTGAAGAAGTTCCTGTTCGTCGAGCTTGTTTTCCATCGATCGAGTCTAAACTTTGATAGACAAAAAGGCCGACTGCACACAAAAAACATGCCCATCGTGGTGCCTAAAAGAAAAAATGTTCCAATTAATTCAAAATTCAAGTTTATTCAAGAAATTTTAATGAAATTATTAAACTTCAATTTATTATTTCATCAATTTTGTGTTTAAAATTTTTTATTTAAAAATAATATTAAAAATAAAATTTTATGTGAATTCTATTTGTTTCAAATAAAAAAAAAATCATTAGCGAAATTTTAATATAAGTAAAAAATTATCCTTTTTTTGAAAATTGAGTTGAAATTTGATAATTTTAATCTTTCATTCATAATTTAGAAATAAGGGAAAAAATTTTATAAATCAGAATAAAATACATAAATATATTTTTTTTTAAATTCATTATAAATTGAAGAAAAATTTTTAAAAAATACAAAAATTAAGTGATAAGAATAAAAAGAGTAAATGAATATTTTAAAAAACATATAAAATGTTTCGAAACAATAAAAAAATACTCGTTCAGAATTAAGAGAACACTAATTATAAATATTAAAAATATTATCTCAAAGTCATTATTATTATTAATGAAAGTTGAGACAATTGTTCTTTTTAAAAAAATTACATCATTTTATATATTAAAAAAAACAAGAAATTTATTCATAAATTTAATTTTACGAAATAACGAAAATAAACATAATAAAAGTTTTTGTATAATTAATGTTTCGATTTATTAATAAACAGAAAACTTATTATTATTATTATTATTAAGAAAATTAACATTACAAAAAAATATACAAACAAATATAAAAATAAATTTTTAAAACTATAAAATGAATATAAAAAAAATAAATAAATATAAAAAAATTAAAAAATAAATATAAAAGATTATAAAAATAAATAGTAAAAATAAAAATTCAATAAAACAAATTTTAAATAGAATCGATATAAAATGTACGATTCACTTGTAACAGGTATGAAAAAAAGTAAACATATAAAACAATAAGAAAAAAAAAGTTGTGCAATTTTTCTTTTTTAAATAAATAAACAATTGCGTGCGCAACGATCTTTTTGACCTTAGAGTATTGAGAAAAAAAAATGTAAATAATAGAATTTTCCTCAACTTGTCACTATGTGTGAAAATTAACTGTAAAACATGAAAATCATCCATGCGTTTAAAAAAAGAAAATTATGATTGTTTACAATGACAAATCAACACTTTTGCCAACTTGATATTTCAAGCAAAATAAAAATTTCAATTAAACAATTATGACTTAATTAAAAGAAATAATTTTTTTCAAAGAGAAAAAAAAATAAACATGCATGTAAATCGTGTAAATTATTAAAACATAGTAATTTTAAGGTTATGTTACCTTGATTTTGGCATCGGGACTGTAATAAACAAGAACTAGAGTCGTGAAAATGTTGACCATGAGGCCAATGGTGGTAATAAGATTAGGTGCAAGCCAAATTGGAACTCTTCTCACAAGCCATTCCCACCAGGGTTGTAGAAATGCGTCAAGAATACTTGCACTCGTGTAACTATATTTGTGTTCACTAAGTCTTTTCAATTGTCCTGGTGACAGGAGTTTTTCCTTATAAAACGGCATTTTTTTCTTTTCTACTCTCTTTTCTTATCAGTAAGAATCACAATTCACTCATTTGATAACATAAAACTAAACGTTAACACTAATGTTTACTTTTTTTTTAAATAAAAATAAAATTTGGAATTTGGAAAAAACAAACACACGGCTTTTGAGAATTTACACACGATCGACGAGAATGACGACAACGACACGTTTAGACCATAAGTGATTACACTGACAGACACACGAGTGTGAACACGAGTTCTCAAAAGTGTTGTGGTGGCAGTGGCATTGATACCTGTAAAGCACTGCTGCCAACATTGAAGTTACAATTGTATTTTCTTTCTTATTTTTAAAATTCAAAGAAAAAAATACTTTATAAAAAAAACCCAAATATCTCCTCGTTTTTTTTTATAAAGTATTTTTTTACTTGTAAAGTTTTGAAGATTTTTAAATAAATAATTTGTGAGGTGAATAATCTTGGGATTCTTGATGAACTAGATTTGTCAGAGGGGAACGTTTTGATTGGTGTAGAAGTGGTCAGCAGATTATGCACGATGAGATCATTGGTTATTTGTAAATCAGCTGTTCTTTTCATTTGTGTGTGTTTACCGGTTTACGCATTGCTGGGTAGGAGAAACGATTGTTTACTGCCTGGGGATATTTACGTATTTTATGTTAAGTTACGTGTCTTACGCAAAGTTCATTTATTTATTTACAATTTTATGTTCTTTATGTTATGCATTTATTTGAATGGTTTCGCGTGGTAGAAAGAGATATTTTTATTTTAAATAATTATTTGTTAATTAAATCTAATTTTACTAGTAGTATTTAGTCCCTAGAATCTTCTAGGGACTTTTAAATTTTCTTTTATTTCTAAAGTTACTATAAAGATGAGACCATGAAACCTCCGAAATGTGACACTCAGGGACAAAATGACAAATCCAACGCACAATAGGCGCTCTTTTGTAGCAATTACAATCTTTCCCTATCATAAAAAAAAAGTTGCAAGAGGAAGATGTTCCAGGAGTAAAATTGATTCATAAGATCATAAGATAGTAGAAAAAAATACCATTATGTCAATGCTGTCAGTTAAAAAGATAGTTGAAGTGCCGAGGACAGTCCTTAAGAGGAAAAAAGCCCAAATTGTTGAACGGTAAGTTAGGTTATGTCAGGGATTATGTTTACATTCCTGTCAGAATACTTTTTCGAAATATATTGTTGTTTTTGTATTTTGTTTCATTCTTTAGTAAAAAATGAATTGAACAAAAGTAACACTTTAATAAATATCTGTTGATGTAAATGCGTGAATGAATGGTTAACTCCTGTGTGTAGACTTCACGTTATACACTAGTGTCGGTGATTTGCTTGCTTTTTTGCAATTTTGACGGTTAGTTCTCGGAAGTTTCTAGATATTTTTTCAGTTTGCAAGAGTGCGAGGAGGAACTTCAGTTGCATAATAATCGACAATAAGTTTTATTTGATAATTTCACTAAATTGGTGCTTTTTTGGAACTCTAATTGTTTATAATAATAATAATAATTGGTAAACTTGAATTTTGTGTAAGTGATCTTACCGTTATTTTTTTAACCTATGTGAAATGAATATGCGAAAAAAATCTTAAATGCACTTTAAACTTGTCATTAACATCATTAAATTTATTAAATACATAGAAATACAGAAAATAAATAAATAAATACCTGAAAATACATCCCGTTGAATAAACAAAAACGTTCGAACGCGCAGTCATGTAAACAAAGCCTAATTATTTTCATAAATTATAAAATTCATCGCAGGATTTTGCAACCATTATAAGTTCTTTAGGTCGAGATTCATTTAACGGTTTTACTAAATCCAAAAAACATGGAAGAAGCGGCATAGAAGTAATTTCGAACGAGACTGTATAAAATATAACTAAAACATATTTTTGATTAATTTTATTTCAAAAAATTTATAATTTAATTACTTATCTTCAATTTTTAGGAATGTCACTTACCAACTATGATTTTGTTTAGATTTTTCGCTAGAATTCCATATTCCTGTAAAATGTCGAATTCCCAATTTGAATCATAATGCAAATAATCTTCCTTCATTTTTAGGAAAATTAGTTCTATCTACAAAAAAATGATAGTAATAATGATAGTAATAATAATAAAATTAACAACAAATTATTTGTGCAACCTTATTCCATCTTTTCAAAACTGCGTTCATTTTAAATATACAATTTATTCAAATAGAATACTTCTTGATTATTTACCAAATCCCGTTCCAATTTTAATTGTTACTAATTAAAATTAAATCGAGAAACACTAGGGAATATAATATTGGGGTAAGTTCGATATAACATTAGTTAAATAAAAGTTTTCTTACTTTATTCCTCTTGACGCAAATGGATGTTAAACAACTAATTGAAATAAGATTTACCATGAAGGATGGAAGCCAAATAATAAAAACGTCCATATTCCTCGAAATATTTCTTAAAGCCAGCAACTATTAATTGACAAATTATATTTTATTATTACTGCTAACAAATTTTTGTCTAATGTAAATATTTTTATATAAAAAAATTGTTATATCTTTCTTTCTATTTCTCCCTAAATTTAAAAAAAAACTTTCGTTTAATATAATCCGTAAAGTCATATACTTGTGGTATTAGAAAACTCAAAAGAGTGAACCAAGAGAAGACGGCAATAAAGTATTTTGTAAGTTTCGATTGATTAGGCCAGACCCCTGTAACACTTGTTAAATATTTAATAATTTGAAAATGAGAATTGTATGCTTCCATTTCGACGTATGATTTGAATGTAACACCAAAATTTTTCAAACCGCTTTCTATTATTTGTTCGATGATAACAAAAGTACCTATAAAATAATGATTCTCATAAAATCAAACGTTTTTTTTGTATTTATAATTCTAAAAGTGAAATAAAAATTCATATTTACGCTTATTTTGAATTCGATTCGAAGAATCCTTTAAATAAATGCATTAAAATCCTTAATATCTGTATTAGATGGAAAATCAATTTTATCTGTAAGAAACTTATATTAGATATCTAAGGAGATATGTCTTAATTTTTAAATACACAACCCTTCACAAAAAATGATTTTTGTACAACGAACTGGACCAACAGCCAGTCCGCAATAAAGGATTTTGAATAATTCGATACAATTATTATTAATTACACCGAAAAATAAATATTTTTGTATCTGCCAAAATAAAATGGAAGGTAGAAAAGTATGTAGAAGTAAGATACTTTGTGTTACAGTGAGATTTTTACAAAAAATATTATACATCTCTATAAAGTGTTTTTTTTTTATAATTTTACAATGTGTGGTAGATTACATTTGTTCATGTTGAGATGAAAACAAGATTATTGTAGAAGAACCAGATAGAGAATAGATATTTCGTAGAACCTTACTCACGTACTGACAACAAAATCATAAAATATGACACGGATGTCCTTACCACCTAAAAAATAAGAAAAAGTTATTAAATAATAACAGCTACGTTTTAAAACATAAAAAAATGAAATTGTTATAATACCAACAGCACTAAATAAGTAGTTGTGCGTTGGCCATTATCTAAAATTTGTTATAGTTTAAAATATTTTTGCACTTACATGGTCTGAAAAAGTAGAGTACTCTGATCAATTAGACATTGACATGTCAGTGTTAACAAAATAGACGAAAAATTTGAATGAAATTATAGGAAAAATAAAATTAAAAAGACATTGGGAAAATTTATATCTTTTCTTCTATTTTAAGAGAAATAAGAAAGCATATTAATTGTAACAGCAAAACCCAATAACTTTTCTTTCAAACTTTTTGTACCAAAATGCATATTTAAAGAAATATTTAAAAGACCATAAACTAAAGGAACTTCGGATAAGGTTTCTCTTATTCTGAAATATAGATTATCACAAATATTCATATTTTTCCAAAAAAATGCAAAAAAAAACATTTTTATTTCAACTGGGAATCCCTGTTGAATGACACGCAAAGACCAAGAAGTTGATTAGAACCAGGAAGTTGGGTTAGGACCAGGAAGTATTACACAAATTTTTCACAACAATAATTATGAAGTATTATATAAAAACCAAACAATTAGATTTCACGACAACCAGTTAATGCCATATTACAATTTTTCAGATGATGAAAATGATGATCAGCATAATTCTATTGATAATTCTGAAGAGTAGCCTAACATACGGAAATATTAATATAACAGAATTAAAAGGAAATCTGTAAGAAGACATAGGACCTGCAGTATCACGAAAAATGTCGATTACTAATTGGAATAAACGTCACTTATGTAAACAATAGATTTGATATGATTGAAAAAACAATTCAAATAAGTGAAGCAGCATGTTACATTTATTGTAGTTCTGAGAACGAAATTCATTTAATAAGGGGACGATTTGACAGATTGAAGAACAAACATGATTTATTAAATAAATTGTTAGGAGAACGTCGAATAAAAAGAGGTTTAACCAATATAGTAGTGGGAGATATAGCAAAGCCTTTATTTGGAATTATGAATGATGCAGACTTAGTAGCTATTAAAAATCAAATTTGATGAAGTTCTTGACGATCAAAATCAATTAGCAAACATATTGACTAATCATACAAAAATTATAAAACTGATTCTTGATTCATCATCATTAGATCACGAATTACTTCAAACACAAACTCATCAAGAACTAAAATTAACTATGAATCTACGAACGACAATAAACGAAACTACAACAAAAAATGTTATCAATTCAAAACTAGTAATAGTAACAGTTCTGATCAAACTTTAATAAATTAGACCGTAACTAAACCAAGAACACATTTTTTTATTCGATATTCTATAGTGAATTTTTTTGTTACTTAATAAAATGGGTCTGCAAATTTCGTCGCTGTATAGGTATTGTTTTTTTTATTATAAATTTAATACAATTTTTTATTTTAAATAACTATACAATATTTTAAAAATAGGTTACTTCGTATCTCCCAAGAAAATAGAAGGTAGAAAACTAGTAATAAGATACTTTTTCTTGCAGTGAGATTTTCACAAAAAATATACACATCTATATAAAGTGTTTTCTTTCCTGAATTCTATAGAGTGTTATAGAACCAAACCAAGAAATAAAGAAATTACATAAATTATGATAATTATTAAGAAAAATCGTCAGTTACATTATTTTTATAGAAGAATATTTTTAGGGTACATCTATTCACGCACTGACAACAAGACTGTAAAATATGACACGGATGTTCTCATCACCTTAAAAAAGCAAAAAGATTAATTAACGAATATCATTATAAAAATAAAAAACAAAATTTATAGTTGATACGTACAGCACTAAAGCTACTCATTGAAAAAGAGTACAGTTTTCCTGCTGTAAAAGTCACAGGTTTTATACACATTAGCATTAAGATTCTTATTATTTGTTTTGACTCCGGAGTTAAAGTATACCAGTAGCTTTCATATCTATAATTTTAAAATTACTTTCAAAATTTTAACGCAAATAGTGATATTCTTTTTTTTTGGTTTAATATATTTTTTAAGCTACTTACATATATTGAAAAAGTAGAGTACTTTGGTCAATTAAACGCTGACTGATGGGCAATGCTAAACAAAAGAGGCGAACAATTTGCCCCGTACTGTATATCAGAAGTTTAACAGTTTCACTTTCACTGTCTAAATTTACGACTAACTGTTAAATTATTAGGCATTTTATAAATATTCTTTTAGGTTGTTATACGTAGAGGTATAATTTTTTTTTGCTTTACCTGAACTGCTGTAATGCTTATCATTAGCATATTCAATCCCAAACCAAAAAAGTAGGGCATTGAGAAGCATTCACTAACTTCGTTTACAAACCTTAAAAATTTCATAAAAAATTACAAAAGTTTTCTTTGCTTTTGATATAATTTTTTTTTATTTTACGAAAAATGAAAGTATCAAACCATGTCAAGTGTAACAATAAACTTTTCGGCTGTCTAACTAAATGCAACCCCTTAACTTCCACACAATAAAGAAGCGATGCATCTTTTTTAAACATTACATTTTCATAAATATTTATATTAAAAAAAAAATGAAATATTTGCTGTTAGAGTTAACGTGGTTTGAATTAATACAAACATTATAACCAATCTATGCTTTCTAACAAATAATTTAATTTCATTTTTAAAATCCTTTTCATCAGGAATCGACATGCTGTCATCAATTTTTACAATGTTTTTTATTTTTAATCTGCAAAAAAAAAATTAATTTTCTAATTACAATTATAAAATTTTATATTATTAAGATTAATTAATTTTAATAAATAATTAATTTCAATTAAAATTAATTTCAAATTACCCTAAAATTTCAAATTGACCACAAGCATGATAGATGAAGACTATAAAAATTCCATCAATTCCTAAAATAACTGTAGTTATTAGAAGACCTGTGGGCACTTGATGTATTGCTATTGCTATATAATTATAATAATCATCAGGATCAACGAAATATTCTGCAATCATAATAAGCGTTCTTGGACGAGATTCATTTAACGGTCTTACTATATCCAGAAAAAATGGCACAAGGGGCAAGGAAACGTATTCTACTCCAACTACATAAAAAATGACTGAAACACATTATTAATTAATTTTATTTGAAAATATAGAAATAAATTTTCTTTTAAAAATTTATTTGCAACAAAAAATTGTCTTTGTTTTAGAATTTGTATGATAATTTTGTAATTACTTACTAACTTCAACTATGTATGCATTTTTTGCTATAAGACCATATTCTTGCAAAATTTCATATTCTAAATCAGATTTAAAAGTCTAAAAAGTTACATAGGTAATTATAAATTCAATTTTAATGTTGACCAGAATTTTAGGAACGTCCTGACCAAATTCAAGAATCATTAAATTGGTGACTTAAAATTATGGTTCGCGTCTTTTTAAGCACATCGAAAGTAGTCAAATGCAATTTTGCTGAGAATTCCAGCGATCGCGTTAGTCACGATAGATCATGGGATTTTGCACACAGTGATGATATCGTTTTCGTAATATTTTAGTCTTTAAATAGTTGAATATTAATAAGTAATCTTACCTTATTCCTATTGTCACTAACAGCTATATTAAACCACTAATGACTGTAAAAGTAACAAGGCAGCTTGGAAGCCAACTGACCAAAGTATCCATATTCCTCCAATTGTTTCTCAAAGCGGCCAACAACTATATTAAATGATAAAAAAATACCCATGTAATAAAGTTTACGGAAAATGTTTGAAATAAATAAACATTTACTTCCTGTAGAAGACAATACACAGAACACTAAACCTTTTTTTAAATTTATTTAAATTAAAAGTAAAATTAATTTAAGGTAGGCGTAATTTTGGCATTACTTACTAAATTCAACTATGTATGCATTTTTTGCTATAAATCCATATTCTTGCATAATTTCTAATTCTAAATCAGATTCACATTGCATATAATCTTCCCTTATTTTTGAGAAAATTATTTCTATCTGAAAAAAATAATCGAAATGATATAATGTTAATAATATAATTTAATATTTAGTCTTTAAATAGTTAAAGCAATTATCTTACTTTATTTCTATTGGTTGTAACGGCTGATAAACAACAAATGGCAAGAAGGTTAAACGAGGCAGGGTGTAAGCAAAGCAATAAAAAAGTCCAGATCACCCCAATTATTCTTTAAAGCAAGTGTTGAATATTTTCCAAGTATCAAATTTTAGTCATGGGAATTTTTCACTCATATTTTCTTAATCTCGACACCAGACTTGTATTTTTTACATTCTTCGGTTTTCGCGCAAATTTTACTACTCACACACTATCAAAATCTCATTGTAAGCAAGACGACGCTACACATACACCCAACTGTACTTCTCGTGACACACTAACACACTGCAGCGCGTCTAAGAAACCAACCAGTAGCTCATCTGCTCATTAGCATTCTCACAGACCAGATCTCGTCAATGTTAAATCTATTAAATTTAAAATTATCATTTCGTTAGTTACAATACAAAATCAATTCTTGTTTTATTTTTGTTTCGAATCTGAAGTGTTTCCCTTCAGTTTAAACCAAAAACCAAACAGTCCCATAATACGTGTTAAGTATTCAATTATTTTAAAAAGAGAATTAAATACATCCATTCCGACGTCTGATATGATATTAAAAGTTAAACTTTTGAGACAGCATTCTATAAATTGTTTGAAAATTAGTTATACTGTTTAAGGAAAAGGATCGTATTGACCTGGCAAAGAAAATCACTTTTCTTATTTTACTTCGTGGAGTTTATAGATAGTAATAGTTAAAAATTAACAGTTCGTCTAATGAAATATGTCTGTAGTCCATAGAAAACTTTTTGACATTACACAATTGCGTAGCAAAAAGTAGTTAAGACTTCAAAAAAAAGAATTTTTTGACCTTGACGCTAAATGTCAATTTATCATTATAGGTAAGGATGAACTATACGATATAACAATAGCGTATACGTCATACAGCACAGTCATCGTAGTCGGGTACAGTTCGCAGGCAGAGAGAGACTGACGACAACGCACGCAACTCGCGCAGTCCGCCTTCCCCCACCACTCGCTGCCTTCGCGCCTATATAACTCGCTCGCTCAGTGTTTAGAGTCAGTTCGTCTACTGACTTGCCTCGAGGTGCTCTTCACGGTCTATAGCAGACCAAAAATAAATAATTTTGTATCTGCCAAGAAAATTGAAGGTAGAATAATAATAAGAGATAAGATACTTTTTTGCAGTAACATTTTCACAAAAAATATATAGGTCCATATTTAGTGGTTTATTGAAAAGTGTTACAAACAGTATTGAACGGAACCAATAAATAATAAAAAATTTCATATATTAATATAATTATTAAATAGACAAGAATAGAATTTTGTAGAACTCAATTTACTTACGTAATGACAATAATACCGCAAAGTATGACACGGACGTACTTACCACCTAAAAATTGAAAAAGTAATTAAATTATATCAGCTACGTTTTAAAACATAAAAAAACAAAATTGTTATGATACCAACAACACTAAAGCTGCTCATTGAGAAGGAGTACAATTTTCCGCTGTAAAAGAGACGGATTTTATACACATCATAATTAAGATTCTTAACATTTGTTTTGATTCTGGAGATACGATATACCAGTAGCTTTCATATCTACAATTTCATAATTACATACTTCATTTTTATAAATTATAAATTTTTAAGTTCTTGTCATAATTTAGCATTTTTTTTTAAACTCTAGTGATAGTTCCCAATTTGAAAATATGAATTGTCTAAGTTTGGAATATTAAAATAAATTATTAGAGATAAAGTAATTTTGAGAAAAAAAAATTTTTCTTTACTATAAAATTTTGTATTTGTTCATACTAATTGGGACACAACATTTTTATTAAAATGTAGAAATTCTAACTCAAAATATTTGATTTCTTTGTTTACACTTACATATTTTGAAAAAGTAGAGTACTCTGGTCAATTAGACATTGACTTGGTAATACTATACAAAAGAGGCGAAAAACTTGACCCAAATTAAATGACATATCTCTAAGAGTTTCACTTCGATTATCCAAATTTATGATTAACTGTGAATTTATTGGACAATTTTATAAATATTCTGCTAATGTTTTACGGACATAAATATGTCAATTTTTTGGTTTACCTGAACTCCTGTAAAGCTTATCATTATCATATTCAAACCCAAACCAAAAAAGTAGGGCATTGAGAAGCATTTACTAATTTCATTTACAAACCTTAAAAAAATCCAGTAATTTAAAAAAAATAATTTTTCCTTGTAATTGTGTTTTAGTTTACAAAAATTAAAAGTGCAGGCCTCGTTCAGTGTAACAACAAATATTGTTATTTCTTGCTTATAAATTTTATTTTGTAACACGAAAAATTAAAAAATATTTGCTGTTACATTTGACGTGGTTTGAATTAATACAAACATTATTACTGCTTTATGTTTTTCAACAAAAAATTTAATATCACTTTTAAGATTATTCTCATCAGAAATAGACATGTTATAATCCAGTTTTACACTGTTACTTATTTTCAATCTGCAAAGGAACAATTAAGTTTTTAATTACAGTAATAAAATTTTGTACATAATATATATTTTTTTTAAATTTGCTTTACCCTAAAATTTCAAATTGACCACAAGCATGGTAGATTAAGACTATAAAGATTCCATAAATTGTTAAAACAATTGTACTTAATAGTAAAGTCATGTACACTTGATGTATCAATATTGCTTTATAATTGTTAAAATTGTTAGAATCAACAAAATATTCTGCAATTATTATAAGCTTTCTTGGCCGAGATTCATTCAACGGTTTTAATAGATCTAAGAAACAGAATAATTCGTGTTGAAACGTAGTCTACTAAGATTACGTAAATCATAACTGAAATAAAATTTTGGATGAAATGTTGTTTAAAAAATAGAAAAAAATTTTATTTAAAAATAGAGTTCATCAGCTATTTCATTACTTACGAACTTCAAACTTGTTTACGTTCTTTGCTAAAAGTCCGTATTCTTGCAAAATTTTATATTCTAAATCAGATTCGTAATGTAGATAATCGTTCTTCATTTTTGAGAAAATTTGTTATATCTAAAAGAAAGAGTATGTGAATATATTCACTATAGTGTTATATGTAAAAAATTATTAATCCCTTTGTAGAATACAAAATATAACAATATATTTGTTTGTAATCTTTTTGTTCATATAAATTAATAGAAATTCTTACCTTATTTTTAATGGCGTTAAGAGCTGTTAAACAAACAATGGCAAGAACATTTACAAGGTAGGATGGAAGCCAAGTAATAAAACTGTCCATATTTCTCCAATTATTTTTCAAAGCCAGCAACTATTGAATGACGATTATAAATTTATAATAAAGTTACTTTGTGATATCAAAATTCTAGGAACAAAATAAGTTTTGTGTACTTTTGTACACCAGTTGTACTGTCTAGGGTAAATTTAATTTATAAAAATTTGAATTTTTTTTGAGAAATATTTTTTAAGTTACTATAAAGCATAAACATTTACTTGTTGTAAAAGAAAACGCAAAACACTAAATCAAACAATGAAGCAAAAGTAGTCGTTTCATAAATTTCGATTAAGTAGGTCAGAGTCCCTCAATACGTATTATTCAACGATTTTTATAGGAGAATTGTATGCTTCCATGTCGACGTCTGATATGAATATAATACAAAAACTTTTCAGACAGCTTTCTATAAATTGTTCGACAATTACAGTTACCTCTAAGAATATTATTCTCAGTATAAAGTCAATCGTTTTTTGAGAAGCTAAAAAGTAACTCATGTAATATTAATTCTAAGTTTACTTTGTACTTTGAGGATCAGGTTTACTTTGTACGTTTCTAGGAACTTTTTAAATAAATACACTACATAGTATTAGAGGCCTTTAATAATTAATTTATCTGTAAAAGGAGAAAATCGATTTTCCCTATGAAAAACATACTTAGTCTGTATTCAACCCTTTAAGGAAGAGGATCGTCTTGAGTTGATGAAGAAAATCAATTTTCTCAGAAAATACACAAGCAGCCTTACCTTCGTCTTTTAAATGTAAAGATGCATTGTTTAAAATTAACAGTTCGTCTAATCAGATATGTCTCAATTTTTAAATACACAACAAATATTTTGTTTTCCGAATTATAAAGCTTTGTGTTACGATGTTAATAATTTTGTCTGAATTTCATACCTCGACTTTTCCTGTTAGCGGAATAAGTATAGAAAAATTTTAAAAAAATTATAGTTCTACATAATCAGTCGTTGGAATCTTAGATTTTAATTGAGAAAAAATATTCTCTCATGTTTGCTACAATGGTTCCAATTGACCGAAATATTGATTAAAGTCGTAAAAAATTTCTATTTTAGAATTTTTAATACCTCACATAATTAGGTTGGAACGGCTATCAATCATTTGATATAATCAAAATGAGCAGCTGATTTTGAAAACTAGTTTTCTTTGCAAGACAATGGTTCGGGTCATATCCGTTTGTTTCGAAACGTAGAGAAGACAATTTTGAATAGTGATATATGTTGTTAAATTTGTATGAATTTTAATTTTGTGACATGGATACATCATAGCCGAAAGTAAGTAAATTTACTTTATATTACATAAAATAAAATTCGATAACTTATTTATACATTGGCTTTTGGTTTCAAAAATAATGAGTAATTATTAAAATTTATTTTTTAGACACTTCCTGACAATTTATGTAAGGGGTTACGTCCTGTTAAATTGAATCATATTTAATTGTGAACGGACCTTGCGTTATGAAGTGTGTGAAATGAGCTTTATGTTCTATTGATGTATGCCTTACGCGAGAGTTTCGTTTCTCTTATGTTTTATTATCATGACTGTGTAGAAGTAAGACGCCAATATTATTTCTCGAAATTATGTACAAAAGGTAATAATTAACAAACATCTTTATCTTAATATTCATCTGATTATATATTATAATTATACTTATTTATTTATATTTGCAGGCGCCTTTTTGTACCGTAAAGTAAAATCTGAATTCAACCTCAAATAAAATATTTGTATCAAGACATATCTCGTTTGTTCTTTGTGCTCACGCACTGTTTCATATCAACACATCCACTTAGGATTTTGAAAAAATCGATTTTTTATTGCATTTTCGTAATATACATGTATTTAAGAGTACACTCAGAAAATTTCAAGGCGGTCCGTTAAATATTCCTCAAGTTACATTCAAGTTTGTAAACATTGTCGGTCTATCCCTTTTTTCAATCTGCCTATTGTAAATGAACAAGAACAAAAAGAAGTTCTAGAAGGTGCTGAAGATGCAGAAGATTCATATGGTCCTGGAATAGACGATTCAATGTAAGTAAAAAAAAAGTTTTTACTATGAGTAAAGTGGTTTTGAAACCTTTTTTATGTACGCGTTTTTCTCAAAACTATATAAGATTTCTCTACAACTTTTAAAAGTATTATTGTATACAACCTATAAATAGATATTAAAATTGAAGAAATGGCTAAAATATGGACATCAATCTTAATAAAAGACAATTATCAAAGTTAGAAATAAAAAATATAATAATTTTGAATTTAAAAAAAAAATTTGGGGGTTTCGCGAAAATCGGCCTACCCTTTGCGATACCCGTCTTCAACGTTGCAAAGAATACAATTATTGCACAAAAATGTTTTTTAAGCTTTAAACGCGTTTTTCTCGAAACAAGATTTTTTAAACTGGTGGGCATCGTAGCGTCTAAACTATTTAATCAATCAACTTCGGATTTGTGGTTTATTAAAGGTAACTAAATTCTACAGGGGTTATACCTATAATATGATAAAATTGTTAACAATAGAGATTTTTACAAGAGGTCAAATATGGAAAAATAATGCAAAAACGCAGTTTTTTTTAAAAATGTGTCCGCCATTTTGTCATTTTGTTAACTTTTTAACTATTTTATAGGTATAACCTATTCTTTAGGATGTCACCTTTATAAAAGATTTTGAGTTTCTGTTTTTAGACTAAAAATTGCGCAGTGTAGAATGCCCACCGTTTTCCTTATTTAAAAAAACATTATTTTCTAGATGCGCCATATTGGCCGCCATTTTGCATTTTTTTGAAAATGAAATATATGTTTTAAAAGTTCAAGAATCTATCTTTATTTAGAAAAAACTACATTTTCGTCCATATTAACCGGAGTGTTCATGAAATGAACACCAAAATTATAAAAATGTACAACTTGGCAGCGGTTTTTATTTTAATAAAATTATTTTCAATTAATAAAATGAATTCTTTGTCATTACAAACTGAAAATTTTAATTGTTTTTAATTTCAACATTATTTCTGAGAATTGTTTTCAAAATCGTACGCAATTCTTAAAGCCAGCAACTATTGAATGATAGAAAATATACCCATGTGATAAAGAATATGGAAAATGTTTAAGATAAATGCATTAAGATTTACTTCTTGTAGAAGAAAACACAGAACACTAAACCAAATGATAAAGGTAAGTAGTTATTTCTTAAATTTTGATTACGAAGGCCAAAATAATACTAAAATCATTTTTCTTATTTGAAATGTGATTTAGTTTATAGATAGTGATAGTTGAAAATTAACAGTTCATCTAAAGAGTTATGTCCATAGTAAATATTTGCCAGTACACATTAGGAGATTTTGAATGATTATCTGCACGTTGATTATTAATTATACCTACCAAGCAACATTGACAATATTTCTGAACATTTCGATGCTGTGTGAGTAACTTTCTTTATTATTGATTTAATACAATTTTTTATTTTAAATAATTATAACACACCAAGAATAAGTAAGTTTGTATCCGCTAAGTAAATGGAATTAAAATAGTAGCAAGAGCTAAGATTTTCACAAAAATATACATCTATACAAATAGTGGTTTCTGGAAAAACTTTATGAAGAGTGCTATAGGAAACGAAGAAATAATTAAAAATTGCATAAATTGTTAGACTTATTAAGAAAAATCATAACAATTAATTAGATTCGATTTTTCGAAGAATCAACAATTTAAGAATGCTTCTACAATTACTTTTTTTTTAATCCATATGAATAAAATGAAGAATCATAAATTGTTCCCAACGCCTAGTTTCAGCATAAAGATGCTTCTATCTGTTAAAAAAGATTGTAAATTTACAATACTTTCATACAAAAAGTGATTGAAAATTTATAAATATTGTATATGAAATAATTTCAAAAACGCGTGTTTGAAAGATTTGTAAATTTACAATATTTTCAAACAGAAGTGTTTGAAATTTTCAAAAATTTTTGTATGGATTAACTTCAAATACATATGTTTGAAAGATTTGTAAATTTACAATATTTTCAAACAAAAGTGTTTGAAATTTTCAAAAAATTTTGTATGGATTAACTTCAAATACATAAGTTTGAAAAATATGTAAATTTACAACTTTTTCATAAAAAGTGTTTGAAAAATTTATGTGTAAAATAATTCAATACACATATGTTTTAAAATATTGTAGGTAAATTTATAACTTTTTCATTGAAAAGTACTTAATTGAAATTTTTTTGAGTTTTTATACGAAATTGCTTCAAACATATGTGTTTAATAATTCTCTAAATTAGTTTAAAACATTATTTATAAGTAAATACATTTTCAAATGTTGAAATAACTAAAAATTTTTTTAATCAATTTAATTAGTTAAATTTGACAAAACTTATTAAGAGAATAAAACATTTTGGATGATATAATATAATTAATTAATATAGTTAGTTATTTTGTACAGATTAAAATTTAAAAACTGCTAAATTAAATAGAAAAATATTTTTCCATAAAAAATCTGCTGTTCATAAAGTATTGTTTAAATATTTCTAAAACATCTTAATACATATCATAAATTTAACAGAAACGTGAAGAGAAAAAAAGTAAAGAATACAAGAATCGGTTGGTGAAGAATTTTAAAGATATTGAATCTTTAGAAATTTAGAAGTAGTCAAAAAAAGGGAATGGTCCACATGTTTCTCACTACTGATACTTTGCAAGAGATTTTCATAGCCTCCCTTGGTCGAGCGCGTCTAGGCGCAGCTCTCAAGGTTGATGGCTCCATACAAGACACACTATACACAGACAACACTATATACGACTAAGGGTTCAAATCGTAGTGTCGAATTTCCGTAAAAATGCCAATGAAACTTTTTTTTAAATTAATTTACATTTATTGTAACATATCAAAACACAATATAAACAGTTTATAATAGATTTTTCATTTAAATATTTAAATCGTTTTTGTATTTCAAACAGATTTGTTTGAAATTTCAAACAAAACTGTTTGAAGTTTCAAACAAAACTATTTGAAATTTCATTCAAACACTTTGTATTCATTTTCCAAAGAATAATTTGAAAATTTTAAAGAAATGTGTTTTAAAATTTAATAAGAAAATTTGTATTAAATTTAAAAATGTGTGTTGTAGTTTTTCAAAATTGTATATGATAATTGCTTCAAACATTTTTGTATAAAATTTGGAACAAAAATTTTTAACAGTGTACCTCCGGTGTTTTTGGCCAAGCAATCTTCTTGGATGAATTTTCACGGTCGGTTCATTGAATTTGATTATGGTTAAAGAGTAAATTCTATTTTTACTGTTTATGAAAATTAGAAACAGTGAAAATGGAATCTTTAGTACAGCCAATCAAATTACGTGATCCGACCGTGAAAATGAATCTAGCCGATTGCTTGACTAAAACACTTGAGATATTAAAGCACCTTAAGCATTCTGTTCGTCATGATGGAAAAAAATTGTAGAAGAACCTGAGAACTTTTTTACTAACGTACTGACATCAAGACTGTAAAATATGACACGGATGTTCTCATCACCTTAAAACACAAAAATATTAATTAAAGAATATTATTATTAGATTTTAAGAAATCAAAATTGATAATTGATACCAACAGCACTAAAGGTGCCCATTGAGAAAGAGAACAATTTTCCCGCTGTAAAAGTCACGGGTTTTATACACATCAGCATCAACATTCCTAACATTCCTTTTGACTCATAAGATAAAGTGTACCAGTAGCTTTCATATCTATAATTTCAAAATTACTTTTAAAATTTTAACGAAAATACCAATATTCTAAATTTTTTTGTTGGTTTAATATATTTTTTAGGTACTTACATATGTTGAAAAAGTAGAGTACTCTGGTCAATTAGACGCTGACTGGGCAATGCTAAACAAAAGAGACGAACAATTTGCCCCGAATTATATATAATAAGTTTTACAGTTTCACTCTGATTATCCAAATTTATAATTAACTGTTGAATCATAAGTTATTTTATAAATATTCCTTTATATGTTATACGCTACATGTAATTCAAAGTTTATCGTTTACCTGAACTCCTGTAAAGCTTATCATTAGCATATTCAATCCCAAACCAAAAAAGTAAGGCATTGAAAAGCATTCACTAACTTCATTTACAAACCTTAAAAGAATTCAGTTCATTAAAAAAGTTATATTTCCTTGATATTTTATTATAAAAGAATAGGATTAATACAAACAGTATAACTGATTCATGTTTTTGGACAAATAATTTAATTTCATTTTTAAAATTCTCCTCGTCAGAAATAGACATATTATATTCAAGTTTTACGATATTTTTTATTTTTAATCTGCAAAAAAAAATTTATTTTTTAATTAATAATACAATTGTATATTTTTAGATAAAAAGAATTTTTTATAGTTACCCTAGTATTTTAAATTGACCAGAAGCATGGTAGATAAAGACTATAAAGATTCCATCAATTGTTACAATAACTGTAGCTAATATAAGTGATACGAGCACTTGATGTATTGTTATTGCTATATAATTATAATCATTGTTAGAATCAACATAATATTCAGCGAGCATAATAAGTGATCTTGGTCGAGATTCATTTAACGGTCTTACTATATCCAGAAAAAATGGAATAAGAGGCAAGGAAACATATTCTACTCCAACTGTATAAAATATTACTGAAACACATTATTGAAATACCTGAGTTCCAAATTTATTTATCCACACATCAATTGAATTTTCAAAAATAGATACAATATTTTTTTTTTTATTCAAATAAAAAATATAATTAATGTAAGTTGCAGACATAATTTTGTCATTACTTACTAACTTCAATGATGTATGAATTTTTTGCTATAAGTCCATATTCCTGCAAAATTTCATATTCTAAATCCGATTCACATTGCATATAATTTGTCTCTATTTTTGAGAAAATCATTTCTATCTGAAAAAAAATAATCGAAATGATATAATGTTAACAATTTTTAAATTCATTTTTAGAACAAAAATACGATTGTATGTTGTTTCTGTAATAGTTTAGGTTTTAAAGTTAAAGAAATTAATCTTACTTTATTTCTATTGATTGTAACGGCTCCCGTGCAGAAATCGCCACTTTTGTTCCCGATTACCGCCCTGGCCCCGGTCGGGATTTCATGATCTGGCCCCGACTTCGTGGCCCCGACCAGGACCAGACCGGGTTTGCCCAAGGATCTACAAACAGCGCACAATGGGATTTTTTTTACAATTTACTGTTCAAAACTGTCTACAGCCTACAATTCTTAACCGGTTTCAGTATTCTTTATTTTAAATTAAAGGCGAATAAATTCTTAAGACATCCCTTAAGGTCAATTTTTTAGTTCTTAATTGTTTATAATTTTTATTTTCAATCAAAGTTAACAAATTAATACAATTTTTCAAAAAAGGAGGCTTATTTTCTTATTCCGTTGCTGCATATGATCTGAATCAGTTCAAATTAATACAATATGACCACCATATAATTAATAAAACAGAAAGTAATTTATATCAATTGTTATAAACAATATTAATTAACAAATAGTTAACTTTGATTTCTTTCCACTAAAAAATGTTTTTTTTACCTTTTCTTTTTAATTTAAGTTCATTTAAAGAATATTTGCCCTTTTTGATTATAAAATAACTTATTTAAATTGTTATAAACAATATTAATTAACAAATAGTTAACATTGATTCCTATTCCACTAAAAATTTTTTTTTCACATTTTCTTTTTAATTTAAGTCTATTTAAAGAATATTTGTCCTTTTTGATTAAAAAATAACTTATTTAAATTGTTATAAACAATATATTAAATAACAAATAGTTATGTAACTTATGCTCCTGTCCACCAAAAAAATTTTTTTTCACGTCTACTTTTTAATTTAAGTTCATTTTAAAAATATGTGTCCTTTTTGTTTAAAAAATAACTTATTTAAATGGTTACAAATAATATTAATTAACAAATAGTTAATTTTTGTTCCTTTCCACCAAAAATTTTTTTTTCACGTTTACTTTTTTATTTAGATAATGTTAAAAGACCACGGATATATAATATTAAATATTTAAATAAGTTATATTATAAGCAAAAAAGACATATATTCTTTAAAAGAACCTAAGTAAAAAAGAAAATTTGCAACAAAAATTTTCTGTTGGACAGGATCATAAGTTAACTATTTGTTAATTAATGTTGTTTATGACAATTGAAATATATTACTTTATGGGTTTTTAATTGTCTGCTGGTAATATTGGATTAATTTGAACTGATTTAGAGCATGTGCAGTAACGGAATAAGAAAATAAACGTCCGTTTTTAAAAAATTGTGTTAATTTGTTAACTTTGATTGAAATTTGAAAATAAAAATTATAAACAATTAAAAACTCAAAAATTGTCCTCGAGGGATGTCTTAAGAATTTATTCTCCTTTAATTTAAAACAATAGGACAAACGCACCAATTGTCGAAGGTGAACCATTTGTCGATGTTATCATGGTGATAACCAAAAATATTGCCTAAAATGTTAAATTTTTTTGTGGTTATAATATTAACATATTATTTTTGACATTTATAACTCTTAAAAACTCTTAATTGTTTTTCACACTTAAATTGAAATTCCATGTTTAAGGCAAAAAAATAAATTATTATTAATTAATAATTTTTAGTATTATTGTGAATTATTAATAATGAAAAAATTTTTATTATTTTAAAAAATAGTTAAATTATAAATAATATAGAATAAATAATTAAATTAACAATTTTTACCATATTATTATGATAAACATATTAATTTATATATATATATATATATATATATATATATATATATATATATATATATATATAACATACATTTTTAATAATTTTTCTATAAATAAATATGATACAGTCAATTTATTATGATAACACTGTATATAACGGTCCCATGATTCAAAAGGAAGTTTAAGCGAGGTCGCTTCCAAGCTTGCGTGGCTATGCGGTATGTGTATTCGACTTGCGTCCTCGAGGTCTAGGGTTCGGTCCCCCGTGCGTGCGATATTTTTCCGTCTTAGTTTTAAGTGTTTTGTGTATAATTCTTAATAATGTTACATAAAGTATAGGTTTAAATAATTATTAACAATAATAATAATTATAAATAATTATTAATTTAAATAAGATAGTCTGTCTAAATTAATGAAAGAAAATAAGAAAAATATTTTTTTTAAAAACTTAGTCCAATAAAAGCAATTCTAATAACTATTTACATTTTTAATGACACTCATAAAAGTTTATTTACTACAAAAATATTAATAATAATCATTAATATTGAAGTAAATACTCCCCATTCTTTAATAATCAAATAACAAGCTTTAATATAATAAAATGCAGTCAGTATTGGAATTCTACCTGGGTAGCGAAAAGATCGGGGGAAATCCCATGGCCCCGACCGGGTCCCGACAGGGCGGCCAGATCGGGCAAAGTGCCATGGCCCCGGTCGGTTTTAGTGTTTCAACCAGGCCGGGGCCAGGTCGGGTTGCCAGATCGGGGCCCGGTTTGTCCCGATCTGGCCCCGACCTGGCCCCGGTCAAAATTTCTGCACGGGCTGTTAAACAACAAATGCCAAGAATATTAATGAGGCAGGGTGGAAGAAGAGTAATAAAAAAGTCCAGATCACCCCAATTATTCTTTATAGCCAGCAACTATTGAATTTAATGAAATTTCAAAATGGGTCCATTTCCGAGTAATATTTTTTGTTTAGGCAATGTAATATAGAAAGATTTACTTCTTGTAGAAGAAAACTCATAAGACTAAACCAGCTAATGGAGGTAAGTAGTAGTTTTAAAGGTTTCGATTGAGAAGGCCACAGTCCCACAGTACGTGTTAAGAATTCAATTATTTTAAAATGTGAGTTAAATGCATCCATTCCGACGTCTGATATTATGTTCAAAATTCAATTTTTAAGACAGCTTTCTATAAATTGTATGAAAATTAGTTACTATTGAAGGAAAAGGATCGTATTGACCTGGCGAAAAAAATCGCTTTTCTTATTTTACTTCGTGGAGTTTATAGATAGTGATAGTTTAAAAATTAACAGTTCATCTAATGAAATATGTCTGTAGTCCATAGACTTGCCTCGAGGTGCTCTTCACGGTGGAAGATAGAATAATAATAAGAGATTAGATACTTTTTTTGCAGTAATATTTTAACAAAAAAATAGAAGTCCATATGTAATGATTTATTAAAAAGTTTTACAAACAGTATAGAACAAAACCAATAAAGAATAAAAAATTGCATATATTATTATAATTATTAAATAGAAGTCTTATAAACAGAATTTCATAGAACTCAATTTACTTACGTAATGACAATAATACCGCAAAGTATGACACGGACGTACTTACCACCTAAAAATTGAAAAAGTAATTAAATTATATCAGCTACGTTTTAAAACATAAAAATAAAATTTCTTACCTTATTTTTATTCACGTTAAAAGCTGTTAAACAAACAATAACAAGAAGATTCACAAGGCAGGGTGGAAGCCAGATAGTAAAAAATTTCATATTTCTCATGCAATTGTTTCTTAAAGCCATCAACTATTGAATGATGAATTATATATACCCACGTGATAAGGTTTACGTTAAATATTGTAAAAAATTTTAAATACTTCCAATTAATACATGAAAAATAATATTAAAGTTATAAATTCAGGCTTAGAAGGGGTTTAAAGTTTTATCCTTTCTCCTTTCTAAAAAAAAGAGAAAGCAAGAAAAATCGAACTCGTGAACTCGAAAAAATGTACATTGCTATTACGCACGCGTGAAAATGACGTGAAACACTTGATTGGCCAAGATAGAATGATGGCTGCTGTTTGTTTTCTTTTGGATTCTTATACTTTATTTTCAAAAAGTAATTGTTTTTCTCTATTATAAAGAAAAGTATATTAAATGTTTTTTTATTTTGTATTTTTAGACTGCGTCTACAAATAGAAAAATTAATGTGTTGAAGAATATGTTATTGTGCATAGTATTTCTGGTATTGCTAAAATGTCAGAATGAAAAGAAATATCCCTGGTAAAAATTTCGGACTAATTTCGGATTAAATACGGACAGATTATTCCCATGCGAGCGTGGTATAGTGGTTAGTGTATTCGATTTCGGTGCGTTATAATGTTAGCTAGGTGTAGGTTCGAATCCCCAAGCGTTAGAAATTTTAAGTTATAATGTAAATAAAATTGCGATAGGTAAATTGAAAAATATGTTGAATGTACCATAAAGTAATAATAATTAATATGTATAACTTGTATAATTATTTTTTTATTAACATTCACTAAATTGTCCGGACTAAATTTTGACTGTTTCGGACTAATTCCGGATTTACTAGTTAAAATTAACCGATTAATTTCGGACTTCATCGGACCAACTCCGGTTTCACTATTTGTTCACAAACCGTATAGAGTTCGGATTTTTTCGGATTAATTTCGAGTGACAAAAATCTGACCATAAACCGCATTGTTTCGGACAAATTTCGGATTAGTCCGGATTAGTCCGGTTTTTTAACAAGGGATTAGTTCTTAATTGAGAAACTTTCAAATTCCTTTCTTTAATTAATAATCAAACGGTTTTAAATAAGCCTGTAATATTTGTAAGATTTATTTAAAATATGTTAAATAGAAATCACCTCAACAGCATAAGGTTTTTATTAAAATGAAAATTAATTTGTTACAAATAAAATTTAAAAAAAAACACTATTAAATGTAAAAGAACGTAAAAAACAGTAAAAAGAAGTTTCTAATTATTGAATAAATTCGACACCTCCATTAAAATCACAACTTTTTTGATCTAGAAGAATGTTCGCGGTTGTTTTAGAAAGACAACTGAACAGTGGTTTTTTTAGATGACAAACTTGAAAAGTTTTTTGAAGGGCATAGAATTAAAAAATTTCTAAAATATGTAA